TTTAGACTTAATATGTATGACAATACAAAGATTTTTGTGATAAGAAACAAAAGGGTAATCTATAGGCTTAATTTTTATTTTTTTGTACGGAATATTTTTTTTCTATTTACTCATCGTGGATTTAAAGGAACCAAATGTGAAAAACTCAGAGGCTGACTAACAAATGTAAATATTTTGCTAATCAAGACCATTGATTCTGACGTATGAGACAGTTGTTGAAATCACTACGGGCAGCACCAGATGTTTACACATATGAGAGTAAGTGATGATACAAAGCGACTTATCAAGTGTTCTTATAAATTTTCTATTTTGGTACAAGGTATTACGCTTTACTTGTAAACATTTTATTTTTCTATGTGGACAAATTACTGCGTAGTGCTTTCATGCAAGCAAACTTATGCAAGTCTTAAGTTTAAATTTTCGTAGAATTTGTCTATACCTCCATGCATTATACATGGTTTTTAGATTGGGTTTTGTATGATGCTGATTTTTTAAACACTTATTTACTCTTGTTTGTAATTCTCTTACAGATAAGCTGGATTGTAAAATAAACATTATTAAATGTGGTCATTTCTTTTACTATAAAAACTTTGCAAATTAGTGTTTTTCAGACTTTCGTTGTAAAACGATGGCGTCTTTATGTGACATTCAAATCGCAAATTCCTTTTTTGCTTTCCAGCCAAGACATGAATGTATTTGTAATAGAATACGATGGACACAGTAATCATGTACTCCGTGTAAACTTGGTTAGAATGCAAAAAAGGTCATTGATTTTTTTTCCCCAGGCAATCAACTGCTGGTGCAAATCGCATGGAACTTTTTCGCACGTTGTTCATGTTACAATATCTAAACAGACGATTTCACGGTTTTCAACCAAAACAATAAGGAACAATTTTGTTTCATATTTTAAAAAACGGCGTGTTCATTACTTTGTACACGATTTAAAAATGAAATAATTTATGCCTTAATAAATTTGTGACGACGGCTGTAATATAGGCCTAGTACAAGAAAGTGTATATACTATTCTACCGCACACATCTGTTTCCTGTTTTCAAGTGATTTGCACCAATAGAGAAAGCATAGTTCTTCCTATATCCTATAAAAAGCATGTCTGGAAATCCCAAAAAGAATTCCACGTCACGGGACTTTCCACCTGCAACCCAATAGTCAAACTTGACATGTAGTATTTGAGTACTGAACAGTAGTTCTGAAGTTATGTAGACCTATAAAAACAATGCAGCACAATATATTCGCTCGCCTGAGTTGTGGAGGTCACAGGTTCACCAAGTTCATTTCGCAATCGGTGAAATTCTGATTCTATGTTGATATCTTTGCCGTCTACGTAAATGGCCAATGTTGATTTTATGTTCGCACCAAAATCACGTTTCAGCTATTTGCACTGAAATGTCTAAGAATAGGCCAACAGTCAGTTCACAAAAATATTTTGGTTAACAAATATTTGTAACGTGCCTCAGACATGAACCGACTCACTGTGTGGGCGTGGAAATTGCGGAAACAAACATATTCCACACAATAGTTTGTGGAGTTCATAACAGAAACACAATGAACCTGTCATTTCTATTGAACCGAAATACCTCGAATATTATTGTTGCGTTCACAAGTATGACGTTGGAGTTTTGCTTTCGGTTGTGTGATTGGTGTGTGCACATACGCGAAACGGCTGTATATATAAGCAGAGCTAGGGATTGACTCAACAACAACAAAAAATATATTCTAGCCAGGATTCCAGCATGCGAGAACTGAATTAAATTTATTATTTTTGATGAACAGTATTTCAAGAAACAAACTTTATGGGCCGGAGCGACCCAAATAACTAAAACTCTGGCCGATGTGCGGGGTCTAGTTATATGATTCTAAATCGAAAGTGTCAGTGAAAAGTGAAAATGATATGAATAACAAAATATTTATAAGTATATAAGAAGGTAAAATAGTTCCTTGTTGAACAAACTTGTGTTACGCGATGCTTGTGAAAATAACAGCAACTCTATAAACAACACCAGCAAGTTTAGCTTAAAGATGCGTTCCCTGTACTATTTTTGAATCTCACATCCAAACAATGAGAAAAAATTTCTATAGCAACATTAAAGTTATTAACTTTGGAAAGAGACGTCGAACAAAAATTCTATTGACGTTTAAGTTATTTAATTACTTCTTCACAAAATTCGAATTATTGGCTGCCAGACAATAATTCGGCTCTACAGTGCGGCTTACTTGTGCACAAAATGAAAGCCCATTTTCATAGGGTTGCAGACGCCAAAAATCGGCATTAAGTAGTTTTTTAAGTTCATTTTTTTGAACAGCATATCATCTTTAACAAAATAATGCCAAAACCAAATGTGGAAATTCAAGCTAAAAGAATGTGAAGATTTAAAGGTTTGCCATTGTGACAAAAAAAAATGAGAGTAAAGTTAGCAGTTGCACTTTTCTGGTAACAAGAAATCTCTTTTTGTAAATGTGTGAAGTCCTCGAAAGAACCGGTGGAAACTCTAGCCCCATAACAATTGCTTGACCCTACTTGTCCTTTTGCTATTCAAACGAGTCGGATGTTTAGCGTGTCATGAACACTCTCTCGGGGGCTCTTGGGATTGAACGGGAAATTCCACTTTTCACCCAGATCGTAAGTAACCCTTAATATCCCGATCTTAATCTTCGATCTTTACTTGTATCTCAGGTGGCAAATCTAGTCATTTTGTGGCCGTTGTGAGGGTGAAATTTGGTATTTTATTGGGTTGGCAGACGATGCATGGCTGCCATCTTGCTTGGACCATACTATCGCCAGATCACGTCCAATGTTAAAAAGGCGATAATTGAGTTGGGGCCAAGTTATTCGGACTACGGATTCGCAGCTTTTTTTGGACAGTAGGCTTCGCCCGTCATCAGCCCGAGATTCAAACGAGATTTCTTGGCACATGGTGCCAACCCTGAAATCTTAAAAGTTGGGTTTTTTTGTATTATATCCAACGGTTCATAAAAACACCAAAAGTGTCATAATAATTTGCTAACTTAACAAGATGGTTAAACTCCCCAAAATCTACGACATTAAGGAGACAATTGTGTGTCCATGGTTAACGCCTACTACAGTTCGAAGAGGCGGCAGTTCTCCACATAGTCAGTATAGTCAGTTTCGATGTTGGTGGCGCTGTTGAGCTGACAGACATTTCTGTCAACACCCTTCTGCCAGAGATTGAAGGAGTGTCATCGAGGCTCCGCCCAGCACGCCTGACCACACCCATCGACTCCCGCAGCCGTCAGGTTCTTGATCTCATGCTTGAGCAGACACTGGGGTGTGAAGCGCCCGTCAGCATCAGCTTGCAGGCAGTATGAGCGATGAGAAACGCGCATCTCACAGGCAGCGAATTTCCTTGCGCTACACACGCTGTCTCCCCATTTCCCGTCATACTTTCCAGCCATTCTAATGCAGTCTTGATCTTCATCTTGACGAAGTTCATTTTTCCAGTTTTTGAACACAGGTTTGCCATGTACACCCAGGCAAGTCAGTTGACCCGTATTGTCAATCTCCGTGCAGCCGATCCACAATTCCAGTCTGCCTGTAGAATTGCCGACAATCGTCTCCATTCGAAACTTCATTTCCCGCCAGATGAAGTCCTGTTCTTCCTGCGAGTTAGGAACGACCAGGCTGCTTCCGGGCCGATAACAAACCTCCTTAGCTTGCCACCAATCCATCCTGTCAGGCAGCAAGATGTAACAGGCGTCTTGCCAGGCCAACCAGCCGGGAGGACAGACGGCTTGTAGAGTTTGAATTACCCCAACAGTCATCAGGATTAAAAAAAGGTCGCAAGGCTGAATATCGACATCTTGATTCGTTACCGCCTCGTTTTTTCTTTCTTTTTTTCGGTCTTCCTCAAAATGCTTGTCAGTTTGTTGTCTGAACTAAAGCGATCTGTTGTCTGCCTGTTCAGAGTAAAAGACCTCTGTCAGTGTCTCTTCCTTCAGGTTTCTCCAACGTCTGAAATGTTTTTGAGGTTTCACCAAACGTACAACCAGCCGTTCGGCATTTTGTTTACAGTGAGTTGCTTAGCGACGAAATTAGCCAATTTTCACCGCAATTAACAAGGCCATTTTTAAGTGCATTTCCGAAGAAAAAAATTTACGCTCAGTGATGATGCGTATCTCGCCTTCGAGCCACTCTTATTATAGCCAAGGTCTGGTAATGCTGTTTCCTCGAGCAGAATTCACGGTTGGTTTGAAACCCATGTTACGAATATAATCGATGCCTGTATATATTTTTTATAATGAGGCGATATTTAAGAATAGCGAGTGCATATGTTAATATCTTGAATAGAGGCAAAACAGTATATGAATTACAGGGTAAATATTTTAGTAGCGTATAACCAGCTTTTTTAACCGAGGGGCAAAATAGTGACCTTTAAAGTTGGGTTTTTTTTTTACTAGCAAATTTGATGCGAGTCGTTTGGAATTCGTTACTTACTGTTATAAAAAAAAATAACTATGACGCGGGAGAGCCGGAGAGGGGCTAACGGCTGTGCTTATTTTTATTCCTGCGGCTAGAACTATTGAGAAGGCCTATTGGCATTAAAATTAAAGCTCCTCTACTACATTGAATTGTAAAATAATGCAATTTTTTTTTAATGCAAAAAAAAATGCCACTCTTAGCAAAGGGCTAAAAAGAAAAAGATTAAAAACACTGTACAGATGAAAGAAATCAGCAAATCTGGAGGTAGGTAGATATTCCTCTTAAAATTTTCATCCAGTTTCCCACGTTTAACCCTAAGTACTGATAAGAACTAGAACGCTTTCACTCAAGAAGAAGCATTACCGAATAATTTCTATTATTTACGAAGATACGATGTTTACACAAAGAAAACGCATAAACAAATATCTATTTTTTACGAAGTTACGAGTTGTTTACAAAAAGAAAACGTATTAATTAACGAATATCTGAGCTCTTTTTTTGCGAAATTTTAGCCAGGCTTGCGTTGCATAGGCTTACAAACTAAACTTGTGGATAGAAATACGCAGGGGGGAGGTTCCCATCCAAGAGTTCGAGGTGAGATGCAAATTATTGCGGAAAAAAATGCCCCATGAAATAACTACATTTTCGATGAAGACCTGCCCTTTTCTAAGTTGCTTACATCTCCCGTTGGCACACTTGTACATAATTCGGCGTGGCAGGTTTTGTGTCGCGAGCGGGGATGTGGCAATATGACCAATTAGCCAGGAAAAAATGGCCACAATTGTATGTGTATGGCTACTTATAACGGTTGTAAGGTGTGCTGACCCTTTTCATTTCCTTTGAAAAATAAAGAGGGAAAAAAATGAAGCTAAGATGCAAGTTGGTCCCTCCCCCCTCAGAAATGGACAGCAGTCATCTCCCGATTTAATTCAGTTCCTGTTTATATTTGTCGAATTCATCCCTCCAGTTCGCCATGTCTGTGTACTTCCAATTGTACAAAGCTTGTTTCCAGTCAAGCTGTGCAGTTTCAATGTCAGCTGCAATCAAACAGAAAGGGAGGAAATATCAAAGATTATGTCCTTTTTCTTTAAAATGTATCACTGGCTCCGAGGAAATGCCTGTGATGAAAGCGCATGGGAAATGCTATAAACGCAAGTGCATTAATGTCGTGGAACCAAAAAAATATTCTTCATCTGTATAAATGCATTAATTAATCTTTGGGGAAAACATATAAGGCTTTATTTTTAGAATAACTGATTACCCGTTATGGCCCTGAGATGGACCACGTAGTTGTTCCAGAAGTGACATTCCCGACTCTTGAGGGCTCTCTTCGTCGTGAGGTTCAAGTCTAGTTCTTTGTACTCCAGTTCCGGGATGGTAAACCTAGGCCAGAAGCCCATGTCCGACTCCGATGTTGAGTCAAAACTGGGGTTTCTGGGGGGGGGCAATAAAAAAGAAAATGTAATTATGGTCGTTTTTCCTTTTCACCGAATGTGGCCGCTGAGGGGTGGTGATTCAAAGTGAAGTATGTTTTGCTCAATTTTTAACTAATGCGACACTTTTTTTTTGGTCCAAAAACTTATATTTCACAAGTTTTCTCATTCGTTTTTTTAAAAGCTCCATGTTGACACAGCAAACTATCGTGGACAGCCCCTTAGCCCTGGTTGAACAATTACTGAGTCTGAAAATATCCTAGCAAAACTCCAAATCCTCTATCAAGAACCACATGTTTGTGTAATATTGTGTAATAAAATCCTAGTGAGTCTAGTAGTCAACAAGCTCAAGTTTGGGCTCTTGGCGGTTATCTAATTGGACCACTATCTCACCCCAACTGACAAAAATCACACACAAGTGTGGCTGGGGACCCTATCCGCACGTGTGCTTCAACCTGCCATTCGACTATGAAACCATGTGTGTACGAAAACAAAAATGCGTACTGCGGCATCGAGGTTGTAAATTGACTATGTGGATATTCAGACAATATGTGTGGTTCTGAAAAGAACCTAGAGCCCCTCCGGTTCTTTTTAGAACTACACATACTCACAAGAGAGATTTATTCACATGGTGCTACCACAAACTTATTTTGTCTTAATATCTTTCCACCATGTAAACCTTCAAATCTCATCGTATAGTAGATATTCCCAAATAAACCTAAGATGAGCCATGCATACAGTAGGTCTATTTGGACCTATGAAGCGGAGACCTGGACACTGAAGAAAGAGGATTGGAGGAGGTTGGAGACAATGTGAAATATGTTTCTTTCTAGTTGGAGGAAACGAGACTCCGAGGAGAGTTGGCAAAGGTGGAGCAACTATGAAGAATTGATCAAAAGAAGACAGAACAAAATGAAAAGATTATGAAAGTGCCGGTGCGCGTGCGGCGTCAGCGGCGCTCAGTTGTCCTTCAGAATGAGTTAAGTTAGTCATTATTCCCCGTTGAGGGGGTACTCACGAGTGCACGGAATCCATAGCATAGCCATACTCACCCAGTCTTGGCAAAAGTGGTCCAGAACTCCATGAACTTGACTGACAGCGCCATGTCGTCCGAACTCTGGGACGGAGATGGCTGGCACTCCCGTGAGAACGGACAGCCGTACATGTACCAGGCGTCTCCACCGTGCATGGCCCCCAGCCATGGCGGGAGGAAACTGGCCTCGTTCGCCCGTGTCATTTGATACATGAATACGTTATCGCCAGTTTGGGCGTGATAGCGCGCCACTCGGTCGGTTCCGCTGACAAAGAGGCAATCAGTGAAATAGTCCAAGTACGACTGTAAGTAGTCAGCGTCTGCGTTGTCAGCCTGGGACCAGTCAACGTATTCCTGCTTGATAGCGTCTGCTAGAAGGTCATTAGAGGCCTCCGTACCAACTAAAGGTAACAATATAGTCCCGAGTCAGTCTTCAAAATACCTCTTCAAGCACAAACTGTTCCCTTAGCCTTTTGTATTTATTCTCAAATGATTCGTGTTTTTTTTAGTCTGATGTAAAATAATCGAACATAGATGGACAAATTATTTTTTTTGGTATGGAGTATTATACCGGCTGGCGCGCATAACCCGAACAAATGATTGGCGCTAACGCACTGACGTTATCATGTCTAGGTAGGTAAGAACATGTTTTATTTCTTAACTTGTTTATGTTCATCGGTAAGTCTTGTATACGTATTTTGTTCAAGATACTCGCACATGGGAGACATTGTAAAATACCAAAATGTGGCAATAAAACGTTCGAGGTTGGTACATTGGCCGGAGTAAAATCAAGGTAGGGTTAATGTTTGGCCTGGTTACAGTTGTCCAATAAAACAAACAATTCTTTGTTTACTTTAAACAATTTTTACAATTTTAGAATCCCCAAACCCAAGCCTGACAGTTTTGCTTTGTGTTCTCATTATTAAGTATAGACTAATTCGGCCACAGCCATTTTCTGTTGTGGCACCAGGCTCGCGCGAGTCACGCTCAGGTAATACACACGCACTCCGGGCTCCTTTGACCAATAGGGTTAACGGAATGTGCGCGTACGCGTACGGTATGCGCGCGAACGTGGTGCCGCCTAGCCTCAGAATGGCTTCAAAATTTTGTTTGCCGAATTAGTCTTTAACAGATTTCTCGAAATACGAATCTACGTGGGCTCGTCTTTTAACTGACAAAAAAATCTTACCATAAAGGTTGGCTAATTCCACAGAGAGGGCTTGATCAAAAGTTTCCTTGTTCAGAACTGGGGGCTCTGGTTTGTATAATGGATTGAATAACGGGTTGTTGAACGTGAAAAATGTTGCTTCGTCTCTGGTAGTACCAAGGAGTATTGGGGCGTGGTTATATCGCCCAGTGGAGTACAGATTGGAAGGCGTGTCTTCCAGAAAGGTGCCATCTACTACCACTGGCGGAATGGTAGACGTGAAGAATTCCTGAAATCGAGGTGGGAAAATATTGATATATTTATCATGATATCTGGATTGTAAGTTTAATTTAATATTTAATTAAAATATTTACACGCAGCACGCACTCACCTTTTGATTTGCGTTTTGTTGTCACTAAAATTGGACAAAGAGAAGAGAATACCAAGGCGCAGCAGCAACCAATGAAATCTTCAAAATCGGTTGGGGCGCCATTGATATCCTCCTACGATGAGCCTGAACGTGACGGTCTACTAGTATAGTACGAAACCCCAAGTTGAGGCTTGATTTTAATAACCATGTCAATCTTTTCGTTCGGTGTTACGACTTCTCTTACTAGTACTCATGACAAAGTAAAATTCATATCCTAGGTAGGGTTCTCAGAATCGCAGAACAAATGTCTCGTAGTCGTTGTCATGACAGAGTAGTCGTAATACACACTTTCCACACGGAAATGTACTACAAAACAGGTACACTGTACTGTCTTACATGGTTTTTTGGGAAACTGTTTCACCCATATGCGGCTGGGAAGTCCCAAACTGAAAAGTATGATGATATACGGAGTGTAAGGTGTACAATTTTGTTAAAGAGGTGAGTTTAAGTTGAACAATATAGTTTACCAGTTCAATTGCAGTCAATACAGCCATTGCGTCTTTGTCTCGCATACAGTCGACCAAGGCAACGCTGTCCTGCGCATTACAGCCCAGTTTCGTTCCCCTATCAAAGGCCTGCTGTCGAAGACGCTCACTGTTCCCATCAGCATACGCCCATCGAGAAAATGCCGTGCCACTCTGTATACGACAAACAAGACTTGGTAACAATTTGGCCATTGTGTTGCCACATCGGCGTAGCCAGGGTTCCCACCATGGGGACGGGGGAGGGGGAGAGAAGGGGGCTGGATGTTACAGTGGATGGGGGATGCAATTTCTGTTCATATCATGAACCATGGTCGCTCTAGGACTAACAAATGTCCAGTCGAAAAACAGATTTAAATACGCAAAAAATACCTGTCATGCGTACATAAAACTGTCATATATTAGATTAATATAGCTCTATCCTTGCGTACTATCAGTTTTGAAAAATAATGTCAACTTCATCAATTTTCCATGTCAGGCGTTTTACCCAGCATTTGTATAGGTCTCTCTCACTGATGACGTCACTTCCTACAGATTGCCACGTGTATCGGCATTTTTGCGCGACAAATCTTCTTATCCGGTTCGCTAGTGTGACGTCGGTTAAGTTTAAACCACGCCCACTGGTCATTAAGTAGCATTGCAACCTCGTTCTCCATGGGTACGATCTTGCTGCGCCATCATTGTTTCCCATCAGGCCTTGTGCGTTAGTGCAAGGAACGCGCACGCGCCCATGGAGTCGAGGCGGGTAGCATTGGAACCATTGGAACCGGGAGCTAACGTAACTTGAGTGTTTTATCCAATGGGCGCTAGTAATCGGTGGCGCACACGCGTGCATGACGTTTTTACTAACGAACCGCACCGGCGTGGACAGATCATCAGATACCGTCCCAGTGTATTGTGTAGTGTGCGGTAGGGCACTCACTTGCGGGGACGCTTTGTGCATCCTCGGCCCCCATATGCGTCTCGAGGCCAGCAAATGATAAACAAGATACTCAGATACACAAACAGATCTCACCTGCATGACAGCATTTTGGAACAGCCCCTGCGCCTGCTCAGACAGTACCAGTAAACTGACGCTAGCTCCCCCAGCGCTCACGCCGAAGATTGTGATCCGTTCGCTGTCACCGCCAAAGGCTGTCGGACGAGACAAAATCGTTAACTCCAACGTAGTGATACCAGCAGGTTATTTAAAGGCATATAAGATTATTTGCAAATCTGACCACCAAATTATTATCAAAAAAGCTTACTTACTATGTAATGCTAAACCCCACGACAGTCAATTGAGCGATTTTTGAAATCAAAAGGTGAAATCAAAAGGTTTAAATTTCTGTCATTGTATTGCGCTCCAGATAATGCGCCTCCGTGTCTAATGTGAGATAGGATGAAAAGAGTGCCCTGAATTCCCGAGACGCCCATATTTTGACTATTTTCTTCGAATTCATTTTATTCATTCAGTCATTCATGATATAAACAACACCCACCAATCGTGAAATCACGTCCATCCCCCCTTGATTTTTTTTATGTTGCCCCTTTCCCCGACCCAAATTATTTCCAAACCTCCAGCCCTTTACCCCAACCAAATGAACAAGGATAGTGTAGAGCCTTGTGCGGCCACTGGTCATCTTAAACGAATTGCGTTCGACGCAAAACTGACGTTTGGAGCAACTGCCAAACTTCTTTTTTTTTTGCCGACTGCCATTAATTGAATTAGACACGGTAGAAGTTCGACATTTGAAGCGGGCCTTACCGGCGATGTTTTCTTTAATCCATTCTAAGGCCAAAACCTGGTCAAGAAGGCCCATGTTACCTGGTGCCGCCTCGTCTCCTATTGATTAAGAATGAGACAAGAAATGAAAACAACTCTTCATAAGATGGAATTTGCGTCGGGGTGATATGATGTAAATACAATGTTAGGTTTTGCCCTTCACCGACGTATAAACACTGTATACTCTGTGTTACTCCCTGAGTGAAAGTGAGAAAACAAATGGAAAAGATTAACAGTATTATGGGGTCAGCAGTGGTACATCATGCCCCTTATTTTGGTCCTTACGCATACTAGAATATTAAATATGTTACAGGTCGGGGTGGGGTTAAAGAAACCGTCTGCCGAGCTCATGGATAAAAGTTATACATTCACATGATTCTGTAGGAGTCCGAATCCTCCTAGTCCTAGCCCGGACTAAAATCGGGAAAACCTAAAATACAAAATGCAACAAGATTCAGTGAAATCGTCACTTTGTGGGAAAAAAAACACAAACAGAAAACAATTTGTACATGACAATGTGTACCTGACATTACTATGTAGTTGAACGCGATTATATTTACTGAGACTCTATGTTCAGTCTCCACATAATATTTCTGCAACCGTTGTAAATTATTTAAGGGGAATTCTCGGATATTGGTAGCTCTTAAATCTGTAACAAGTATCCCGCAATATTAAACCTGGCCCATCACCAATTGCTGTTGCAGGATATTTGCAGCGTTTGTAGCCTATATATAACCACTGGCGGCGGAACCGGAGGGCTGGAGGGGGCCATTGCCTCCCCCCCCCCCTCCCATTTTCCACTGGTGGGAGACATGCCACCCGTAGGTCCCAAAATAATGGCAGCTATTTTGTATAGAGTTCTTTAAAGTGTCTTCGTGTTAGTTTCTTTCTTTTCATGCAATCACTATTACAGCATTCTGTAAGATACCTGTTGTCAGAAATCCGAAGACGTCCAGTCGGTAGTTGATGGTCACTACTATGACGTCACCAAATGCGACCAATGGCTGTCCAGGATAAACCGACTCAATAGCGGAGCCAAAAGCAAATGCGCCCCCGTGGATCGAGACCATTACTGCAGCGCCCCCTTGCTGTAGAAAAGGTGGAAACAAGACTATCATTATCACAGTCATGAAGAAAATTAGACTGGTTCCCGGTCCCTCCATATCCTTCGGACAAAAAAATGTAGGGAACGGTAGCAGAAATAGATTAGAAATATATTAGGAGTATTTCCTTCTAATATATGCAAATCATATGCATTTTCTGTGAAATGGCAACAAGACTGTCCCCAATGTGCAGTTTGTGTGGTGATGAGCTTCGATTTTCGCTGAATTCGAAATTGTGTCTGGCAACTTTTAATAAAGAGAGGGGACTGTCTTTTAGCATTTAGAAACCTATGCGGTTGAAATGCTTGAAAGATGCCTTCGTTGAGACACACAAGCGATTATGTGACTTATTCATACATGCGTACACACCACCCTGTCATACACGTACATGCAACACTCGTAGATACAGAGTAAAAGGCTAGATCGGCAGCTAACCAAAAAGTGACTGACGTAATTATTGTTGAAAAACATACTTGGCTGAAAGATAGTAAGGGGACTAAACTCCCTGGGAAATTATTCTTTCTGGCAAGCTGTCATTTTGAAGAAATCAACAGAAGAAGGCCTTTCCAGCGATGCGTCTAAAGACGTTGGAAATTTCCGTTAGTAGTTCTTTTTTTATACAGCGAAGCTGTATGGCCGCTTATTGTTGAAGTAATCTGTCATTATGCAGGGACAGAAACACTTAAACAGACAGAAATACAATTATACGTTTGTGCACAAACCTACGGGGAATGCAAGTGCATGTACAATACAAGTTTTGCCCCCCGCGCTGAAAAAAATGGCGACGCCCATGAAAGCAAATTTTGTGTCAGATGCACTGCGTTGCCGATCTAGTCTTTTTATTATATATCTATGATTAGCGCCAATCGGCTTAACACGCCACTTCGCACTACTTCCGGTTCCACTGGCCCCAATGCTACACCCGTGTGCAGTTTGCATGGTTAAGTCGAGATGACGTCCCACTTACGAACCACCTAGTTATGGTAAGAGTACGTGTTTTGATAGCCAAGTGTTCAACTGTCATCCATGCGCAAAGCTGTAAACATCATTTTCAAAAATAGAAATCATGTCGCGCACGCGCAGAGGTGATCCAATCAATGGCTTTAAATGGGAACTAAAGCTACCAGTCCCAATATTATGGCAGCGGAAACCAGTCTGGGAAAAAAACACACCTATAGTACCAACCAGTGTCCAACTTAATACTTTTACTTCAATCACAAATTTACAATGTCACTTTAAAGGCATTAAGGGTCATTTGCATTTATCCCAAAAGTAACCTACCGATTTATATTATTTAAAAAAATACCAAGAAAAATAATGCTTTGAGCCATATAAGAAAACCTACAACACTTACTATTGCTGGTCTCGGCGCATAGATATTCAGATGTAGACAATCTTCACTCATGGATGGTAGTGGTTGCGATGGAAGTTCTCTCTGTACGCAAGCGTCTCTGAAGTACGTAGCGTTGTAAGTACCGTCCCACGGCTGTTTGGCAGACGGGGCTTTGAAACGCAGCGGCCCCGTGGGCGGCTCGGCGAACGGTACGCCCTTGAACACATCGATGGTCTTGTTCACTCCGATGAACTCGGATTCTTCAAAGGTCTCGGTGGTACCCATAAGTGTTCCTTGTTCTACGGTTACGATTGGCTGAGATTGGACGACACTGAGCGCCACAAACAAACCGAGTAACAAGTAGACTTGAACGGGAAAACACTTGCTTACCATGGTGATTTTTTTTAAGGAATCTCACGTTTTCTTTTCAAGAACAAATGTTGTATTGTGAACACTTATAGCCAGACTCGATATATGTGTTGCTGTTGTCACTGCATGTTACCAAATGAGTACCAAACTATTAGGCCAAAAAAAAAATATTCGGTCTCTGGTCAGACCAAAGTTCCGGAATTGACGCGGCGACGCGGCTTTTTAAATTTTTTTTGGCTTTTTTTTTCTTCTTCAAGCTTGGATTGTACAGACAAGGTGGGATACTATTTTGCTGTTTGGGTGTCCTCATGTACATTCGTGTCCTCCATAGTTTGCCTTGGTGCTCTCGATCATTTGCCGTGGTGCAATATCCCATTCCTTGGTGCTCTTTGGTAAAAAAAAAAATTAAGGAGGTGCGGCAATAGAGGGCGCTGTTGGAACTACCGCGGAACATTTTGGAAAAAAAAAAGATTGACGCGCATGGTTAAAATCGATGGGCGCGCTGACCAGAGACCGACTTATTTTTTTTTTGGCTTTGATAGTGATCATGGTATTTCATGTCAATATTTGCTGAAGAGCAAAGCATCATGGGAATGACGTCTGGCACACTGACACTGACAATGCACTTCTTCAAAGGTCTCGGTGGTACCAAGAAGTTGTCATTGTTATACGATTACGATTGGCTGAGATTGGACAATGCTCAGCGTCGACGCGTCACAAACAAACCGAGTAACAAGGCGACTTGAACGGGAAAACGCCGACTGGGCCTACCCATTGTTGACGCACTGATTTTTTTTTTTACGTTTTGATTAGTTGTAGGCCTATGTGGGTTAGCTAGCACGCAACGTGAACAAAAGACTCTGCACGAACAACAAACATGCTGGTCGACCTTGATACTGAAAGCAAGTGATTTCATTGTTACTCACATATAGGTCAATATTTGCTGAACAGCAATGCATCATGGAAGTTAGACTTGAAATCAATTGGCCGGGTTACGTTCGACTAGTAGTAGTAGAAACATTTATTTCAATGTTGCCATTTCCACACAATAAAATGTTACAATGCCGTGTAAACATATTATACGAAGCAAAATGCAATGAATTATGTAATTGTGTATAATAATGTACATGGATCAATACTAAAACAAATTTACGACAACATTTAGGTACAAGGTGAAGCGTCACGCTTTTTTACCTATCGATAGACAAGTGGACATGACCGACTAAACGCCGACTCGTACCATGTACCATACCACGGCGTACACGCTGCATGCCATCGAAGTCCCGGGGTAACGTGTGCACATTAAAGCGGGAACGTTGCAACTACGGATTGATTGCTCGAGGGATCGAAAGCTAATTCCTGGGTCGTTTGTTAATTCAATCATATTATATTCTTTTCCGGAAAAAAAACAAGATGTTGACTTTATTTTCTATAGTTTACCACCCAGTGTAATATTCTAATAAAAATTGGTCGAAAACAGAAAGATGCCTAAATCTTGCGTATTTAATGCATCTTTAAGTTTCAAATTGTTAAATGAAAAAAGGACCAACTTAAAACGCGATTATCTCGAATGTTTGTTCAGGCAGTGAAATATATACTAAATTCACCTCTTCGTGAAAACGGTGTCGTTAAGTGACACCCCCTCTGAAGGATGTACCATGGTCCATTAGGATCTACCTCAGTCTCAGTCATGTTTACCACTTGGCTGGGACAATAACACATAACATAGACATATGAGTAGTCTTGATTCTAGGCTGACTCGATGGTTAACCACCATAGTCCGTCTGACCAATGCCATTTTTTTATCAGTTATTACAAAATCCCAATACCGTGGGGGAGAAAATCCCAAATGTTCCTGAAGATTAAACAAACTAATAACGTTTGTCATACAGTCTTGCTTTATTTCTTTAGGCCCTTTGGTCCCTGTTAATTGTCTCTGTCTTGACTTCAAAACCTTCACCAATCCCATTTGAAAATGAATGATCCACCATGCCCTCTGGTAGACTTGTATACATCGCATTTACTATATCATAAACTATGCCGTGAGAATTTGTCTGAGTGTAGGCCAATAAAAGACATATAGCATTCCTTCGTTTATTCGCAAAATCGTTCTTGCGTTATTTCTCAATAATCATTGCTGTATATTTATTTCGCAATTGTTTTCGCAATACTATCGCGTTATTTCGACAAAGTATTTCCAGGATAGGAAAGCCTTATGCTTTAATCCTGTTAATTAGTACGTGTTCCTCCCGCACCACAATTTGCGGAATGTTATGAATGCTTGTAATAGTTGCTACGCGCGGGTAAATACCCTATATAAGGCCGTGTCTGAATTACTTGGCTGCGGCTTAAAACTTACACCCGAGTCTCGCCGTAGACACGTGTGTAATTTCAAGGCGTTGCCAAGTCGAGTCATTTGGACACGGCTATAGCCTGGTACAGTATACTGTGTATACCCCAAAATAAATGTACGATTTCAAGTAGCGCTGCAGCGTGGAGCCATCATCTTCCCGATGGTTCTGTACCGACGTGCTCCTTATCATCGCTGGATCGTGGCCGGTGCTGACGGTGCTACTGGACGGCATCCTGGACCGTCGTGGCCCCGGCCTGATGTGGCTGACTTTCTGGGATTCAACCTACCCAACCGTGTGGTTGCGAAGGCCGATTTCTAAAGGTTACGTAATACTTTATTTTGAGTGAAACAACATGCACACAGACATGTTCACCCAGGCGGGCGAAATCTTTGAAAATCAATTACTCCCGTTTGGAAGACCGTACCTAAGCTTCATGCAACTTTCAGGGTTTGTTTCTCTCACAATGATCCAACTAGTCGTTGTGATATGTTCAGTACTTTCCGATGAAATTGAAAAAAATAGGCTTTGCTACGTGCATTTTTTAAGTTGTAACACTGGTGTTTGCAATATCTGTCAATCTTTGCAAGCCTCACACCATTAATAAGGTGCCTATCCATTATGATGTGCAGTAAAAATTTGCAGAATAGCCTCCTTAACGAGTTATTTATTAATAAATATCACCCTTTTTGCCGGCCTCCATTGGTCGATACCGAGACCCACGCGATGTCACGCCGAGTGATGCTAATAAATAAGCTAATATACGCTTCGTCATTGTTGCCCCAAAATCGGCCAAGCATGCAAGCCAACCTGAAAACCATGAACGTGAGTTTGGTTGGCCAAAAAAATCCTCGTCAAGATGTTGCTTGGAGATAGTTTAAGGTGTAACACAAGCGTTTGCAACAACAGATTAAGCTGAAATTCGGAATATACTTAGATAATCTAAGTGTTCAACAACTCGAGACAAAACAACATGAGGAGATTCCTAGAAATTGAGATAAATACATAAATTTGGGGACCTTTTTGAACGATTTTTTCCCGACTATAACTTATAAGATGACGACCCCTATTTTCTTTTATACGCGATTGTGTGCTTATTTTTCACGAAAACTTATTTTTCCGTGAGTGGCTGTTTTATTGTAACGTCCCTTGGAAAGCAAATAACGGTAGTTATTGTCCAACCATGGTCTAATGCAGCCATGGTCTAAATGGTTTTGAACAGCGCCCCCATGGGAAGATGGTGTCCAGCTTATTTTGTTGTCTGTAGTAAAATATTTCCGTTTTCAAGTTATATTCAGTTTTCATTGTACTCCCACTAAACAGAGGAAGTGAAGGTCAAGCAGTTTTGTGTCCGGGAATCAGAAATGTTGCTCAATGCACAGAATATTGTGTTCATTACACTATTGTGAAAAAAAATGAGCACAATATTCTTTTTAGTTCAAAAGATATAGTTGAAACTACTTTGTAAAATGTTGCCCTTATATCGCTTGTAACTTAATACAAGAAGACACCATGATGACGTCACAAAGTTTATAACATCTTCAGACCGGTGTCCAAGTTCATACCAGGTTTTATTATCAACCGTTTGGAAGAAATCTTAGTTTGTTTTGAGTTGAGGCTCATTTCTATATTTTGAGTTCACCTAACGTTGACCTTCCGGTAGCCCTGGAAGGAAAGGTCAGATGACTTTCACTTTGGTGATCAAAAATGTTTTTCAAGGTCTGGTCCATCAGATCACAAAGTATGAATGTCATCGTTTATTTTCTTCATGAGTTATAAAAAACCAAAAGTGTTCATATTTTGAACAAACATCGCGTGTGTTTGATGCACGATGACGTTATCATGACGTCAGACTAATATTCACCACTCGAGATCAGGGTGTTGAAAGTTACAAGTTCATACCATAAACAGTTTTGAAGAATACCCGCGGAGGATCGTTGTCGAGAGAAAAAAGCGATCAATTTGTACCATATCAAAAGAGTGATCGGGTTGAGATCACTGAATGGGCGTGAAAGCATGTAATACACGTTGGAAGTGACAGCACCAAGTACACGATATAATTAAATGTCTTGCTAATTGCGGTTTCGAATCAGGATACTGCCATTCAGCAAGCTGCCATTCCCAGGGCTTACCATTGAAAACGAAAGTGAAAATAAAGTAAGGCCCCTGGGACGTACGGTGGTTGTCGCCCTGCATTAGTGTTTATCGATAGATCCGCCATTTTTCTCCAGGAAACGCACGGTTTCGAGACAGATTTGCCAAAACCTGCACCATGTGAAGGGCAGCTAGATTACTCTGTCTTTGTTTTGTCTGTGTCCTTGTTTTGTTTGTAGGTCCTGTCATCTTCTTTTGTCGAAACTTCCTTGTTTGTCCGGTAAGTTATACATTCTTGATCAATGACGTGTGTAACATCATGCAGTCAATTTGGTGAGTACGGACCTTCCTTTGTGCATGATTGTGTATGCGTTATAATAATTATGTGTGCTTTCTGTAATGACAAAACAGTAGAGACATAAACTCAAACGGGCTCTTCAGTCATTGGGTGATCGGGTACGTCATTGGTTGATTGGGTACGACCCGGTCACCTTTTTGGAATGTATGTCCTGTCATACATTTGCGGAAATGCCCCAGTTTGGCGGAAATGCCCTAGTTTGGCGTTTGGGGGTTTTTTTTCGTCTTCTGCTTCTTTTGCTTGTTCTTCTACCCAAAACCCCATATACTTTGTACACGTTTCGTTCTCAATGCCACTTTTGACAATAAACAGACTTCAATCTTGATGAAACTTGGCATAGACATGGACCCCATAGTAAGTCGTGCATGGACACGTGACGTATGATGACATCATCACAAGTCATGTGACGTCATCTTGAAGGTGTACATTTTAAAGACTATATCTAGAGAACTACAAGGTTGATTGAATTTAAACTTGGATGTGTTATAGATGAAAATTGAAGTGATGTCATGATGACGTCATCATTTGATTTCGTATTATTACCGTGTTATTTAATCTGTGGGCTTCCCTTTATTGTGTTATTTCCCTGCCATTTGAAAAAAAATTTCTTGTGCATTTTGTTTGCCTTTTTTGTCCTGTTTGTTTGTCATTATGTGCGGGTCCGCATGCCGTTTCCGAGCAACAGTGACTTTGGATTCACTTTTGCGGTCCCTGGCCCACATTATCGTTTTCATCGTGATATTAAATGTGCCTCACAATAGGGAAGCCTATTCTCCGCAGGAATTTGTCAAATTGTATCAAACGAAGTGTCTAAGCCCATGTTTTTAAGATCAACGAATTCATCACAGCCATTTCTCAAATAAATGTACATTTATAAGCATAAATTAATATGCAAAGTAGCTACCGCCTTTTCCCCTTTCACATGTATACATGTATCTATTTAATAGAAATGTTTTATAAAACCTGACTCATGAAATCCAAGTTAATATTATTGTAATAGATGTCAGATTAAATCCATTTGAAAGTCATAGGGAGAATGCGGTTTATTATTATAGGCAGGGCTGACCTGGGTATAGTTCAGGGGTGATAAACAACGGACACGCCATTTCAGATCAGATTTCTTGACATACGATCCCCATTTCCGTTGATTTGACAGGGCCCTATCCCACTACAGGAAATCTGATACCATTAAACTATTGTTTTTAAACCGAAACAGGATGCCATAAATCCTGAAGACAGAAAAATATAATGTGGTGAGAAACAAATGAACGCCGACTTTGAGGTTATGTTGCAACATTTCCCACAGTCCCAATGTAATAAGGAGTTAGGGGTTTTCCAAAACATGGCATTATCTCCATTTCAACTTTGCCTGCTATTTTGGTCCCTAACCTTTGAAGATTCAAGTTCAACATTAAATAAATGTTTTCTTACAGAAATATCAAAATGTATGATTTTAAAGCAAGTGGGTTTTTTTTTTACTTTATAGGAAGTTCGGGACATTAAAAGATTTTAATGGTGAGCCAAAAAGAAAACGAAGCAGAGCTTTGAAAAAGGCCTATCATGTTTCATTTTAGCCCGGTGGTGACTGCATGACCTACAGTACAGACGTCAAGGCGTCGGGAATATACCTTATTCACGAGAAAGACACGAGATCGTGTTCTCTGAATCTATTTCATTCATTTTAAACTGTTGAATGGGATGAAGCAAGACTATTTCATGATTATAAGCGATTCAAGTCTCATTTTCGGTTTGTTTTAATGTTTTAGGGTATTTTTGTCAAGTTGGAAACTTTGAAAGTTTAAGCCTATACCGGCTTTTAAAACGCCTTAATTGCTAATTTGAAAATCGAAGAAGATTCTGAGAAAAAAAACATTAAGGCACTGACAATTTTAGTAATTCTAGTAAAAAAAAAGTTAATTCTTAAATGTTTGGATGTTTTGCTTCCATTAAAGGGACGGTAAACTGATGAGAAATGCTGTGGGTATTTTTATTATTATTCTGTAAGTTATTACAAAATTTCAATTTCTTTTAATATAACATGCACAATAATGTAATTGCAATTTTGTTTTAACCAAACTAATTATTAATTTTGCTAATTATAACTATTTGCAGTTGGCCGAGAATTTCTGATGTGGTTAAATAACACCGGTTTGGAATTCCAAGTAAACACAGTTTGGGCAATTTTATCCTGTCTATCCTGGTCTGCTCAAATTGACTTCATCGCTAAGAAAATCTCTAACAAAATTGCCTGGGTTAATTTAACCCATGAAAGGGTGAAAACTGCAACTACCCAAACTTGGGTTGTTCTATAACCAATTGTTTGGGTTAGAATTTCTGTTAAAATCAACCAAAAGTTGTCGTCATTCAAGACCAAATTAATATTAGTGTTGCCTCTCTGCTTCCACATTTAAAATGCTTAGTAGTGCCATGGTCTTTCCTTTACTGTAGCGTTGTGTGGTCCAGTTGTTCAAACGGTAACACTGAGAGAGACTCATCAAATTGCATAATCGCCTCGCTAGATTGATCCTCACTGCTGATTATAGGACACATATCGCAGAACTTCACGAGGCCCTCACATGGACTGCACTCCCTCTACGCTGGCGTTATAACAGAATGTGTGAATTGTACAAAAGTATTAACAAAATAAACCTGCACTCTCAACTCTCGCTTTCAGGCCCCAACTCATTCAATTGGCACCCCATCTATGTCCAATTGCTCATTATGCATGTCCTATGTTTATATTTAATGCCATCAAAATTATGTATGAAGATACAAGTGCTGTTGTTCTCACTCCCGAAGGTGAATCAGATTCGTTCTCCGTCAACACTGGAGTTCTTCAAGGTGATCCTCTCGCCCCCTACCTATTCATCATAGTTCTGGATTATGCCCTGTGGACAGCATTAAATGTAACCGATGGTCTCACCCTCTCACGCCGTAGGAGTAGTAGACACCCTGCCCAATACCTATCCGACCTAGATTATGCAGATGACATTAGTCTGCTTGCTGACACACTCCTTGATGCCGAATCTCTCCTCCATAAAGTAGAAGCTTGCTGCAAGTCCGTTGGTCTCCCTTAACACAAAGAAGACTAAGTACATGGTCATCAACCCATCTACCTCTGATGACGTCACTGCACTAGATGGCATAAGCTTGATAAAGTTGGTGACTTCAAGTATCTGGGCTCCTACACCAACACAGCTCATGACATCGAGTGTAGAAAAGCTCAAGCTTGGTCTGCTCTGTTCTCACTGATCAAAGTATGGCGATCCTCGATCTCCAAGACCACCAAACTTAAGATCTTCAAGACCTCAGTAGAATCCATCCTCCTCTACGGTTGCGAGTCCTGGACCCTGACCAAACAGATCTCTGCATCCATTGATGGCACCTATACACGGATGTTGCAGGCTGTACAGAACGTTTCTTGGCAACAACATCTCCCTAACTCTGTTCTGTATGGTGCCCTTCCCCCTATCTCCACCACCATCAGACAGCGTCGCCTTCGGCTAGCCGGTCACGTTTATCGACATAATGAGCCAGCTAGTCAAGTTCTACTCTGAAATCCTGAAGTCCCTCGACGAAAAGGTCGTCCCAACATGACCCTGAAAACATCCATCGAACTGGTCTGAGTGGTCCATCTCTTTCCAACACTATGCTCGACAGGGACTGTTGGGCCCAACTCATCAAGTCATCATGAAAATGAATGAATGAAGAAGAAGAAGAAGATGTTTATATTTTCATTCTAACCTATCCCTTTAATAACACATTTTTATGCAAGATTTTCAATTACTTTTTTTATTGTCATTTTTGTTTAGTTTGTTTGATTATTGTTTTCACTGTTTCAGTTTTTATTCATTCGTTTAAAAATTATCTTCTGTCCTGTTTTTGATATTTTGCGTGCATGATCGTGATGGCTATATCTCTATTTATGTTATGGCATAGTTATCTGTTGTGTTTGTTTCTTGCTTGTTTAATTTTATTTTAATTTTTTATTTTTTTTATTTTTTTTGACGTGTTCTTATTATTTATTTCCTTCGTTAAGAAGTTTGGTTGTTTCTTAAATATATATATACTAATATCTTTTGTGGTTGCTATTTTTAAAAGTAAAACTCAAGGAAACTTTTTGCAGAGCATATAAATTTTTTTATACGATGTATAATGAAATCAGATATCATTTCTTGTTCATTATTTTGTGTAAGGCGGATTCGTCCAAGCGAACGCTGATGGAACCATGTTCTTGGAACGAGGCCAACGAGGGATCGTTCCCTGTCCTCTCGTCATATCTCGCCAAATCTCGCCGGGTGACGTCGACGCAATGTACTGGTACTATGGCTCAACGAGCGGCACATCCCTGCTCATCTCGTACTTCTTGGGATGGGTGGCTCCCCAAAACGGGATCCCAGAGGGCGTCTATGATATCGACAATGAGTTCAATCTCATCATTGAGAACGTCACCGCCTCCTGTGAGGGAACCTACTACTTTCAGTTGAAACCGCGTTTGAAAATAATAGAAGAGGGACAGGTTGAAGTTCGTAATAAAGGTGAGTCCATTTTGTGATATGTATTTTTTTGCTTCAAATGTTACTGAACCGCATTTGTAAATTCTTTTTAAATATCCAAAACAAGACCAAGCAAAAATATATAATTTGTCATTGCTATATAAATACAAGCAATAATACGTTATCCCGGGGGATATTTAAAATTACCCCCCCCCCTCCAAAAAAAAAAGAATTAAATGAAATTAGAAAAAAACATTAAAAAGGTTCTGTACCTAGAATCTCCATGAAGATTGGCCCATTGGACCCAGGTCGATAATGATAATGATGTCTGGTTCCCTTTACTTCGTCCTGTGTGGAGTCCTGGACAAGTTTTCCATTATAACCGCCAGTCTATTTTGTTGTCAACTCTTAATTCAACCAACAGTCTCCCCAAGTCGTCCATATCCTACCGTCATCGGCTGCAATCAAGACCACGACGCAAACACGTGCGAGGTGAGAGTACGACACGACAGCACGGTGCATAACCTGACCTGCGTCATGGAGCAGGTCAAACCTGCCGTGGAATTGAGGTGGATCCGTCTGTTTTTGGGCGGGAAGACGGAACTGAACGCCTACAGAACAGTCAGGCCTGTAGTTCTACCGGCCTACACGAGTAAGCATCGTATTTTTTGAAGTTGCGTTCCCCATGCTATTTTTGAGTTCCATGCCCCAAAATCATTATCATTTTCTAAATAGGCCTAACTTTTGTTTTAGCCATACGAAATTTATTCACTTTAAAGACACGGACAGCAAAAGAGCTTTATGCCCGTAAGACGAACTGGTCTGTTACTCTACCGGCCCACATGGGTAAGCAATGTCCTGTCCATTGAAGTGTTAACAGTTTCCATTGAAGTGTGAAAAGCTTAAGCTCTAGACCAATTTGATCGAAGTTTCCCTTGAATCGTGAACTCACGATATGGTTAAATTCGTTAAAGCTGGTGTACATAAGTGGTACAATGCAACCTAACTATGACATGGGTCCTATGGTACAAAGGGAGTCGTTTTAGTTGCAAGGAAGTTCGGACGAACCGAAATATTTTTGGCTGGATCTAGAGTGCCAGCCAATAATGTTAAATACATAAAACCTTATCTCACTAACTGACTGACTGTCACTTGTAAGCCAAGCAGTGGTACAGTATAGAAATACCCGTGACGTAATAAACGAGCTAATTCCGGCCCATTGCGTAGACCAGATCATGAAATAGCCATTTTGGATTAATTCGGGCGATTCACAATGCAGTGCGCCACAAGTTTGCCACGGATAGTTCATTTTCGCAGTGCATTGTGGGAGATGGTCGACAAATTCATTTTGAAATTTGAAATTGTTAGCTTTCCGGTCAGTAGTTGCGTAAGCGTACTATGATTTGAGTATCTGTTTGCCCTTTTCTTTTCTTTTTATCAATATGGTGTTTTTGTAAGGCGGCGGAACGCTATGCCCCAATCTATAACAAATTAGCTCAAGTTGTCAACTGACACTCATTCAAATAAGCCGTGTTTTGTCAACCGTAAACTTGAAAAATGGGACTCTCCGTGGCAAACTTTTGGTGGCGCACTGCATTGTGAATCGTCCGAATTGAATAGGTTTTTCTGTGCGTTCTGGGACCAGCTTGCTAGGCTTGTACCGTTTTGACAGAGATCTGCCTGTACTTGATTGTTTACCCTTAATATCAGGTTCGTCGTTGAGGAACAACACCTATTCAACTTCAGCATCAATCCAAGTTCCTTCGGTAGACGATGATGCGGAATATGTGTGTGAGGCAGTGGGTGTTGCTGTGGGGAATAGTACGCGCACGAGGGTTCGCCTTACTAAAACTCACCCCACACCGGCAGCTCATGGCACAACGGCAACTCGTGACACCATGGCCACTCATGACACGACGGAATCTCATGACACGACGGCAACTCGTGACACGACGGCAACTCATGATAAAACAGGTTCTCTTTACTCTTTTTTGTTTTTCAAAAAGTGAAACTGGGGACCAGACTTTTAAGAGTGAAAATTCACTCTAACTTCTGATTGAACTGAACAACTTGGGGAAAAGAAATAAATCCAGTGGAATCTAGAGTAAAAATTCGATCTTATTGATTAATGAATTTTAATCTGGATCGTCTTGATCCTACTTTCAGTCCTATGGCATCCAGTTCAAGTGTATACAGGAAATGGGAAGGCGAAATGAATGAAATCGTTTAAATAGGTATGGAGGACGCGAGTGGGATGCGGAGAAAGCGAAATTGTTGGAACACTTTTTGCATCAGTCAAATCGTGATTCTTTTTTTTCTTCAAAGGCACAACTTCGGCTTTGGATGGGGAAGTAGTGAGAACAGACTACTCCATTGGAACCCAGACAACTGTCTTCATGATTGCGCCGATGGTGATATCCTCAATGTCACTCCTGTGTAGTGCTGTCTGCATGTCATGTGTTTGCATGGTAAGTATTGTATTCAGTAGAAGCTAGCTTCCTAGAAAACTGTTCCCTGCCCATTTGTGTGGCTTAGGCAACATCATCTAAACTGATCCAAATTGACAGTAGAATAATGATAACACTAGATCATAATGTAGCGGAAAGAGTTTCATGAGAAGCTATAGTGCTGATACTAAATGAAGACATGGATCTGGTTCTGTTGTCATTCTAAGGGTCCGTCTTTGGGGAATTTTGTAGTGTGATTAATGCGGGATTGGGAATAAGATGTACATCTGGTAATTTTTCTGTTTCTGCAGTTATTCCGAAGACAGAAGGATACGGCAAAGCCGATGCCAAACGTTAAGTATGATATCTCCAGAGCGTCTTAAGCTGAATCCGTTTAATATATTCTGAATCATCTTCAGACTAAGTATATGGATAACAATACAAGGATTTCTGTGTGATAAGAAACAAAAGAGTAATCGTTTATTTTTCTGTGAAGAATATGTTGTTTTCATGCTATTTAGTCATTGTGGTTTTAAAGAAGCCACATGTGAAAAACTCAGAGGCTGACTAACAACTGTAAATATTTTGCTAAACTGTAAATATTTTTGCTAAACTGTAAATATTTTTGCTTCTGACGTATGAGTCAGTTGTTAAAATAGCTACGGGAAGCGTCATATGTTTACACATACAAGAGTATGGATGAGAGGTAACTGAAGGGATTTCTGTGATAAGATACATAGCGACTCATCATGTGTTCTAATGTGGAATTATAGGTTTTTCCATTTGCCAAATAAGCTTGATATTACTTTTTACTTTAAATATTTTTCTATGTGGAAAGTTCAATCACTGCGCAGTGCTTTCATGAAAGCAAACTATGCAAGTCTGAGTTCATTTTTCGTAGAATTTTCCTACCTCCATGCTCCATGCTTTATATAAGGATTTTTCTATAGATTTTGTATGATTATGATTTTTTTTTACTTTTTGTACTCTTGTTTGTAATTCTTTTTACAGATAAGCTAGATTGTAATAAACGTTAACAAATGTGGTTATTTCTTTTACTATAAAAGTGAACAAATTAGTGTTCTTTTTAGACTTTTGTTGTAAAACGCTGGCGTCTTCATGTGACATTCAAATCGCTTTTTGCTTTTTGCTTTCCAGCCAAGACATGATTTTTTTTGTAATAGAATATAAGATCGACAGATTAATCCTGTACTCTGTGGTAAACTGGGTTAGAATGCAAAGAAAAGGTTGTTGTTTTCCATGTGGTTAATCAACTGCTGGTGCAAATCGCATGTGACTTTGAAATATTCGCACGTTGTTTGTGTTAAAATTGAAATGCCTCACAATAACTAAACAGACGATTTCACGGTTTCCAACCCAAAAAAAAAGAATTTTCAATTTCTTAATATTTGCAAAAACGGCGTGTTCTTTGTTTTGTACACAATTCAAAAAAATAAATGTATTCTTTTTGTGTCGGCAAGCTTGAATACAAATAAGCCTATAAGGAAGTGTATATTGCCGCACATTTCACGTACATGTAGATCTGATTCCTGTTTACAAGTGATGTGCGCCTGTAAGAGGGAAAGCATCATACTTGATTTCCGTTTTAAGTCCCATAAAAAGCATGTCTGGAAATCCCAGGAAGAATTACAAGATAGGGGACTTTCCACCTGCAAACAAATACTCAACCTTGTTCACAATGGGTGACATCCTGATTCTATTTTTAGATCTTTGCCGTTTACGTTAAATAACCAATGTGGATTTTGCTTTCGCAAAAAATCGGAGGTTTTGGTTTATATATATTTGCACTGATATTTAAGTGTAGGGCCATATTCTCAGATTTGGACAGACTCACTGTGTGGACATTGCAGTTGCGGAAATAAACGTTTCAACACATTGGTTTGTGGAGTTCGTAACAGAAACACAATGAACTCGGAAATTTGTACGGAAACCAAACGGGCAAATTATTATCACATGAACTCGTTGCGTGCACAAATAATTGTATACATGTAGTTGGATTTTTCCATTCTGTTACGGGTGTGCTCACAAACGCAAATCGGCTGTTTATATAACCACAAGTATAGGATCGACCCGACAAACAAACTTACCAGGATTCCATGAAAGAACTAACTCAATTTATTATTTTGATGATCAGTGTTTCAAGAAGCCTTAACTACCAATGGGGTTTGAGTTGATGGACACTAAAACTCTTGCCTATGTGCAGCTCTTATTTAGCCTGTGTGATTCTAAATCGAAATTGTCAATAAAAAGTAAAATGTGAACAAAAATTATATATATTTAAAAGCAAAAAAGTGAAAGAGTTCGTTGTTGTACAAATTCATGTTAAGCGTTACTCGTAAAATACCAGCAAGTCTATACACAACACCAGCAAGTTTAGCTTAAAGATGCATTCTCCATGCTATTATCGCGTTTCACCTCGAAAAATAAATACTTTTTTTCAATTGCTCTTTTCCAAGCAATATAAAAGTTTTCCACTTTTGAATGAGACATTGAACAAAATAAATTCATCATCGTTTAGTAATTCAAAAATGTTTTTCATAAAATTCGAATTATTGGCTGTCAGACAATAATTTGGCTCTCTCGGCGGTTTATTTGTGTACAAATTGAAAGCTCTTTTTTAAGAGGATTGTAGACGCAAAAAATCGGAATTTAGTAGTTTTTTGATTAAAACAAAACGAATCCATTTTTGTACAGCGTGGGGGATGCATCTTTAACAAAATTATGCCAAAACCCAATGCTGAAAAGCTAAAAAGACGTAAAGATTTCAAGCTTGTCGATGCTGAAGAAAATAAATTGTAGTAAAGTTTGCAATTGCACTACATGTAGCAACAAGAAATCTCTTTTTGTAAATAGTTCTGGAAAGACCGGTGGAATCTTAACGTTATTGGACACTATGCTCTGCTCGTCATGATCAGGAGACTGAGTGATTCCAACGAGATTTCTTGTCACGTGGTGTCAAGTCTAAAATCTAACTGGTTCCTCATTGTCAAATAAAAGTTCTTTCCAAAACCCACCGGTTCAAAGAACGCTTTCATTCTTGAAGACGCAACACCTAATAATCTCTATTATTGACGCTTAAACAAGTTGTTTACAAACAGAAAACGCATGAGTATCTAAGTTTTTTTCGCGAAATTTTAAATGTTTGTGCGTATGGACATACACGGGGGAAGGTTTCCATTCAAGAGGTAAGATCCACATAGTTATTACCGATAACCCTTTTTCTGAGTCTCCCGTCCTTGTTTATAATTCGGCGCGGCAGGTTTTGTGAGGGGGGGAGGACCAGAAAACAAAATGGCCACAATTATATGTTCATTAAAAGCGTAGTCTTCGTTGAAAGGGTATATATACTAGTAGCGGTGGTGAGGTACTGGCGCTAACATTTGCTTTGAGAAAAGAACAGACAAAACTGACGCCGGGTTGCAAGTTGGTCATCCCCCCCCCCCCAGAAAAGAAGCAATCATTCATCGACAGCAGTCATCTCCCGATTTAATTCAGTTCCTGTTTATATTTGTCGAATTCATCCCTCCAGTTCGCCATGTCCGTGTACTTCCAATTGTACAAAGCTTGTTTCCAGTCAAGCTGTGCAGTCTCCATATCAGCTGCAATCAAACAGAAAGAGGGGAAATATCAAAGATGATGTCCTCTTTCTTTAAAATATTTCAATGACTCCCAGGAAATACCTGTGATGAAAGCGCATGGGAAATGCTATAAACGCAAGTGCATTAATGTCGTGGAACCAAAAACATCCTACGTCTGTGTAAATGCATTAATTAATCTCTGGGGAAAACATATGAGGATATATATTTTTTAGAATCACTGATTACCCGTTATGGCCCTGAGATGGACCACGTAGTTGTTCCAGAAGTGACATTCCCGACTCTTGAGGGCTCTCTTCGTCGTGAGGTTCAAGTCTAGTTCTTTGTACTCCAGTTCCGGGATGGTAAACCTTGGCCAGAAGCCCATGTCCGACTCCGATGTTGATTCAAGACTTGGGTTTCTGGGGGTAGAAAGAAAGAAACTGTCATTTTGGTCGGGTTTTTTTCTAATTACCGAATGTAGCTTCCGAGGGAGGGTGCTTCAGAGTGAAGTCGGATTTGCATAATTTTTAATTATTCTGACATTTTGTCTGTCCAAAACATTCATATTTCTCAAATTCAAATTATCTTTTTCCTAGCTCCATGTTCAAACGAGACAAAAGCGTGGCGAGAACCCCTGTAGCATGGGCTTAGCGACTGACTTTGAATGTTGTGGGAGAGTTGGCACATGAAGAGCGCTTTATGGTAAACAAAAGACCCAGAACAAAATGTGATGAATGTGACGGTGCGCGTACGGTATCAATGGCGCTCAGTTGTCCTTCAGTATGGGCTAAGTTAGTCATTATTCCCCGTTGAGGGGGTACTCACAAGTGCATGGAATCTACAGCCATACTCACCCAGTCTTGGCAAAAGTGGTCCAGAACTCCATGAACTTGACCGACAGCGCCATGTCGTCCAGACTCTGGGCCGGGGATGGCTGGCACTCCCATGAGAACGGGCAGCCGAATACGTACCAGGGGTCGCTACCGTGCGTGGCCCCCAGCCATGGCGGGAGGACACTGTCGCTCACCCGTGTCATTTGATACATGAACACGTTATCGCCACTTTGGGCGTGATAGCGCGCCACTCGGTCGGTTCCGCTGACAAAGAACTCATCGGTGAAATAGTCCAAGTACGACTGTAAGTAGTCAGCGTCTGCGTTATCAGCCTGGGACCAGTCAACGTATTCCTGCTTGATAGCGTCTACTAGTAGGTCATTAGAGGCCTCCGTACCACCTTAAGACAACAGTAATTGTCCAAAGTCAGTCTTAAAAATACCTCTTCACGCACAAACTATTTCCATTTGTATCATTTTTCAAAATTGATTGGTTTTTTAGTCTGATATGTATTAATCGAGCTTAGAATTGGATGGTAAATTAAATCTCACCATAATAGTGGGCTATTTCCGCAGAGAGGGCTTGATCAAAAATCTCCTTGTTCAAAACTGGGGGCTCTGGTGGCGTCATAAATGGAATGAATAACGGGTTGTATAAGGCGAAAAGGGTTGCTTCGTCTCTGGTAGTACCAAGGAGTAATGGGGCGTGGTTATATCGCCCAGTGGAGTACAGATTGGAAGGCGTGTCTACCAAGAATGTGCCATCTACTACCACTGGGGGGACGATAGACGTGAAGCCCGTCTGAAATCGAGGTGGGAAAATATTATGTCATATTTGTACACACATACTTTTTGATTTTGAGTTTAATGCTGAGTTTGTGCTCATTAAAACCTGGCCAATCAGACAAAGAGGAGGAGAATGCCACGGCGCAACAGCAACCAATGAAATTTCCAAATTGGGAGGCCATTGCTATCCTGATTCGATGAGTTCTGCAGTCTGCTGCTGGGCCCAATTTCATAAAGCTGCTTATGCAGAAAATTTGCTTAAGCAAGAAAAAACATTGCTTAGTTAAACTTGATTACCGACCAAAACTCCATGTGATGTGCATTGCTTGTGACCGGTATTCAGCTGTTGTTTACTTAGCATAACAATTGCATGGAGTTTTGGCAGGTAACCTGATTTTATTAAGCAAGACGTTTTGTGCTTAAGCAAATGTTGTGCTTAAGCAGCTCTATGAAATTGGCCGCATGTCTATATAACCTATACGCAGCCTATCTAGTACCTTACATATTCAAGCTTGGTTTTAACAGCCATGTCAGCCCTTGAGTTTTGTCCAGTGTTGTAGAACTCGTTCCCGTACTCGTACTCGAGTATATTTTTCTGGTACTCGTACTCATGAGAAACTCGTATTCGTACTCACAAGACAAATACCCGTACTCGTCTCGCACTCATGACAAAGTATTCGTACTCAGTTGTCTTAGAGGGCTTTCCTAATTCGAAACCAGTCTTTTTTGGGTCCCATATGTGGCCGGGAAGTCCCCACTGTAAATGAAGAGTATGATGATATACTTAGGAAAGAAGTTATGAAAAGTTTTGTAAAAGTTTGATGTGAGTTTTGAACGATGGATTACCGGTTCAATTGCAGTCAATACAGCCATTGCGTCCTTGTCTCGTAAGCAGTCGACCAAGGCAACGCTGTCCTGCGTATTACAACCCAACTTCGTTCCCCTATCAAATGCCTGCTGTCGAAGACGCTCACTGTTCCCATCAGCATACGCCCATCGAGAAAATGCCGTGCCACTCTGTATACGACAAACAAGACTTGGTAACCACCTGGCCATTGTGTTGCCACAGTGGCGTAGCCAGGGCTGTCACCATTGGGGATGGAGCGTGTGGGTGTGTATGTGTGTGTGTGGGGGGGGGGGCTGGGTGTTACGGGGGACAAGTTCTGTTAGTCTCGTTATCAAACCATGGGGCTTATAGGGTAAGGGGGCGGCTGCCCCCCCCCCCTTACCTCCCCTCCCCCTTGTCTTCGCCACTGCGTTGCCACAACACGAAGTGAGGCTTAAGATATCGGCTCATTTCAAGATCCCTAAAAAAATATCCGAAGCGTGAGGCTTCGCAAGAGCTCAGGTATTTCCGGGCGTCAAACAATGTTTATTTGCCAACAGAATACCTGTCTTGCTTGTTATCTGTTCTGAACATTTTGAGTTCATAACTGTTCGATGTCATGCGTTCTACCAAGCATCTGTATTAAATGCCCGGTGTGGACGTTGTACGGTACCCCGAGTATGCACTTGTACTTTGTACGAGGGTTTGGCTTTACTGAGTCATGCTCTATTGTTGAGTGTGGCGGATACCTGACCTACGATTTGACAGAATAGTTATGGGTCTGGGAACCTGACTATACAGATACATTTCTCCTGCTTGTAATGATCAGCGACTTTCTTGGCCGCAGAAAAAAACTTCCCGGTCTGAGTCCACAAATCTCACCTGCAAGATAGCATTTTTGAACAGCCCCTGCGCCAGCTCAGACAGTAGCAGTAAACTGACGCTAGCTCCCCCAGCGCTCTCGCCGAAGATTGTGATCCGTTCGCTGTCACCGCCAAAGGCTGGAGGACGAGACAACAACGTCGTGACACCAGAAGGTTATTTAAAAGCATGCAAGATCTTTTGCATTTATCCCAAAAGTAATCCACCAAATTATTATCAAAAGCTTAGTTGGATTAAGAAATCCTAAACATTGACTAAACACCAATACAAAATTTCCGTCTGGCTTGCTGTCATTTAGAAGGAATCAACGGTTGTAGGTGATTTCCAACGATGTTAAATTGACCGACTTTTGAATAAATCGTGCTATTGACGAATTTCAGATGAAAAGGTTATGCATGGTGTTTTCTCAAAGAGTGTAATATCCACTGAGCTGTAACTTTAGCAGGTTAGGTTTTGAAGATCATTTTTCGAGTCTTGATCGGTGTAATTATTGGACACGAGTAAAAATTAATGCATGAAACTCAAATGACCCTGTATGTCTTTAATATAACAGACTAACATTGTCAAAAAAACTTCTTTGAAACATTTTACTGAAGTTACGAGACAACAGACCAAATAAACAATTTTCCTGGGAATTCGAGAGATTCTATTATTTTCAATCGTTTTTTTTTATTTCGAAATCAATCGAATGTTTTCAATCATGTGGAAGAGGACGCAGGAAATTGTGGCGGATCTGGAGGTTTAGGGGGTGGCGGTGGATGAGGGAACATGGATTGTGATGGGAATGGAATCGGAAGGTGGAGCTATTTCAATTTGTTTTATATCCCCTCTAATTTCCCTGATCATCACGACCTATAAAACCAAGACGAAGTGTCGACAGGTGCAGCATTCGATTTGTGATCTAACCTGCTATATTTTCCTTAATCCATTTCAAGGCAAAGACCTGGTCCAGTAGGCCAATGTTACCGGGCGCCGCCTCGTCACCTATTGATAAGGAATGAGACAAGAAACGAACAAGTTTACTTGTACCTATGGAAAACATAAACTTAGTTGCCCGGTATATGTCTGTAACTGGCCTAATAAAGAGTTTAAAAGCCTACTGCGCTCTCCGAGCCAATGTTCTGGTCATGTCGTAATATAAGTTGAGTTTTTTTAAGTTTCTTCAAGCCAGTTTCATTCTTTCCAAGCAATTCCTATTAGAGCATTTTGAGAAATACCTGTTGTAAGAAATCCGAAGACTTCCACTCGATAGTTGATGGTCACGACTATGACGTCACCAACGGCGACCAATGGCTGTCCAAGATGATTCGACGTAATGGCGGAACCAGCAGCAAATCCGCCCCCATGGATCCAGACCATCACTGCAGCGCCCTCTTGCTGTAGAAATGTGAAAATAGGATAGCAAAGTCACACCTAGGCCTACACTGCGCAACCAAGTAATTCTCCTTCAATCAGAAAATTTACAATATTACTTATAAGGCAGTGGCGTAGCCAGGAATTTTTCAGTGGGGGGGGGGGGGGGGGGGGGGGGGGGGGGGGGGGGGGCGCTGGAACATTTCATGGGGGGGGGGGCGTCATGTTGGGGCGAAGCGCGAAGCGCGAAGCGCGAAGCCCTTACGGCGTGGGGGTTCTAGATGTGATGTGATCTGAAGCAATTTCTTATCACCTTCCTCTATGCTTTAACTAATATTTTCTTAGCAAAAGATAATTATTTGAACATCGTTTTCGAGGTTGGAGTCATTGAATCAGCTATCGGTATTCTGAGCTATAGGCGTGGGGTTCGGGGACCGCTTAAAGGTAGAGTCCATCATTTGTAATTTGTGCATTTTGTTCGTTTGAAGCAACAAAAGAGTTCAAAATCTAATGAAGGATACTGAGCAACTAACCTGATGAAGTTTCAGCTAAGCTTCAGCTGTACATTCCGAGAAAAACAGCATTCTAAGATCTCAATTTCAAATCAAAAGTTACTGAATCATGTTTTGAATTGTTTTGAATTGCAACTATACGCGACGTCGCGCACTGATCCGACGAATTATAACAACCGCGCGCGCGTGTGCGTCGTTCGAATACTTGTGCGCGCTGCGCTGAATAACAAAACGAACTACTAATTTAAATTTTCCTACGGTGCTTCTTAAGAATCACCGTTGGAAATGCCTTCTTTCGTTGATTACTTCAAAATGACAGCTTCCCAGAAAGAATAATTTCACAGGGAGTTTAGTCTCCTTACTATCTTTCAACCAAGTTAGTTTTTCAACAATAATTACGCCAGTTACTTTTCGGATGGCTGCAAATGATGGACTCTACCTTTAAGGGCCCCGAAACAAATTGGATTCTCGATGCTCTGTGGTGTGATCTGAGGCAATTTCTTACCACTTTAACCAATAATTATCTTCAATTTAAACATAATTTTCGAGGTTTTCTCAGCTAAAGGCATAAGAACATTTTTTGAACATTGTTTTCGAGGTTGGAGTCATTGAACCAGCTACCAGAATTCTGAGCTATAGGCGTATTGGATTCTAAATGCTCTGTGGTGCTATCTGAGGCAATTTCTGACCACTTAAACCAATATTTTCTAAGCAAAAGATACATTGTAGTACATAATAGGGTCCTGTAAAGGAGACACGAGTTCAAAAATCGGGGGGGGGGACATTTGATATAGACCGCTTGCAGACGCGTTCGATAATTGACGCGCGAAGGAGTGCGACGCCATGTTGTGGGACAAAATGTGTATTGATAGATATGCGCTTGTCCCACAACATGGCGTCGCGCGCCTTCGCGCGACGATTATCGAACGCGTCTGCAAGCGGTCTATTGTGTCCCCCACCCTTCAAAAAGTAGGGGGGACCAGTCCCCCTGGATTGACGCCCATGTAGATCAATGATAATTTGTTTAGAAACTCAAAATCTCAGTGGCGGGCGACTGGGGGGGGGGGGGGGGGGGGGGGGGCGACAAGGTTTCATGGGCCCCCCACGCCCCCCCCCCCCCCCCCCCCGCGGCTACGCCACTGATTTCAAGGAATTTTAATTGGTCTATTATTATTATTTAGCTTATATGAATGGAGGAAAAAGTTTGTGCGTGGCCGATTCGCGTGATATCGCTGACTGAAACTGTGTGACCCACGGACCACCTGTCTATATTACGCGTTCCGTGGTGTGAGCGAGCAGTGCAGTGGGTGTTAATAAGGGAATAACAGTGTGAGGAGCCGGTCTTCACTGCGTGATAATGACCGGGTTTGGGGGTGACCGCTGTTCGTCTCGGTCCATTAACAGCGGTCACCCCCACACCCGGTCATTATCACACAGTGAAGACCGGATTCTCACACTGTTATTCCCATTAATAAATACCTTTTAAACGAAATAAACAGTTAAAATGCTCCAATTTTGTGACTTTTTTCGGGGCGATATTTCCAGACTTTTTGTGTTCATGTTCATGGGCCATATTTTAGCTTAACAGCTATAACGACGTAAACTCAACTTCAGAAACTGCTGCCGTAGCGAAACAAATTACAACAATGTTTTCATATCTTTACCTGATGGAGGAAGCTGAAATCTCGTTTACACATTCCTTGTGTCCGGAATTACAAAGATGCTTGGTTTAGGAAAGGTAAATATGTCGGTGGGTGAAGTGTTCAAAGAAAATAAATCGTAGATCTACGCTTTCGTCGTAAACATCCTCAGTATATACTGCACTGCTGTACGATCCCGATGTCGTTTCAAAACTTCCTTACGCGCGCGCACGCACGCATCCCTAGCAACTGTGTTGCGTACGCGCGCGTCAGTCTCACGCGATGGGGGTTGAGCGCATGTGCAGTGCTCTATTGTTACAAGCTACACCGCAGGACTGTTACTATATTTTGACCAATCATTGGCTTGCATGGGGCTGAACGGGGCTTGATCAATGCTGGTTCAGGGGCCATTTATTCGCTTGATCTTTGAAGCCGGTCCATTATCACCGTTAATGCCCGGCCACGTGATCGAGTCTCGACCAATCAGAAACCATCAACTCTCCAAGGTATTTATTAATACGCATTTTAGATTATCATTATGCACTATGTCACGTCGGTTGTCAGCTTACTGGTCCGCGGTCGCCGGTCGAAGGGTCGTTTTTCAGTGGTCATCATGTGGATCATTCGCGACTATTTAGATTGAGATCAATGATAATTTTTCTTAGAAACTCAAAATCTCAGTGGGGGGCGACTGGGGGGGCGACAAGGTTTCATGGGGGGGGGCGACCACGCCCCCCCCCCCCCATGGCTACGCCACTGCTTTAAGGGAATAAAGGATCGTTTGCATTTTATCCCCCCCCCCCCCCCAGAAAAAAAGTAAATAAATTAAACAAAGATCATACTGGTACTTAACTCCCCATGAAACCATTCCGTCTGGCTTGCTGTCATTTAGAAGAAATCAAGAAGTGTAGAAGATTTCCAGCGACCAGTCAGTTGAGTGATTTTTGAAAATAAAGAGAGCTATAGCCAAGTTCGCGCAAGGACTACGGTTGACCAATGGTTAACTAACGTTTGCCCGAACTCTGTCTAGTCGACGGTGGTTGACTACGCTAGTCGACTATTTGGAACCAGCCTACTGGGGTTGGTTGCTTCGCTGGTAACCAATAGCCGCGTGCATTCATAACGCTAGCAGAGAGCCAGGATCCAGAAGTTTTGCGATGACATTTTGACCAGCGTTTGACTAGTCTGGTTCCCAGACCAAAAGATTCCGACTATTCCTGATGAATCTTAGGTCCGGTAGCCTCCGGTAATACAATGTATTACAATTTACGTCACGTGACTAAAACGGGAGGAATTCCTCCTTTTTCCGAAAATTTCCGAAGTTTGCCGAAGTCGTTTCGTCGACAATCGGATAGCGCCCGAGTATTTCCGAGTATATAATATAGGTTTAATTAACTGCTAATTGCTTATTAATTTTATTTTAAATGAGTTGATAATTAATATTCATTGATTTCATTTAGAAAACTTGAAATTCAACGACGATTTTGTGCATCAAATATACTCGGATCGTACGGGCGAACTTTTTGCTGCGTCATGTACAATTTTGAATTTGACGACCGTTACCGAGATTTTCCAAAACTCGGTCTCCATTCGGCTCCGCCTGCTAACAGTGCTATTTGGTTCCGTAATTTTGAAGATTCCAGATCAACATTACTCAATGTTATCTTACAAAAACATCAAACTGTATTATCATTAATGTTTGATATTACGAAGCAAGTGATTTATTTAAAGATTTGATCAGAACATTAAAAGCTACAAGGGATAAAGCGATATCGGAAACGAAGCCGCGCTTTGAAAAAGGGCCATTAATGTCGTCATGTTTATTTTTAGCCACGGAGGCTGCCTGACCTACAATTTAAGACGTGAGCGTCGGGAATAATTGTCAGGTCTGGGAACCAGACTAGCATTTGACTAGAGACATTCGCACGTTGCTATCAGTGCGCAGGCGTACGATACGTCACAAATCAACCACTAGTCGACTAACGGTCCTTGCCCGAACTTGGCGAATAATGACTTATTTGTGTTTCGCGATCAAATGGTTGTGCACGGTTTTTCCCTATCTTCTCTGTTTGAAATTTATAAAGCAAATGATGCCATGTGGCTTATTAGAAAAAGAAACTATAACACTTACTATTGCTGGTCTCGGTGCATAGATATTCAGATGTAGACAATCTTCACTCATGGATGGTAGTGGTTGCAATGGAAATTCTCTCTGTACGCAAGCGTCTCTGAAGTACGTAGCGTTGTAAGTACCATCCCACGGCTGTTTGGCAGACGGGGGTTTGAAACGCAGCGGTCCCGTAGGCGGCTCGGCGAACGGCACGCCCTTGAACACATCGATGGTCTTGTTCACTCCGATGAACTCGGATTCTTCAAAGGTCTCGGTGGTACCCATAAGTGTTCCTTGTTCTACGGTTACGATTGGCTGAGATTGGACGATACTCAGCGTCACAAACAAACCGAGTAACAAGTAGACTTGAACGGGAAAACACTTGCTACCCATGGTGCAGATTTCTATGCAATCGCACACTTTTAAATCTCACGTTTTCTTGTCAAGAACACAATGTTGTAACAGACTCGATTATGTGTTGCTGTTGTCACTGCCTGTACTTATGAACCAAATGAGTACCAAACTATTAATAGTGACCGTGGTTTTGCTCCTGTCAATATTTGCTGAAGAGCAAAGCATAATGGGAGGACCTCTGACATACTGACACTGACAATGCACTTTGGTGAAACCAGTGACTGGCATTTCCACTGGCGCGGCCACTGTCAACATTTGCTCAAGAACAAAGCATCACGGGAATGAGTGACCTTTGACCCACGGTGTGGATTCGATTCATGAAATGATTCACTCTTACAAAGACATTATATCAATTAAAGATAAACATTATTTACTGAGTGACATTACATTTTGTGGTCTTTTCAATGACTGATTACAAGTCTATGTTTACAGTGACATGATTTTCCGGCTAAAAAAATAGATAGCAAATTACAGTTTGGCGTGTTGTGCAAAAATAATATGCAGATGAGATGCAAAGTCATAGTAAGCTCCCCTCCAATCAGGAGAGAGGAGGGCAAACTTTTATTCAATGAGAAAGGTAGTTGTACCTTGATCTAACAACATTAATTATGTATATATAATTTGCTTTTGAACTAACTTTTTCACGCCGCCGTCCCAAAGCTCCTCCATTTAGGGGGCATGGTCTGTTTCATATGTTTGGCCTAATTTTGACTGGATATACATAGCCAGTGGCCTCTCTTTATATATATATGTTTCTGTGATATGCTAACTTTATTGGAAAGTTAAAATTCACACAGTCCTTTAGGGAGTGAATCGATGGATTTAAGAACTGATGGATGTTTGATTTCTATATGTGGCATTCCAATTCAACATCATCACTTTTTCTATCAACAAATTATTGGTTTTCGGTCTTGAATAATATCATGATAAACCAATTATGTGTGAGTGATCAGGACAGGTGTATTCCGATAATTTGAAGGCAATGGATGGGATAAGGTGTATTCCATAGTGGGTGTAACCGTATGCCCAGACAATATTGATATCCGGTACAATGGAAAATATACAATGTTCAGGCTGTGGCCTTCAATCGAAGACTTTGCCCCGCTTTGCTTTTGTGGTGGAATCTGACTATAATCTCACGTTGTCATTAATAGTGCAACATGTTAGCATAGCATGCAACAAAAGAGATTCGCATTTGCAACAAAAGACAGAAATTTTTGGATTGTCTGCAAGTATTTGAATTGCTTAAAATTTTGACTCGTATTTGTTTGCCGAGCAAAACGGCAAATTTGGCCACAACGGTCACGTGCGCGTTATCAACATATTCATTAGCGTGACTTCGTGTGGGACTCGGTATCGACCAATGAAAGCCCGCCAAAAAAAAGTTGACATTTATTAATGAATAACTCGTGAATAAGGGGGTCGTACACATTTTTACTAAACACCATATATAGACAGGAAACCTGTTAGTATTCGTGGGGCTTGAAAATATTTACATAAACTACAGACACCATCGTTACAGCTTTGAAAATGAAAAAAAATGAACGTACCCAAGCATATTTTGTCCAATTTTAATGAAAACACTGATCATATCGAAACGATCCTTAGCACACAGTTGGATCACATAAGGGAAATAAACTCAGAAATCGGCGTGAAGATACGGTCTTCGAAACGGTAATTAGACCTTGTTTCATTCGAAATAAAGTTTTTATGTTAAGCCTAAAAATCGGCCGCAGCAATCGTAAGGTTGTGTTATGCTATGCCAACATATTACACAATAACATGAGATAATGCTCAGATTCCCCCAAATCAACAAATCAAAGGCTAATCTTCGATTTTGAAGGCCACAGGTTTAACATTGTCTATCTTCCATTGAGCAGGTATCAATGTTGTCTGATGGGCATACCCGTTACACCCACTACGGAATACATCTGACCCCAATCATTGTCTTCAAATTAACGGAGTACACCTAATAATGACCATCAATACACAATCGGTTTAACACTACTCAAAACCAAAACCGATAATCTGTGAATAGTATAAGTGATGATGTTGAACTGAAATGCCACAGAGAAAAATTAAACATCAATATGTTGTGGGCTTTATATTGCATCTGTACACAATGTGACGTCGTGTCATTTGTATTGTATATGCAGGGCCCCAATAAAAACCGGTTTTAAACTGTTCGGACATACCCTGGGTAAAGAAACATGATCAATAAATACGTTCTTAAATACATCAATTCACTTCCAAAAACGAGATGTGTGAATGTAATTAACTTTCCAAGAGTTTTAGCATATCATAAAATATATCGCCTATTGGATGTTTTAAAGGCACAATCGCACTCTTGAACTCAAGCAAGTCATGAATTATGACAGTTTGGAACATTGAAGAGCGCAAGGTGAACTACTTGTAATGAAACTAATTGTTACAATGGTTGTCTATTATATAATACCCCCTAAATGGAGATGCCAGTTTGGGTTTAGGCGGGAAAAGTTTATCTTTTAATACAGGAGAGTCAGGTTGGCGTAGCGGTACTTTCCTTGCCTTCCACCGCTGTGGCCCGGGTTCGAATCCCGCCGGGGCCAATATGTGGATTGGGTTTTCAGTCCCTACCTGATTCAGAATATTCCTCTGGGTTTTTCCTCCCACCTCTAAAACTGTATTTTCTTCGCATTGACTTCTCTCTACAAAATTCGTTAGGCTTTCGAGCTACAGTGTCTGGGGCGCTTTTGAGGAATCCTTGACATGTTGTTAGGATATGACAAAGTGAGGCTATTAAATGAAGCCCACTCCTCAGCGTCCTTAGATACAGCAAACTTTCTCATTGGTCAATAGTTTGCCCTTCTCTCTCCTGATAGGAGGGGAGCCTGCTGTGACTTTGCATCTCATCTGCATATATGCAAAACACACAATGCAACTAGTTCTAGAAATTACCGTGCTATCTATTTTAGTCGAAAAATCATATCTCTGTAAACATGAGTCGTTTTCGAAACCTTTGCTTCGGCTTCGGCTTCGGCTTCGGCTTGGCCTCCTACTTCTGAATAACTGAGAGGCAAACTAAACGAAACTATTCCAATTTGTGTGTTCATATCATATCAACCGATTGAATGTTCCTGATGCATAACAGGCACCAAAATGTAGCTGGAGTCCCTGAAGTCGGGGCCTAAAATGTCATTAAGCCGAAGACGAAGCCAAAGCCAGTCGTTTCGAAAACGCTCATAGACTTGTATGATGTCCATGCGTATGACGTCATCAGTCCTATAAAGAGATGCACAACTTGACCTCACTTTGGTCAAATCTCGCATATAAGTTCACCGTGGGAAAACGGCCGTGCATACCCTCTATTGGCACTGAGAAGGCGACAAAATTAATATTACAGTAATGTCACTCAGTGTAAGTAATTTTATCTTTAATTGATAAAATATATATATATATATATATATCAGTGTGGCCATGGTGAGAGTCATTTCATGAACAATGGGTCCGCACCATGGGTCAAATGTCATTCCCATAATGCTTTGCTCTTTAGCAAATATGACAGTTGCAATATCAAGATCACTAATACTTTGGTACTCATTGTTAATGAGGTAGTGACAATAGCAACACATATCAAGTCTGGCTATAATTGCTTACGTTAACCTGTTACAACATTTTTTTTTGAAAAGAAAACTTGAGATTCACAATAATTTCTGTGCGATTGCATAGAAATCTGCACATTGGTAGGCAAGTGTTTTCCCGTTCACGTCTACTTGTTACTCGGTGTGTTTGTGACGCTGAGCATCGCCTAATCTCAGCCAATCGTAACCATAGAACAAGGAAAACTTATGGGTTCCACCGAGACTTTTGAAGAATCCGAGTTCATCGGAGTGAACAAGACCATCGATGTGTTCAAGGGCGTGCCGTTCGCCGAGCCGCCTACGGGGCCGCTGCGTTTCAAACCCCCGTCTGCCAAACAGGCATGTTTGAGCGACTGGTGTTTGTTTCCAGAGTCACTAGTTCACCCCAGGCTATGGGGCTCTCAGCACTTTATTTAGCTATGTTTGAACATGAAACTTTAATATGAGAGAAAAAAATTTACAGGAAAAATGTCGGATTAATTAAAACTCAAGCAAAAACATACTTCACTTTGAAGTACCATCCCTCAGCGGCACCTTCGCGATAGGAAAAAAACGAACGAACAAAATGAATGTTTCTTTTTTTTTCTGGCCCCAGAAACCCTAGTTTTGGGCAACAAAACTCAACGTCGGGGTCGGACTTGGGCTTCTGGCCTAGGTTTACCGTCCCGGAACTGGAGTACAAAGAACTAGACTTGAACCTCACGACGAAGAGAGCCCTCAAGAGTCGGGAATGTCACTTCTGGAACAACTACATGGTCCATCCAACTGGTAATTGGAAATATTTGAAATAGACGTGGTATACATTCCATTGAAAGTCATGTATTTAATCTTGATATGCATTAAAACTGAGATGAACGATTTTCTTATCGATGAGCATTATTGATTGGAGGAAACTTGTTTTCTCTGCAAGTAGCAACATCTGCTGACCGCCGAGACACGATTTTCCCGTCTTATGTATGGTCTATCCTGGCAACAAGTTGGCAACTTACTGCCCAAAACCGTCAGTGTTATACATCAACATATGCATTGTATACAGGCTATTAACGACAGGTTTGTTTTACATCCGTGACCCAGTTATTGCAACACTCCCCCCCCCAAAAAAAAACGATATATAGTTTCCTCTCAGCTAGTGCTCTATTTTAGAGAAATGACAGATCCATAAGTAAAGCCCCCCCCCCCCCCCCCAAAAAAATAGTTCTGCTTCCGATTACTTGACATTCGAAAATAGGGTAGGTAGGTAGGGAAGTTATTTATTTTTTGGACAATTGTGTGTGCGTACGATCATACAGAGGCCTCTGCGTGTAGTCAAGGGTAAAATGTAGTAATTAATGGTATTGGGTGGGTTTTTTTCTTCTCATTTTTCCATTTTTCCCATAAACAAAATTAGGGTAGGGGTTGTCAGAAAAGGGTAGGTGGGAAAGCCAGAGACAGAACTATTTTTTTTGCCTAATTTATTTCATTATGTATGAAATAAATGATTACTGTTTTATCTTCTTTTGGTTGCAGCTGATGTGGATGCTGCAGAGCTTGACTGGAAACAAGCTTTCAACAATTGGAAGTACACGGACATGGCGAACTGGAGGGATGAATTCCACAAATATAAACAGGACCTGAATTAAATCGGGAGGTGACTGCTGTCGATTTATGACTGATTCTTTTCTGAGGCGTGGGGACCGATTTGATTACAAAAAAAAATGCCATTTTTTTTAGGGGAATAAAAGCGCAAGCACTTCACAACCGCTATACTTGTAACCAGCGGCGGCGGCGGAACGGTTTTCAAACTGGGGGGGGGGGGGGGGGGGGGGGGGGGGCGGGGGGGGGGGGCCATCACTTAAAAGGGGCACTTGCTCAGTAAAAGACATCTTTTCAGCATTTTTTTTTGGGGGGGGGGGAGGGGGCACCTCCGTGCTGAAATGTCTACACGGTTTTTTTTTCACCGGACCTTGGCCTCCGTAAAATCAAATAGGGGAGGGGGAGCTAGTACCATCTTCCAAAGATGGGGGCGCTCTTCAAAACCGGCCATTATGCAAACTACGCATTTATCTGCCCATTTTCATGGCGCATTGTAAGGGTTTTGAGCCTTGGTTGCATATTCCTCGTTCATATCAGAACTCTCTATACCATTTTGGGAAATGGTAACTGAAAACAAATTATCCGAAATTTTAGGGTCAGTTTTGTTTTCATCGCGAGGGGGCACATTTTATGCTCGAGGCGGGGCACATTTATGTCAGCAAGAGGGGCACTTGGGTACATCTGGGGGGTGGGGAGTGCTAATGAACAATACGCTTTTGACGTACGAACACACAATTTTCGACACGAAAATGACATTTTCTGGACAATTTCATCCCCCCCCCCTCACTCCTCCCCGACACAAAGTCTGCCATGCTGCTGATTACTAACCATTAATGTTAACACGTAATTCTTCTGCTTTTACATATCTTCTGTGAATATAGCGTTTATATTTTTTTCTTTATACGTATGAACTTTCATTGAGGATGTCAATGTTAAAATAAATGTCGAATTAAAGTGAGTTGAATGTCTGCGACTCGGAAAAAGGGTTTGCAGATAATGTCGGCAATCATATCATTTCAAATTGAAACAACAGCAGGTCCAGGGGGCCAATGGGGGCAATGTCGTCCCCCCCCCCCCCCCCCAAATAAAACCCCACATTTTATTTTTAATATGACATCGCAAAAAAGCATCACCTGCGTACAACCACAAAACTCAACAAAAGCAATACATTTGCCCCCCCCCCCCCCCGGCCACCCTTGCTTTTAATATTTAATTGAGATGGAAAGTTTTTGACCCACTTTTTTCGGGGAACAAAACAAAATAGTGCCCCCCCCCCCCCAAAAAAAAAAAAAAAAACATGTGTGTTCTGGATCCGGCCTTGCCTCGAAATGGTGAGACGAGGATTATGTTTGCAATCAACGTCTCTAATAATTCACACCACATTATAAAACCCCCTCCCAGCAGCGTATCCAGCTTTTGATGTCGGGGGGGGGGGGGGCAACCGCACATCCGCGCCGAAATGTAGACATGTTTTTTCCTCCGGATACTTGCCCTCCGTAAAATCAAAATGGGGGCGCTCTTCTTAACTGACTACATTATTATATGGACATTTTCACGGCGCATTGAAATGGTTGTTGAGCGGGTTTTCTTTGCTGGGATTGATGTCTGAAGAACTCTATAAACATTTATTGAAATCATTGAAAATCCGCCAGGAGGGGACAAAGTGCACCCCCCCCCCCCCCCTCGCTGGATACGTTACTGCCCTCTCCTTGTGTATGGGTTCTTTGCGCGAACGCGAGTCCCCGGGGCCGGCCGGGGACGGACCACTGATGGACCACCATAGGTCGAGGTTACGACCATGAGCGTCGCGAAGGTGGCAAATATGAAGAGGGGAAAAGGGAACAGAAATCGAAAAAGTGAAGAGTTGGGTTGAATCATAATTTATTACTGTTTATTTAATGTGTATTTAAAAACATGGACGGCTTTTAAGTAATCGTCGAGTGATGTCTCTCGGACTCTAGCGCCCCGATTTTTCCACGGCCGGTGAGGCTCCCTTCGCTTCTGGTGAGTGCTTTGCCCCCCCCCCCCCCCCCTTCACCCCCTCTATACTGGCGACGCCCATGGCCTACAACGTTTTCATTCATTTGGACAAATACGTTAAAAATGTTGACATACATATTGGTACCGATTTACTTCCTTGTTATTGTTTATGTGTTACGGGATTATGGCAAGCGTTATGTCAAATTCTATTAATAGCACGTCAGAAAATCCCCGGCCGTATGTCGTAATCAGGGACTTTCCCTTCTGATCCCAACAGTACTCAACCTTGTCCCCGTGGCAGTGGCGCACGACACTCTGCCTATAGACAGAGGTCTGGGAACAAGATTGCAGAATTTATAAACGTGGGCGTTGCTTTCATTAACATTTTCCGATAGGTGCGCCATTTTCTAAAGGAAAACTCAGGGTTCCGAGACAGAATTGCCCAAGACTGCATCATGTGAAGAGCAGCTAGTACACTCTTTCCTGGTTTTGTTCGTGGGTTCTGGAAATAGTCATCTTTTGTCGAAACCTTCCGTGTTTTCTGGTAAGCTACAGTTTTGATCAATTATATGTGTAGCGGTCAACCATGGCGCATAGACCTTTCTTTCTTTGTTTACGTTTGAATGTGTGCGCTCTCTGTAAATGACAGAAGAAAAGGGATACGGACTAACGGGCTGTTTAGTTATGACTGAATAAATGTATTGTTGTCTGTGCTTTTTAATGCATGCCTGGCACATAATAAATTGTAGGCTTTGCACATTGGTTTTTTATGACTTTGATTATTGTAACCCCCCCCCCCAAAAAAAAAGCCAATCAAAATTAGGGAGAGTTCAATTAGGGAGAGTTCAATTTGTCTGTAACCTAGCATAAAATAAAAACACTTCAGAGTGTCATGACTTTAGTGTAACTATAAGTTATTATATATTTTGAAGACCAAATGTTTTCATGATTTAAAGGTAATTATACAACATTTGCAAACATAAAAACAAAAAACACTACCAAATTTTTATGAAGTACCTTGCTTAATCTTAAAGTGAATAGCATGGCACCTGGTATGCTGTCATTTTCAAGAAAAGTGGAATTTTTGTATCAATTTCTATTGATGGTCAGCCGGCCGTCGTCTGAAAAAAGTGACTTTTTTCAAATATTGCCCCAATTTACCAAATTTAATTAGTCTGCATGACATTTTGTTAGCAATCGGTTAATCCGTAAGTGGGTGCAAGCCAGCTAAGTCTAGTTCCCTGACCTGGCAATTCCCCAACGATATGAATTGCTCTAGCTGCTTTATCTGAATTTGGGTTAGGGATCCAGACTTCAAGGACAGCATTTTTTTCTGGGTTTTTCGAGCATCTATGAACTCAAAACAAGTAAGTGCAACAATATTTGCTATAGAATACTAACCGCCAAATCCATCCATTTTTGAAAATTACAGCAAAACCAAACGTTGCATATTAGGTCTACCTTTAACTTTAATTCGAAAAGTTTGTGATTGAAATTCCCCAAGAAATATAGCTTTTCTTTCTTAGAAAAGGAAGTATTTGGACAAGAGGCTATCAGTGGGGGAAAACATGAGTTTTTTTTTACATAATTCCTGCACACTGTTGACCCGCAGGACAGTAAAAGGGTTTCAGTTTTGATTTAAATTATCAGAAATTATTTCCTTTCAAAAGTAAAAATAAAAACTGTAATGGTTGTACCTGCTGTATAAATTCCTTGTATTTGCATAATTTATATTGGACTTTGGTCATTTCCTGGATAGGGTTAAAACGTTGAACTTTATCATTGACTTGTATACACAACACAAGATAAAGGTAGAAAGGTCCATTTGTCATCGGTGCATTTTTTTTCATTTGAAGCAAAAGTGCTCAAAATTTAAAGACAGGTGTTTAACAACTAGCATGATGAAGCGTTAGCTCTGTCAATGCTGTATATTTCAAGAAAACACAAAATCCTGGATCTCAATTTCAATTCAAAAGTTGCTGAGTCATGACACAATCCAGAAATCAGCATTTGGGACATGATTCTCATTCAGCCGATTGTTGCTACGTGATGTCACACACTGAACCGATAATTCTCGCTAATAAAGCAACTGTCAATGCGCTTACACCCATACACAGATTCGCCCAATTACAAACCAACTGTCTACAGCAATTTCCAAAAATATGTCACTTGACGCATCTTTGGGAATGACCTTCTCTTGTTTTCTTCAAAATGACAGCATGCCAGAAGGAATAATTTCACAGGGAGTTTAGTGCCATTACTATCTTTAAACCAAGTAAGCTTTTTAACAATAATTCGGTCCGTGACTTTTTGGATAGCTGCAAATGATCTACCCTACCTTTCAGCTTTGGTCGTCTGCCATTTTGTCTTTGTTACTGCAGTTATTTTGTCACGAGTACAAACATACCTTGGTGCAATATAAATTAAATAAAACTGGCACTACAAAACTTTATTTGGCAATCAGTGAAGCACAGCCAATTAAAGCAGTGGCAATTTTTATATAAGCGGGGATGGGGTGCTAAAGTCCAAGATTTCTGAAGAAGGAAGGAGAGATGAATTCTTGCAAGTATGTGAGGTATGAAGGGCAGATCCAGAACACATTTTGGGGGGGCCAAAAAAAAGTTGGTCCCCTTTTTGCAAAAAAAAATTGAAGAAAAGATGGTAGTATACGCAGTGCCTGCCTTTACTGCGACATCACTTTAAAAACAAAATGGGTTCGTTTTTTTGGGGGGGCGGGCATAGCCCCCGTTGCCCCCCCCCCCCCCCCCCCCCCAGCCCTCCTGGGTCCGCCCATGGGTATTCCTGTCAATATCTGATAAGAGATGAAGTTTTACAGATTATCCTATCCATTAGAAAATATTAAAGTGGAATGTCAACCAGGAAATTACAAACAGAAAGTATTGATGAGAAATTTAACTTGTAAACAAGAAGTGAGTCATAATATTTTGTCACATGGCTTCATGATTCAACTATATTACAGTCCGGGGTTTTCCGTTCACTCGTAGATGTGACAATGAATTGCATGGATAGCACAAGTGCGTGCTATTTTATTAGCTCTCTGCCTAGAGCTTAAAGGAAATATTGAATGGTCAAATTTCACTTTTCAAACAGGATGTAGATTGCTTGGGAGGATGCTGTCAGAAGTTCAAAGATCAACATGACTTTTTTTCCATGCACTGGACATTGTATATACTTTGGCATTTTCAATATTTTGTTTAAAGGGTACATGACATGAGTTTTTCTTAGGAACATATTTTGTTCAACTTTCTACTCCTCTGAAATCCATGAAAATAAAAGTTATGACAGCAAAATATCCAAAATGCCGGCAACTTTTGGCACTGAAATAGTTGTAACAGAGGGTTTTTCCTGAAATGGCATCACTCTTTTGCTCATGAATGTGTAAATTTGCATTTGCGTCAACACCAAAAAGGCACCAAAATACCCTTTAAAATGGCAAACCAAAATGGAAAATAAGGATAAATATGACAAAAAGTTGTATTTTCAAGAATTACGTTAAAAATATTACATTGCATGGACCCTTTGTTTTCAGTGAATGATAAAAATTAAGAAGATGAATCTTGCCTCCTCTCTCCCATCCCCACCCCTATTACTGACTGTAGAGGGCGAAATAAGACACCAAAAACCTACAGGGCAAAAAAAAATACCGAGCTCAAAAACAATTTTTATTTGTCACATGCATTTACAGTTCAAATTTGTGTACAGACAAAGTTGGTTAGTGGTCAGTAAATTTCAGAGGTAGAAATATATTTGCATTCTTTGTTACTGTACATGTGTTGGTTATTTTGAAAGTCCCTAAAAACTTTCTTTCCTAAATTCGAATTTTTTAACAAATTATTCAAGAGGTCTGATGGTCAATAAAACCAACTTATTTCTGTTTTTTTTGTTAAAGCTTTTCGGTGACAGGTGTGAGTCCAAGATGAATCGCACAGTGACACTAAATGCTTTCCTGATCTTACTAGGTAAGTACAATGTGATCACATTAATGTTGAAAAATATAAGGGTTTGCAGCAGTGCATAAATGCTCGAGAGTCTTGAAGTTTCATAAAAGTAAACCAATGCTGGTGCGATATCTAAATTCTTCGGCCAACCCACCCCCTCCCCTCCAAAAAGTATCGAAGAAGAAAACTCCAAATCCTGCTGTTTACAACACAAACACTGGCAAACAGGTTCAAGAGAGTACAAACACTGGCAAACAGGTTCAAGAGAGTTTCCAGACAAATGACAAGCAGATAAGGTTGGATGAGTCAACAAGTAGGGAAGCTTGCACACAGACCCCCTGACCAATAGACTGATACGAACACCACATCATACCAGACTTAGCTTACAGGAAGAACGTACTCCACTTGTTACATACTTCCCAAGTCCTCAAATAAACTCCTTTTTACTTTCTACTTCCCAAGTCCTCCTATGGACTCCAGTGACAGCGCAGAGCCAGACTGTCTTCCTTGAGCGAGGCCAGCGCGGGATCGTCTCATGCCCTCTCATCCCGTCCCTCCAGATACCCACAGAAGACCTGGGCTCCATCTTCATGTACTGGTACTTCGGCCAAATAGACAGAAGATCCCTCTTGATCTCGTACTTTCTCGAGACGGTGACCCCCCAAAACGAGATCCCAGAGGGCGTCTACGATATCGACGATACCTTTTCCTTGGTTATCGAGAACGTCACTGACCTGGACGCTGGAAAATATTTCTGCGAAGTGAAGCCCAGAAATGCAGTTCTTCAGAGTAGTAACGTGTCTGTTGCTATTAAAGGTGAGTGGCAAGAATAAAGTAAATGTGAAAAAAAATGAAAATGGAAGAGGCTAGTCGATTCAATTCTGAAAAATGTTTCCTTTAATCTCAATGTGAATGTAACCTTTTGGTTTGATTCATTTTCTGTGTTTGTTATTTGTTTGTTCCGTTTCCAGTTTCCCCTAGGGAGCCATTTCCGGAAATCGTTGACTGCGATCTCATCCCAAGTACTCCATCAGATTGTGACGCATCCATTCCCTATGACAGGTCCTCAAGCCTGATATGTGTGGTGCGAAACGCCAAGCCTGCTGTGGAGATCCGTTGGTTCAGTATGTTCGGAGAACTCAGGCAACCAGTCTTCATATCTACTCAAACTGTTGAGGAGACCGTCCTGCCACCCAACTCTCTGGAGGCAGGTTGGTAGATGGTTTGGAGCTGTTTCTTAAAAAAAAACTGTCGGGAGGACACGTAGGATGGCAGCTAAAAAAAGCCAGAGAGAGAAATCATCTTTTAACAGTTTGCTTGGATTGAGACTAATTATATTAAGGGGGAATAAAACAAGATTCTGTTAAAAAGTGGAGCAGCAGGATTGGCAGATTTTGGCTTGTTTTTTTTTTTGGGGGGGGGGCGGGTTGGGGGGCAGTTTTCATTTGTAAAATCGGTTAAAAGCGGCTGCGGGTCATGCTACTCATAGTGGTTGTGAGCTGCTGGTGCTCTAATTTCATAATATATATTGTCTTTAACTTGAGGAAATGTGTGCCGCCAGGATTTTTCTAGAGGGGCAAAGCACATTAATTTCTCCCCCCTCCCAAATCCCTGTACCTTTCAAGCATATTCTCAATTTATCATTTTTCAAGGGTGGGCAGAGAATTTGGGCCCCCCCCCCCTTAAAAGTAACAGCAATATGACTTTGCGCCTCTTTTTATTTCTTCCCCCCCCCCTTTCCCCCCCCCCCCTTTTCCACAGGGGGCAAGTGTCCCCCCCCCCCTTGCCCTCCCCCTTCGCCACGCCCATTCTTGAAGAAAACTTCATCGTAATAGCTCTTGAGATATAAGTGTATCGATGACAGAAGGCATGAATTTATGTTGATCGGGTGAGGAAACAACGAAGGCTGAGAACGTACCTCAGGGTGCAACCTCACATTTCTGCTTGTTCAATTTTACATTCTTCCCTAAATGCAACAGTGTATAGGTCTTCTTGAGAGAACTCGTAGTTCCTTAGCTCTTCTTTTATGCATTACTTATTTTTACCAGATATTTTGAGAGCATTCTTTGTCGACCGGATTTTGAAATTTAGTAATCCTCTTTCCTACAGGCTGGTTTCTGATCAACAACACTTACACGACGTTGGCAACGATCCAAGTCTGGCCCTTATTTGCTGACAGGTATAGATGTGAAGCCTACGGCAAGGCTCTTGGGGCCAGGAATGGTAGTCACATGACAGCTAACATTGTAGTTGCAGGTCCTCCAACCCACAGAACAGGTAAGGTTGACAGGTGTGGTTTATAATTGAACAACTTTTGAACAACGTCTTTTTTTAACAGTTTATGAGTGCCATTGCCTATTGGACTTCTGCACTGAACCAAAGATCTTATAGAGATTCTCAAGATGTTCATTGATGGTTTTGCTGTCATAGACCTAGCTTCTTTCACGAGGCAAAATTTTTTTATCGGGTTCCCCGGATGTTTTTTTTTTATAAATTGTAAGCTGTTGAATATGTTTAATCACAAATTTGAAATTATTCATCAGAGCAAACTGGTATTATAATTTCTTATTAGTATTTGTAATTTCATTGCCTTCGTTTCTATTCGCAAGTTCCAAAAAGGAAATTTTACTTCGCTTTCAGTTAAATATGGCCAACTCATGAATAAAGCCCAAAGCGTACAGCAATTAGCCATGTCATATTGGGTAAGGATGCTGAGCAGTTAGCAAATTTTCAGTGGATTATCTGTTCAGCCTCTCAGCATTTAAAAAAAAAAATTTATTTGTATTCCGCAAATTGTGATAGGCACGAGCACCCCTAGAATTGAAGAAACAACGGCAACGATGGCAACGATGGCATCGACCACTGAGGTTCCTTACATGCCCCCGTTGGTTGCAGCTGTGGGTGGACCAGTAGGAGGTTTCGTTTTCGTGGTGGTGTTTGTGATTGTCTTGCTAAAGGTAGGAGCGAGGGAAGGCTTGTTTATTAGCTTCAAAGCGTTAAGTAAGATGAGAGATTTTAAGGGAGGGTTTGATGAAAAACAATTTCTTTTAGAACAGCAAGGGCAATGAAAGGAATATCATTTCCACACACGCTTAACAATAACTTGGAAAAGTTTGGCTGAGAGTTCAGACCCAAGTATAGCAAAAAAGTTTATCTTGAAAAATTTTTCAAAACAATTGTGGTTTTAACCATAACCACTAAATAGAAAGTATCACATGTTACTTAATTTACCCTGGTTTCCCTGGTTACATTGTTACTTCTTCTGTTTTTCTGGGAACAAAATTGATAATTTGGGCAAGTTTCTCTTTTCTTTTTAATGCAGGTAAGAAAAAGACGAAAGAAGAACACTGATGTGCCAGACCCAGAGAACTTTCCCCTCACAGGTATTAACAATTAACATCTTCATAATTATTTTTTCCCAAAACTTAATTGATTCTCAAAAGGCTGAATTGTTTTCCCCAGAATGTTCTTGATCCAAATTCCTTGGTGAAACATGGAGTTTGTCCAAGAATAAGGCTGTCATTGACCAGTGAGATGAATGCCAACTCCAGAGTTTGCTTAAACTGAAGCGACAGTAGATATCTCCATGCATATTTAAGTATTAGAAAGACCTGACAACTTCATCATCCCCATGGTTTGGAAAATGTTTCTGCTAACTCTGAAGCAGCATTTTTGAAATTGAGCGTTGGAGACTGCAAGTTTGCTTTAAAAATAAGACTCAGCTTTCTTGTCACAAACTAAACTTGATCAACTTGTATCCAGTGATGACACTTTCTAGTGCAGCTAACTAACAAACTCTACCCATAACCTGTAACCAAAAAAAAAAAAGGATTTCAGATTTGGGTACGGTTAATAAAAAAAATCTTCGCCGGTGACTAGACGAAATCACTGTTGGTGATGATAACTTGTGGTTATTACTGTAAAAACTATTTGGGGACAGCCATTTTCTGAGGTGGCACCAAGTTCATGCAAGGTGCACTCAGGTAGTATGCACGCACTCTGGGCTTCTTTGACCAATACTGACTGTGAACACATACATGGGTGCCAACTCAGAATGGCTTCTAATTTTGTTCGCCGAATTAATCCATAACCAAACCAGCTTTTGTAAATTTGTTCGCATAGAATTCAAAACCCTGTTCTATTTTATTTTCCTTTTTTTTCTCCAGAAAACATTGATTTGCGAGGACTCAAAGAGATCTTGAAACCGCTCTTCAAAGCAAAGATGCAGAACATCTCAGTAGATCCGTCAGAGGACCAAGCTGACGCCATGCACACGGATGAGATATTCATCGAGCTGGAACTCCATGAAAAGAACAACACAGTGATGGTAATTAAATCCCGCCAGCAAATGATTGGATTGCTAGGCGGCTCACAAGATAGACGGCATTTTGTCGTGAAGGGAGAGGCTGGGTGTGGCAAAACCACCCTGGTCAGGCGATTTGGCTTTGATTGGGCAAATGATTCTGTTTCAGGTTCAGAGTACATGCAACAATTTGAACTCGTGTTTGTCTTGAAAATGAAAGACATGACTGACAATCCTGGGTTATTGAGTGCTATTCTCAGTCAAAATATCCCAAGGGAAAATGCAATAAGTATGGCATGTCTGAGGTCTGTAATTGATAAAGTTGCCGACAAGGTTTTGATCATTTTGGACGGATGGGACGAGATGAGCTCCAAGGTGTTCAACAAGCAAGCACCACCTGGAGACATTTCGGTGAGAGATATTTTGGCTGTGCAAGCTTTTACCAAGAGCTGTGTTATTGTCACAGCGCGACCTCACATGATGAAGCAGCTCAACGACCTCAACGAGGAGCCAGTATTTGCTGTGATTGAAACGACCGGCTTCAGCGACCAGAATAGAGACAGGTACATCGGGAAGCGTTTTGGGGAGGAGTCTGACAAAGCAGAGGGGTTGATTCGAGAGATCAAGACAGCAGCATTTCTTGAGATACTGGCCAAGGTACCCATCATGCTGAGGCTGCTCTGCTACATCTGGAAGCAGAAGGCAGAAAATGAAGTCCTTCCTGCAAGAATCACTGCGTTGTACGGCAGGGTCATAGATGCTCTGGTGAAACACTGGGAGAAAAAATGTAAGACATCACTTGAAACGAGGGGTGCAGGGTGGTTAGAACAAGTCCAATTGGCTCTTGGCGAAGTTGCCTTTAACGGACTTATGGATTCCAAGGAGGGCAAGCTCGTTTTTCCTCGTGAACGATTTCCAAAAGAGTTCCTGATGGATGCTCTAGCGTTGGGATTTTTCTCTGAGAAGCCAGACTCCAAAGAACCCACAGTAACGTTCACACATAAAACGTTCCAAGAGTATTTTGCCTCCTTCTACCTTGTCAGACAGACCAAGTGGTTCATCAAGCGGAGGTTTTTGTCCAAAGTGACTATCGACACTGTGCAGGCAGTTGAGTATGTCTTGCGGTTCTCTTGTGGTATGAACAAGCTAGAGGTGGCATCGGTCATCTTTGAGCATGTCCAGGGCATTAAGGATGAGCTGATATCAGACCGGTACCTGTGGGTTCAACACCTGACCCTCATGCTCTACTACGAAGCTCAGTCAGATAGTCTGGAGGCCGGAGTTGGATCCTGTTTGGCTCTCAAGTACAAGGAGGAATTTGCAGCTCTGCAATACTATGTAGACAACCTCCATAACTCAGATGAAAGGTCGGGGCCAAAAGTCCATCTTGAGAGATTGGAGGTCTATCTGCACGTCATCAAAGATCTGACCAAAGTCAAAAGCATTCTTGAACATGTCGATGTTGACAGTCTGTACTATGGTCTCTTATGGTCGGACAAGTTGGGTGGGGAGTTGGAAGAACTTGACCAAGCAATAGAAAAACTACCTCACAAGAAAGGATACAAAGTAGTTTGCATTGATCAGAAAGAGCATCAGAGTAGCGACGGAGCAGCTGCAGCTGCTGATCAGGAGGAAGAACTGGGCTCAGTCGATCCACTGGTGCAGTTTTGCAGTACAAAGAGTCATGTTTGTGGATTTGGCCTTCGCATCGAATGCGATGTCATCAAGTCACAAGACACGTTCTCAAGGGTTGCTACAGGTCTTGGAGAAAGTCAGGCAGTGTATTTTGGTGTGCTCAACAACAGTTTGAATGGGTATATGAGTAGCCTTAAACCACTTATCCCTTCCTTGCAGTACCTTGAGCTCTATGACTGTGGCCTCAAAAGTGATGGTCTGGTGTCGCTTGCTGAGCTGATGCCAAGTGCCGTACGTCTGCGTGAACTGTACATCTCAGGGGCCGACTTCTCAGAAGAAGCTGTAGAATCCCTCCTGCGTAAGCTGAAGGATTGTCCTCGTATGCTGATGTTGGAGTTACACAACACAGAGTTGCCATCTGAGATAATCCAGGCAGTGGTCAGAGAGAGCTTTCCTGAGATGACCCCAGTGGAGGGTAATGTCGAGGGTCAGTATTGGTTGCAAAGACGAGAGAAGCCTAGATGTCGACTTCGCAAAGCTGTGGATGTCTTGCAGCGTAACTTTGGCCGTAGATCTTGAGACTTAATGGGCTTCATAGTCTGAGTGCCTGTATGAATGCTATTCCTTTGTTACAGTGCCTAGGGTGACAGCTGCAGGAGAGGAGGTACTGGCACGTGTCTTATTTGGGTCTAGAATACAGATCAGTGGGTCTTCCTTGCGGATGGTGACATCCAAGAAGTGGGTCTGATGAAGTGAGTGCTCTGATGTGAACTTGATGGTCCAGTTGAAGGAATCAGTGTGGTTCAAAGCAAACTGAAAATCACCATACTGTCCTCATCATGCATCATTGTTCCAAATGAAAAATACATCCAATGTAAAAAAAACATTTGAGTTCACTAATATAGCCCATCATGTGGATTTTGTAACATATTTAATTGGCCAGGTCCTTCAGTTTCTGAACAAAGTATATTTATTTATTTATTTTCTTTCAGTACCAGGAGGAGGATCTGTTTCATTTTTTAAAATTGTGTTGTGAACATACTTATGTGCTTTTATTTTTGTTAAGCTGGGGGTAAACGGTGCAAAGTAGGCTATCCCTTTTTGTGCCATTTCAATGCAATTTGACATACGTGGATATACTTTTTTTTCTTAAGAAATACTTATAACAATGGCAGTTAAAACTGGACTTGTGAACGATTCTTCTGGAAGCCGTAGTTTTCAATGTTCTGTCTGACTATGTGTGTGTGGTTTTTTTTAACTTTTTTTTAAAGAGACTTTGGACAAGTATTACTGATCAGTTATTGGATTTTTTTCTGGCTGTGCCGGTTAAATTAACTGCATTTATGTATGATATTATTAGTTATCCCGCGAGCGCGAGTGGAACACGGAATAATGTAGTGCGTCTGTGTCCCACATACCACGAGGCCAAAGGCCGAGTGATAAAGTTTTATATACTACATGTATATGAAAGTTGTTCATAAGTGTCTGTAGATAGGTACATCAGCATGTTTGTAGTGGTTAAAAAGAAGTGGTCTAAGAGCAATGCGTCGTGTGCCCGGCAGAAGGGCATATGTGCATATGCCCTTATGCAATAGCGCGTAATGACCAAAATGTTCCCAGCAAAAGGGCATTGCAGAAAACTGCCTCCATTTTAATGAGATTTAAACATTTTCGTCAGAAATTAACGTGTATAGTTGTTCCAAAACTTATGATTCATACGTGTGACAAATTTCAAATTCGTACGATTTATATTACGTGGGGGAGAGCACTGGATACATAATGCACGCGGGGGAACAATGGGACCTTTCAATGCAATTTTCTTGAAAATGATTTTTGTGTCAGAACGCTCATATGCCCTTCTGCCGGGCACCCGACGATATTATGATACTGGTAAATTTTACTAAATGGGACCAAAAGTGATAAACGGAGTGCTTAAGTTCATAACTGTATTTATGTGGAGTCAGATGTCAAAACCATTGTATGTACTAACAACTTTAAGAGTACGAAAAGCTTAATGGCTTGTAGTGTGTTTGGTCAGTGACTTTTTTGTGAAGTTTGAGAGGAAATATGTATATTATTGGCCATTATCTGAAGACTGATGCCAAAGTCATGAACTACTTATCTTATTAAAAGTAGAAGTAAACTTGTGAGTTTTGCATTTTTTTGTCCGTGGGAAATCTTAACAAAAGTGTTGATTTTGGCTTTCAAGAACGATACATTTGTCTGTATTGTACATTGTACTTATATAATAATATAATACATTATACTGATTCTGTAATTCAAATCAATTGTAATATTTGTACTACATTGTGTGTCTCTACTTAAGCATCCTTGACTTGTCATGCAATTATTATTATTTTTTTATTAGTAGTAGCCTTTTTTTTTTATTTATTTTTTGATTTTGGCATGTCAATTGCACATGTGAACTCAATTTTTCGGGGCGAATGTCAAGACATGTTTTTGTACACTTAGCAAAAGTGGACCAGTTTTTGAAATTGTGACATACAGTTGGCCCATATGTGGTTGGGCCAAATAATTCACTTGCAATTTAGGTCCCTTACCTCTTCGTATCAAGACAGACAATGTGCTATTTTTTTTTTAAACTCAACCCAAGCCATTGCAATTAGTGAAATTTATGATTATCTGTGAGTATCGCTCTATGAAAGCCTACAAAAGTATTAATTTTATCAACATTAAATCTCAGTCCATCATGAATTTTTACATGAACTTTTGAATTTTTTTTTAACAACCCTTGCTTGCCATTGTTTACTTTATGCTTCCTTGTATTTTGATTTCTACATACATTGTGATAAATTATAAATTATCTGATTACAAGACAGTTAACATTTTTTAATGGCCATTTACCTAAGACAGTTAACATTATAATTAATCAGTGGGCTGATTGTAGCAAATCTACTTCATGTTGTTTTGATATAATTTGTATATATAATTTTTTTTAACTCAACCCAAGCCATTGCAATTAGTCAAATTTATGATTATCTGTGAGTATCGCTATATGAAAGCCTACAAAAGTATTAATTTCACAACATTAAATCTCAGTCCATTATGAATTTTTGCATGAACTTTTGATTTTTTTTTTACCAAACCTTACTTGCCATTGTTTACTTATGCGTCCTTGTATTTTGATTTCTACATATATATTGTGATAAATTATAAATTATCTGATTACAAGACAGTTAACATGTTTTAATGGCCATTTACCTAAGACAGTTAACATTATAATTAATCAGTGGGCTGATTGTAGCAAATCTACTTCATGTTGTTTTGATATAATTTGTATATAGGGTCATGCGGCCCACAGCTTCAAAACTTCATCCAATAAAGATGTCAAATGTACAAAGTAAATTGTCATCGATAATCCTATTTGATTTTAGCCTTGATTAGCCTAACCAAGGACATACAACAATTCCTATCGTTAAAAAAACACCTAGGCCCAACAAGACGTACCAATTTCCGTGCGTATTGCGCGGAAGTCTTTTCGTGCGCGCAAGTCGGCTAGTGCAAGTGTACAATAAATTGAGCGCTTACAAAAAAATAACTGCGTATATTCAGAGGCCGCTAAGTACAGTCCATATTTATGTCATTTTTTCTATTTAGTGTCTAGCAGGAGATACATTATTTAAGGTAATTATTAACTCTTCCATTCTCTCAAATCGGAAAAAAATGGTTGTTTTAATTTTATAACGAAATGTGACCCTTGCATGAAAATCGTGACAAGCACGGTCCAGCCACACACATGCCGCTGGTCGATTATTTGCTCTAGAACTTGTGTATTCATGCGCTCTGTATGAATACCAAAAAATGTTATAATTGCTCCTTTTATGCCCCTTTTACTATGAAGACAACAGCGAATTTCTAACGGTGAAAAATATCAAAGGACTTCATGCTTGTATTTCTGTGAAATTTGGATGAAAGTGGAGGCGATATTCGCACTATTTACAATGTAGTGGAGGAACTTTTTTCCGGACTTGAAATATGGCGGTTAACGGCCTCAAACAATTTGTGTTGCGCACCCAAAGACTTGTGTAGCAGTCGTGACGGCATTTTGCGCAGGATTTTAATTGGAAGAATAAACTGGGGGAATTACTTAAAGGTATAGTCCATCATTTGCAGACATCCGAAAAGTAACTGGCGTAATTATTGTTAAAAAACAAACTTGGTTGAAAGATAGTAAGGGGACTAAACTCCCTGTGAAATTATTCTTTCTGGGAAGCTGTCATTTTGAAGTAATCAACGAAAGAAGGCATTTCCAACGGTGATTCTTAAGAAGCACCGTAGGAAAATTTAAATTAGTAGTTCGTTTTGTTATTCAGCGCAGCGCGCACAAGTATTGGAACGACGCACACGCGCGCGCGGTTGTTATAATTCGTCGGATCAGTGCGCGACGTCGCGTATAGCTGCAATTCAAAACAATTCAAAACATGATTCAGTAACTTTGGATTTGAAATTGAGATCTTAGAATGCTGTTTTTCTCGGAATGTACAGCTGAAGCTTAGCTGAAACTTCATCAGGGTAGTTGCTCAGTATCCTTCATTAGATTTTGAACTCTTTTGTTGCTTCAAACGAACAAAATGCACAAATTACAAATGATGGACTGTAGCTTTAAAGTCCATTCCCCAGACCCAAAACCTAGATAAGCCTAAGCTGGGGGGGGGGGGGGCAACCGCACTCGCACAATGTGGGTGTTTTTTTCCTCCGGCCACCGTAATATCAGGGGCCGGGGACCCATATTACAAATGGGGGCACTCTTTAAACCCAATGCAAATTTCGACTGTCCCCCTTCCCCCATTCGAAGTCCAAAGAACGGGGGACGTACAGACCAGACAAATGTAATTTGAACCAATACAGTACGTATGTGAGCTCAAATTGCATTAGGTTTAATTATTTACCGTTTTAAACGCTGCATAGGAATCGTGCCTTACAAAATTAACAACTATTAAGTCAGTACATTTGGGTTTTGCGTTGGCGTTGGGGGGGGGGGCACCAGCATTTGATGGAGGGGGGCACTTAGGTGGATACGGATCGCCGTCCTGGGGGAGGGGTCTAAGGGGAGGGGGTACCCCCCTCCCCTTTGGAAAATTTTCGCATACGGAGGATGGGCTAGATGCAAAATGGTGCCACATTTGATGCTAAATTCGATCTGAAGATATCTCCAGAAATTGCTATTTTTGAGGTAATGATTTTAACAACGCGCAGAATTTTGCAGAGGATAGGGGGGCACCAGCATTTGATGGGGGGCACTCGGGGGGCACTAGGTTTTCCAGGGGGGGCACGTGCCCCCCCCCCCCCCTCCCCCCCTTGGCGACGCCACTGGGGAGGGGGGAGGGACTTAATGCCTCCTCTTTCAAGTTCCGCGCGCCTCAGCTGAAGAATTCTCTTTTTAATTTTAGGAACTGAAAGCCCGCCCTGCCTCACCCGTGACAGCCGTTGATGGCGCTGTTGAAAACTAAGGATCCGGTCCACGCAATTCGCGCAAGAAGCATTGAGATATCGGCCGTCAACAAAAGGCCAATTTTTCACAGCAAAATTCTTCTGCTTCTGCTTGCAAGTAAGTCTCAAGTATATGACATATCGTGCACTGTTTACATAACACTTGTTACAGTTACATTTATAACATTGTAAACAAAATCGGAATTATATTCAGACGTTGTTTCCTTCCTTTCGCCGTTATTTATCAATGTTTTAATTGTTCTGCCATGCAGTGCAACAAGGGCGGCTGTAATTATTTACCCAATTATTTATATCTTTTTGGATTAAGATTCCCATAACTGGCCATCACTTCAGTGACTTGCTACTGCTGATAAGGGGTGTCGGACGCTTCGCCCCATTTCCACGTCGCCCCATCATGCCCATGTCACTTCGCCCCTAACCACTTCGCCCCATCCCCGCTTTGCCCCATCCCCATTTCGCCCCATCCCCGCTTCGCCCCATCCCCACTTCGCCCCATCCCCACTTCGCCCCATCCCCACTTCGCCCCATGTAGTATGAAAAAGGTGAAGGCTAGGGGTGCAGACCAAATAAACTGCCAAAGACACCAGATAATAAATGCTCCCAATTCTAGAAACTCAGGAAAAATACAAACTCTCTGATGAGGTGCTCGAGACACAGATGAGAGAAATGATGGCTCTATCCCATTAGATGAGATTGGTTCCTCCAAGAGTGAAATTAGGATGTCAAAGGTATTGTCGTTCTCAGATAAGTGGGAGATGGGTTGGTATATAGCCGGGTTGGGAACAAAGTTGGATCTTTTACTTCAAGCTTTTTTCTCGGTAGGGGAGAGTGATAGCTTGAGAGGTTGTTTATGAATTGTTCATTTGGTGGGCTAATTCTTTCCGTTGGTTAGCAATTAGTGAATTTTTTGAGATTTGAGAATGAGATTTTTTTTTTTTTTTTTTACATGTAACAGCTGGGGCGAAGTGGGGATGGGGCGAAGTGGGGATGGGGCAAAGTGGGAATGGGGCGAAGTGGGAATGGGGCGATGTGGGGATGGGGCAATGTGGGGATGGGGCGAAGTGGGGATGGGGCGAAGTGGTTAGGGGCGAAGTGACATGGGGCGACGTGGAAATGGGGCGAAGTGTCCGACATTCGCTGATAAGCAGCCTTCTGATTCCAGAAGTAATCACTTGCCCCCCTGTGCACAAACCGTATGAGACTGGTCTGAAAGTGAAACTGTTCTGACTTCAGTTCTGGACATATTTATTACTTTCTGGTGGCAGATACTAGGCCCTATAGGCCTACTATTACTAGGTCACTGAAATGTAGCCCAACTGCATCTGGCCGTACAGTACTATCGCAAGCTCTGCAGTACGGCCAGACACCCAATGCTCCCTAGGCTAAACGCTGAACTCTGATGTAGCGATTTTGCTACCGATTTTGATCGAGATTATCTTCTCATCCAGAACAGACATTTCCAAAGTTAAGGTTCTTAGTTGTAGAAAAACTCATACCTTTTCGAAAAAAATTTCTTTTATCCCAAAATCTTCATCCATATTACCAAAAATACAACTTTAAGTTTTAGTCATCATCTCCCACAATTCACAAATATCGTCCCGATTTGTTCCCCCATGCGATTTCAAAATGGCGGCCGCATTGTAACGTATGCATTATGCGGGCGCACTGTGGCAAGGCTATGAATATGCATTGTTCAGTTCATGACCTTGTGTTTGTATGGCCAGCCGCGCCGTGCAACCGACAAACATCATGAACTGCAATGCATATTCATAATCTTGCCCAAGCGCACCCACATAATCTAATCATAATATGCATAAATTACAAACGGCCGCCATTTTGAAATCACATGGGGGACCAAATCGGGACGATATTTGTGGGAGATGATGACTGAAAGTTGTATTTTTGGTAATATGGATGAAGATTTTGGGATAAAAGAGCATTTTTTCGAAAAGGTATGAGTTTTTCTACAACTAGGAACCTTAACTTTGGAAATGTCTGTCCTGGATGAGAAGATAATCTCGATCAAAATCGGTAGCAAAATCGCTACATCAGAGTTCAGCGTTTAGGGGACCATGGGGTGTCTGGCCTTACTACAGAGCTTGCGATAGTACTGTACGGCCAGATGCAGTCGGGCTAACTGAAATGTAGCTGGAGTTACGCAGCCAATGACAACCCAATGATAAAATTTAGGGCTAGGTAACTCCAGCTAACTGAAATGGTGATGGCTAGATGAAGGATATGGAAATCTGTCCATATTTTTGCATGTTAAATTCCTGATCAAATTAGAAGAACAATCAGACCAACACTACAAGAGTTTGTAAACAACCATTCCTGTTTCCTGATGCGCAGATATGCTGAACATAAACAAGGAAAACTCTCGGGTCGCCTGCAAGAAGTGCGGCTACAGCGGTCACCTGACGTACCAATGTCGTAACTTCATCCGAGCTGACCCAGGCAAAGATGTGACCCTCGACATCAGTAGCACGAGTTCCAGCAGTGCAGAAAGTGATGATAAGGCCGACGCCTACATGCCAGCGTTACCACAGAAACGGGATGGTAAATGTCACGTGACTAGCTGTTCCAAATATAAACCGAATATTTGAATATTCTATTATCAACTGAATATTTAAATAGCTTTTTGCTGGTTTGAATATTCAAAAATTTAAAAAAAATATGCACGTGCACACATGACCATGGTGTCATTTTGATCGTAAAGGTGCAGTTTTTGTATTGTCAGATGACACTTTTTTGTCGACGGTAACTTTTTTGTCGACGCCTATTTATTGGTGCCATTCTTTTAGCTGGGTAAAGTCCCTTGACAGTTAAACAGTATTTACTGCAAAACACTCCAGCGGCTTATAATATCCATTGCCGCATGCAATATTTGACCAGCGCGCTTCGTAGGCAACTTTTGACCAGCGAGGAAGGCAGCTGCAGCTGGCGTGTGGAAAACTTGATCAGCGAGTGTCGAATATTCAAATATTCGGGTCAATTGCAGTTTGAATAATCAAATACTAAATTATTTGAAAACGAACAGCCCTAGTGCCAATAGGTTCCGATCTCATGACGTCAAGGTACCATGTGACCATCCGTTTTCCCTGTGATTGGTCACCATTGCAGTAGGCAAATGTTTGATGAGCAACCACATTGTGCATTCTAAACTAGACAATAGTGTTTATTTTCGTGTAAACCAACCCTTTATCAAAAGGCGTAACAGTCATTATAGTTGTCATATCATGTGACGGGACCAGTGGATTCAACGACCATTTCATGTATTAACTGAACAATAAGATTTCTGATTGGCATCAGTCAATGTATTTCCTTACTTTTAAGTTGACTTTATATTAATTACAGTTGGTCATCAGATAAAATGACAATATGGCAAGTATACAAATTAATCTGATCTTCCATTTCACAAATGTTGACAAATTGTTCTATTTTCTTGCCTTGAATCTGCACAGAGTCCACGTCAAAGTCGAAAAAGGAGTCGAGCAGACATCAGAGCAGAGAGAAAAGGAAGAAACGGAAAAAGCGGAAAGAAAGAAGTCGAAGGTGAATGCATTTAAAGTTGTCAAAGGCCATACACTCCTTTTTGCCAATTGTATTGTAATTTCAACCAGAAATCTTTGAGCAGGTTCGATTCCCTTTTCAATCATTTTTGGTAAACTTTAACTTTGATTTGAAGTTCAATTGAAAATTTAACGTAATTTAATTTGGTCTTTTCTATTAGGCCAAAAAAAAGTCTCCGGTTTCTGGTATGCGCGCGCGTCGCCGTAGCCATGCGCGTCAGCAAAATGAAAAAGGTTTTTTCAATAAAAGATGATGTCTCAAAACGGCCAAACTCACTGGTTTGACTGGAATCCTGCTGCTGCACAATTTTAACCTGTTTTTAGATGGGATTATGATCTAGAATAAGCTTTATGTGGCCTCTCTGGACTCCCATATATTTGCACTAAGTTTAGTTGTGCACCATTTGCAGTCATCAGCCGACATTTGAAGCAAAAAAAAAAAGGTAAAAAAAAAAGCCGCATCGCCGCACCACTTTTGGGCAAGCTCCATACCAGAAACCGGAGACTTTTTTTTGTCCTTACTTGAACAAAGAAATTGAGCGGAGCAGGGTTTGAACCTGTGACCTCAGGATGGCCAGTTCGGTGCTCTACCAACTGAGCTATCCAGTCCTATGTTGGCAGTTCCCCATTTTGTCAATACCTTTGTTAAAAAATCAGTAATCTCTGTAAATAACCGCAATTTCTTCTTCATGTTTGTTTTCATTTTTTCGGACCAGGCGTAGTCGTTCCCGCTCCCCTCTGTCATCCTCCTCAGACAGTGAGTCATCTTCCTCATCCTCTGATGATGATTCATCCTCATTATCATCTTCTGAGGAGGAACATCGCCGCAGAAGGAGGAAAAAACACAAAGAGAGGTCACATCATCGTAGCAGTACCAAGAAAGAGAAGAGAAGACATAAAAAGTCTCGGAGAAAGACAAAGAAGAAGAAAAGACACTCGTCCACTTCGAGTTCTGACTCTTATTGATAACAATCAAAACTTGTTCCATTTTTGTTTTTACTTTTCCTAAAAAAGCTTTACTTATTTTATTTGGTTCCAAGTTGTCAAAAGTTTTTAAAGAAATAGCACATCCATGAGTAATGTTGTTGAACTATTACACACACAAAAATGATGCATCTGTATGCCCCTTTGTTTTTTGTTGTGGTGGTCTGTTGGTTCAATGCATTTCCAGTACTTTGAATAAACATTCTGACTTTTTCTTTTGGCCCACTCTTATTTTCATTGCTGTACACATTTTTAATCTTTCTTAATTGATTTCCTTCATGTTTTCGGTATCGAAACAAGTTGCTTGAAATAAAAGTTATAACTTTGTACTAGTATCTTTAAAACTTTGTGCCTGTTCAGATTGTGTTTTGATATTTGATCGACAAAAACAATTAAGAACAGAGGAATAACTGGAGTGGGACGTTTACTAAACGAAAAGACATATAGTTCAATTATTTATTTTCGTATTGACAGTTTGACACTAATTTTATAAACTGGTTGGGATTCTCTTGGGCAGATGAAGGCATATGGTCTTGATTTAAAATATAAGTAGCAGATATTTTGAGAATTTCTCTCAGCTTATAGAAACGTTTGCCTTTACTTAAAAACCGACTACGGATTGATGGAAAGTTTCCTGGTCAAAGACGAAAGTGTTCAATATTTCAATGGAATATAGACAATTTTAAAAGTAGTGCCAAGCTGGGCTAGCTCGGCCTTCTTTGTGACCTAATCCAATCCTGATCACAAATCTAAAAAAAAGTTCTGACTATTTTTAAAATAAAGGAAGTTGCCAGCTGTAAAGAATGAGAAACGTGCAATGAATAAAATTATGTAGTAAAAGCATTTAAAATTTCAAATGTGGGGAAAAACCGCGGTAGGTACGGCCGGAGAAAGGACTTAATCAAGTTTATGAACATTATTAATCTACGACTGTTTCATGAATTTAGCATACAACCGTCGTTGGTAACCGGTCGTTTGAAAGGTGTTTTGGGTACACGTGTTGTACGCGCACGTGTCAATGTGTACTGTTTAGTTTTGGGAAATGACAACAAAATGACCAGCAGGAGGGCAGACGAAAATGGCTCCGGACCGACGAAATCTGGGAAAAGGAAGAGGAAGACTGAACCATCGGGCTTTGTTCCAACGGAAGTCAACCCTGCTTATCGTGAGGAGAGTTTCAAAGAGGCATTTGGAGGTGCATTCAGGAAACAGGAATCGTGTGAGCACGGTGAGGAAAATCTGCTGATAGTATTGCCATGGAGGAAGGAATTGCGCAGGGTTGATGCTAGTTTTGGGGCGGGGTGTGGAAGTGCCAAGTGGTGGTGCGGGGGGGGGGTGCTGGGGTTAGCATATTGTGGTGAGGTATTAACATGACATTAAGCATGCATTAAGCAATGGCAGAACGTTCCGTTTATATAAGAAGTGGGGGCACAAAGAGTCGCATTCCCACACAATTTTACAAAATACCTGAGGTTGTTGGATAAATAATTATGAAAGGAAGCTATTTCTGATTTTCTACAGGGAGTGTGGTAAAAAAAATGGGAGAAACCACCCTTTATACAGCCGTCAAGTTTAAAGTATTTAGTACTATAAATTTCCATAATTTCTTTTCACATTTTGACAATGTGTACCCTTTTTCAAGAATACAAATGTCTCTCTGAATTGGTCATTGATTTGTGGTTTGCTATGTATATGCACGCTTCACACTGGCATATTTTGCAGAAAATGAAGCAACTTTACTCAGGGATCCCTTCAGCTGTTGCGTTCTGCCAAACTTTGTGAAGGACGAGGCCTTCTTGCAAGGCTTGAAAGACGAACTCTTGGATCTACCCTTTGAAGAAAAGTCCAACGACCTTTACAAATTCCAACAGGTAGGCCTAGGATTAATAGCAAAAATCCTTGAAACTGGCAGCAAGTCAATTCACAAGTTTAATAACAAAAAAACAAAACAGAAACTGTGACTTGACTTGAGACTGGAGGACTTGTGATGGACTTGTGAGAACTTGTGAAGGACATGTGAGCACTTGTGAAGGACTTGTGATGACTTATGATGGACTTATGATGTGGACTTGTGATGTGGACTTGTGATGGACTTGTGAGAACTTGTGAAGGACTTGTGATGACTTGTGAAGGACGTACATGTGAGGACTTGTGAAGGACTTGTGATGACTTATGATGGACTTATGATGTGGACTTGTGATGGACTTAAGATGACTTATGATGGACTTATGATGTGGACTTATGATGTGGACTTGTGATGTGGACTTGTGATGGACTTGTGAGGACTTGTGAGAACTTGTGAAGGACTTGTGATGACATGATGGACTTATGATGTGGACTTGTGAGGACTTGTGATGGACTTAAGATGACTTATGATGGCCTTATGATATGGACTTGTGATGTGGACTTGTGATGAATTGTAACGACTTGTGATGACTTATGATAATAATGCTAATTGCGCTTTATACCAAAGGTCTCTCAAAGCGCTTTACAATTATTACCCCAGTTCATCAGGAATGAGACCATTTTTCTGCAGCAGATCGAGATCAGCGCAATCTGGTCTGTACCTTCACAGGTACCCATTTGTACTCATGGTTGGAGAGAGGCAATTGTGGTAAAGTGTCTTGCCCAAGAACACAAGCACCTTTTTCCCCCAGGGTTCAAACCCACGTACCACATCCACAGCACATGAGTCGAAAACAGTAACCATTGGACCACAACACTCCATGATGGACTTATGATATGGACTTGTGATGGACTGTGATGGAATTGTGAGGACTTATGATGGACTTGTGATGGACTGTGATGGAATTGTGAGGACTTATGATGGACTTGTGATGGACTTCTTATTGACACTGCTACAACATTTATACATTAGTCAACAACAAGAACAACAACAAAATAGACTTAAAAATACTTTATATCTCTTTATACAGTCCGGTGCGCTTCAAAATTTCTCCTCCCCACACATCATAGGATTGAGGTAAGTGTAATCATTCAGAAAATAAATTGAGCAAAGTGGTCAAAACATATAAACAAATCATTAAGGAGTCCAATACAATACCTTAATTGTTTTCAATAGTTTCAAATACCTGGTACTTTATCAGAGCTGCTCTTTTCATGGGACTAAAGCTTGTATTAATCTGTTTTAATTTCAGAAAATTCCTGTATGAAGATTTTTTGGCTTGGCTGAGGAACGTCACCTGTATACCTTTAGATGACACTGTGGATATGACCTGCTCCAAGTACAACTACACGGGTAACAAAAACTAAATCCTTCCAACTGAAACTCCCAGTTTTTGACTCAAAGAATGTTTGTATAAAATTGGAAAGCTTCTTATAGGAAAGTTTAAAAATTATGCCAAAAGTACTGTTTTTGATTTTAAAAAAGTTGCCTGACATATTTAGAAAACCGGCCAAAGCATAAGGAAATTACAATGGGGCATAATATGCCCATTCCCAGTCCGAAAATACACATGCATTGCATTCCTGATGGGAGTATTATGACCAAACATCTTAAATTGAAACCCAATTTCTTGTTGAGAAGGCTTTATCATTTCTCCTCATTTCTCGTCCTTTTAGATAGTCTGTTATGTCATGACGATGAGCTGGGAGGAAGGAGGATTGCATTCATCCTGTATCTTGTCCCACAATGGGAGGAGGAAGACGGCGGGGCACTGGACCTCTTCACTATCGATGGTAATTTGGAGAGAGTTTATAATTGACAGTTTGTTTGAGTAGTGATTAAAGTTTCTGTGTTATATATGCTTGGGTCAAGAGTGTTAAAAAATGTTGGAGATTTGTTCATTTTTGTTTTAATACAGCAAAAAAGACCCCCCCCCCCCCCCGATCCAAAAAATAAATAAATAAATGAATAAATAAATAAATAAGTAAAAATTAAACAAACACACAAACAACCAACAAAAAAACTGGACAAAAAACTAAGCTACATTTACCTAGACAATAGTTCTTAAAGTGTCCTGTAAAGTCCTCATGGTTACTTCTCAAGGAACCCCTAACTGTTTTTCTTTTCAACACCCAAACTTCTGTTTTATCTATTGCACTATAATTCTCACGGTAGCCTTAAAAAGTGGGTAATATGGACTCTACTGTAAGCTAAAAATATCAGTTACATTTGAAAAAAATGTGTAAAGCTCTTGGATCTAACTTCTTTTAAGACTGGTTATGAAGAGTGTCCAACTTCCCAACTGCAGTGATTTCCTAGCATCTGGTTGAGTTTCATGGGTTAATATTTTTTGTTTAAATTGACAGCGCATGGCCAGCCCAGCCATGTCGTGAAATCCCTGCTGCCAAAATGGAATAACTTTGTCTTCTTTGAGGTCACGCCGAGGTCATTTCATCAGGTGGGTTGTCAAGTCATTCTGTGATTGGTCAATTGGTTGATCATGTGACCTTAACTGTTTTGTTGTTGTAGATCTTGCACAAGCCATCAGTCAGTTACTCGATCAGCCAGAGGACAATAGGCTAGGCCCTCAAGTCAGCAAAAATTAGACTTCTTTGTAGATTTTCAAGAAGTTCTCTTTCAAGGTTTTTGTTTGGTTTTTATGCTGCCCCTCGCCAACCTATTTTATAAAAACTGTATACTCAATGTTATCCTGATCAAAGGGGTTTCAAAATATTGCAAAATATTCACACGATCTCCTGCTTAATTACTAGTGCAGATATCTTACCACTCGACTACTGAGCTTGCTGAGGTCGGCTGGCTGGTCAGTAATATAGCAGCGGGTAATGCAACTAATTCCTATGTTGGGTTTTGTCCTTGGCCGACGCATTTTATAATCACTGTATAATCAGTGTTGTCAGAGGGATTGCGGGAAAAATTCACATGCTTACTTGCACTATTTTGGATGATGCAAAAATTAAATGTTCTTCAGCAGCGGTTTCTGTACGTGTGCACGTGCTAACATTTGAGGTTGTCTTTGTCACAGGTTGCAGAGGTACTATCTCAAGATAAATGCCGTTTGTCTGTCAGTGGGTGGTTCCATGGACCCCGTGTGGATAGGCCGACACCATACGTTGAACCCAGGATACCACTCCAGTCTTACTGTACTATTGAGGTGAGAGTAAGGCCACATCCAAATCACCCTCTAGGACTATTGTCTATGTCTGTTTGACAATTACAGCTACACTCAACCAAAAAAGAAAGTCCCCCCTTCCAATACTTTTTTCTAACTCAAAAACTACTGAGCACCTCTCGCTCAACTAATGACCAATCAGTACAGAAATTCCTTAGCAATCCAGCCATACTCTTTATTTGGCCCAAAACGGTAATAATGTGTACGAATTTATGCAATTTATGACAAATGATACCGAAAACAGTTGCACTTTTGTATACGTGCATGTTGCGGTTCAAACTCGCCTTGCAAGTGTCGAAAAGTGCAATTTTTTGTTTTCAGTACCACTTGTCATAAATTGCATTATTTTGTAAACATCACTGTTTTGGGCCAAACAAAGAGTATGGCTGGATTGCTAAGGAATTTCTGTACTGATCGGTCGTGATTTGAGCAAGATGTGCCCAGTAGTTTTTGAGTTAGACAACAAAGTATTGAGGGGGGGGACTTTCTTTTTTGGTTGAGTGAACGTATGAATATGCTGAAAAAAAGACAAAGCTGTAGATCTGAAAGCCTGTTACCATTATCTTCAAGCAAACATAAATCCTCAATCCTGATTGGTCGATCCACGGCAAAAACAGTGTGATATTATGACCTAACAACATGGTTCATATCGCACTCCGCATATCGTGCTATTCTAAGATGCACGCACCATTCCTGCTGCACTAGATTACCATTGAAAAGTTGGTATACGGCGTGCGTGTTCCATCTGTACTGTGCGTCAAGTTTGATTGAAGATAAATTCGTCTATATCCTCAACTGTGCTATCAGCTTTAAAAATGAAGACATGTTGGTTTCTTTTCAGTCTCACAATTGTCCCCCACATCTTTTTGTCTAATTTTGTTTCCTATACTTCTTCATTTAGGAGGATGAGATCTTTGATTGGATCAACCCTTTATACCTGGATGTCCTGAACCAGTCAGAAATCCAGGATCGATTTACCGATGACTCTGAAATTCAGCTGGAGAACTTCTTGCAGGTGCGTCAGTAGATCTTGAGTCTCTTGATGACTTTGAATGTTGACAGAAACCTAATATTCTTGTGGGTGCCACGGGTGTAACTAGTGACTGGGGGAGGAGCCCCTACTGGAGACCTATTCCTCCTGACCTTGCGCCCTCTGCTTCCCTCAACCCCACTTAGAATTAGGCAAGGCAGAAGTTCGGGAAGGCCGAGTGCCTGCTTCAGAAAATGAGACCTCCCCTACAAATCAGATCCCAGTTTTAGGCCCCTGATGGGAACTCATATTTGCATCTTGAATTACGATTCTGTATTTTGACTTAAGATTCTGTATTTGATGCAATTTTGTTGTACAGAAGGAGAAATATGAGCTGGTTAGTAAAGCCCTGGAAAGCAGTGACGTCAGGTGGCAGAAGATTGGACCTGCCAATAAACGGTATTGTAGTTTTATTGCATATTATTGTGTTTATAGTATTTTTTTATAAACTATTTCAGCAACTTCAATAAGAAGCCTTCTCAGACAAACGCAATGCTGCTGCAAGCAATAGGGTTTCTTAATGCACTTTTGCTGTTTGGCGTGTGTTCATTAGATGAGTTCGTTGTTGCAGGCATTCTGTTTTAACCTACCATTTGCTAAGCCAAGTTGTTTCTGAGTTTGATATGTCACAAAGGTGCTACTTCTGCTACCCAAAAGGTGTAGAACCTGCAGATGGAACCAACTGCGGAAGTGCTTCTTTTAGTTAGCGTTTATGTTTCCAAATCTTGAAGTAAACATTTTGAAACAACTGTGTTCTTATAATAAGTTGAACAAAAAACTGGCTGGAGCGTGGTTTGAAACGACAATCTGGAGTTCACAGGTTCAATCCCTGCCCCAGTCCATTTCTTTGCTCAACTAAGGAACAGTAATCCGGAGGTCGCAGGTTCAAACCCACTCCAGTCAATTTCTGTTTTAACTTTGATTTATTTTTTACAATGCACCTGGTCAGTTTCCCCTGTGGTTTATTTGAAAATATGTTCTTATGATTACAGAAGTTACGAGACAGCTGACATGTCGACGTTACCGCAGGTCTTGCAGGATTGCCTTGCCGTGCTGCAGTCGGAGCACATGTTCCTCACCCTGTCAAACTTCACCGGTCTTAAGTTGCACGAGAACGCTCCGAACAACGACAGCGATGATGAAGACGATGGTGATGATGATGATTGTGGGGAGGAGGCGGGGGAGGAAATCAATGATGAAACTTCTGGGGGAGATGCAAACTCTGCAGATGGAACTACAGGGGAGGATGGAGTTGTCATAGGTAAAAACACTAGTACCCTCTCAACGGGGAAGAGAATGAAAGATGATGGAAATATGAGCTTCTTTTCCACATTTCACCGCAACTCAACTGCACTCCTCTGCAAAGGTGTTGCAGCTTTTTGCATATTCAGATGACAATTGATCCTTGGGGCTTTTGTCATCATTTGGAAATTAGGTGTCTAAATTTGCCAGGAATGAAAAACTGGGTGTCCTTTGCTTGAGTACTAAAGTTGAACTTATATGTCTCTTTAACCCATAACCACCTGTATTACATTGTGTTACATTGTATTACATTGTATTACATTGTATCACATTGTATTAAATTGTGTTTACTCACTGAAAAATCAAAACCATAGAGGGCTCGGGCGGTTTCGGGCGCTACAGTTGGTAAATGGTTAAAAAAAAAAATGTGATTTCGAAAAGTCCCTTCGGTTTTCCAAAAGATTCCTGGACGCACTTGATAAAACCATTTTAGTCGTACATTCTCGGCACAATATGCACAGGAACCAGTACACAGAGGGATCATGATCCATACACTTGTGGTTCTCATGAGTGCAACGCTCTGTGTCTTCTACTTTTTCAGCACTGAATCCATCTCTAAGATAGCACCTTACTTGCTCACAGGATATGACACATGCGTGTAAAAAAAATTCTCTTACCAATATCTTCCAGTCATATGTCCAATGCGTACACCTCTGAATTGAGAACGCTTATTGCATGTCCCCAAGTACGGTGCGACCTCATTAGTGGTTCTAAGTGTGGTCGATGGATTAAAGTCTCTGGAATTTGGCTGAAGTATGGACGAATTGAACGCATTTTAATTTTCTTATTTTCCCATGTCCAGTCAATTCACCCAGAGCGAGTAATCCAAGATGCCGGGCCCAGGTCAGGCGATGGCGACACGGCTGCTACACCCTGCTGCATGACACGGACACCGAAGGATCAGAGTTTGCGTTGGATGCTGTCATCCACTTCAACTGCCCTGAAGGTATGGCTCTGTGCATAGTCTAGTTCTAATCAAGTCATTATTATTATTTATTTATTTCTGATAATAAAACCACAGATTCCTCAAAAATGCCCTAGGCACTGTAGCTCGCAAGCCTGAAGAAACCTGTAGAGAGAAGACAATCAGAAGCAATTACAGTTTTAGAGGTGGGAGGAAATCCCCAGCAGAATTTTCTGGGGAAAACAAACGGGATCAGGCAGGGACTGAAAACCCAAACCACATATTGGCCCAGGCGGGATTTGAACCCGGGTCACGTCACAGTGGTGAAGGCGAGGAAAGTACCGCTACGCCAACGTCACAAGTCAAAAACACAATCCGGGTCACAAGTAACAGGATGAACAATAACAAAGGAATATCTTTGTCATGGTTGATTTGAATAGCTTGCGATATGACTTGAGACTGCAGGACTTATGTTTACCTACAAATGGGTGCTTGTATTCAATTTTTTTACATATTTCACATTTTTTACAGATTTGCAGACGGATCATGGGGGTTACATTTCCTACATAGCCAAGGCAGAAGATGAAGAGGTATAATCATTTCTTATACTCTTGACCAAAAGAATTGATCAAAAAGTTTAATGAAACATTTTTTGTGCATAAGCACAATGTGAAATCTGCTTTTGATTTTAAAAGAAAGTTGAGGTATATTTTGATTATAAATTACTTGGATTAAGTCTAGCAATTGTATTCACCAGTCAAAATTGTTATTAGTCAGAAATCTACAGAAAAGTAGAAATTTCTCAATATTGAGAACCTGATTTTCCGAATTTTTCAGTAGGTTTTGGATTTTTTATTAAAAACTCTTTAATATTAAAAATTGCTTTTACATGTAGTTTGTACGATTTTTTTCTGTTTTGCAAATAAATTTGACAATCAGTATTTCCTGCTAAGTATACCCCTGAATTTATTTTAAGATTTGAGTCAGAGATTGTTTGATTAAACCATGGGTTTTGATTGTTTGTTTATTCTTGTAGCTTCTCAGTGTGTCACCTGAGAACAACGGCCTTTCGCTGGTCTACCGCGACAAGGAAACACTGAGATTTGTCAAACACATCAACCATAGGTTCACTGAGTGCCACAGTGAGGGGGACAGGGAACCAGTTATCTACGACATACAACTCGTGTACTATGAGTAGCGAGCACCGGCTATCTACCACGTATAAGATGGACCCTACCGGATTTGGGCATATGCCCCGCCCACTTTTGGGTTGTGTACATTCCCACAGTGCTTATGACCCAGTTTGACCCAGCTTTCTTGGTCACTTGACCAGAAGTCAGTATCTGATTGGTCAATGCGCACTATTTGCCTGACAGGCAGGAGTTCATAACATGTTGTGAGGAAAAGCTTCAATTGAGAAACTCATACCATCTAGTTCCGTCGTCCTTGCTATGTTTCAACCAGATGCAACATGGTAGTAGTCTGAGTATCATCCATTGTTTTGGGAGCCCCCAAGCTCAGCAATAATGTCTGATATGTATGCGACCTTTGCTAATTTTAAGTGACCCCTGCGCCCCAGCCAATTGGAGTCGACTTTAGAACTTGTGACGTCATTTCATGAAGAAACGCGAACAAGCTGTTTATTTTCTGCCATGTTGTTGTTAACCCCATGCGCACGGGAAGCGGTCATGGCCGCGGCCGCTAATCCTCATTGGAATGCAGTTGCCAGCTGTGGTATGCCGTGGCACATGGCTAGTGGGTAGTTCCACAGCTGCTGCTTTTGTGCAGTCCCGCTACCACACAAAGGCTGTGCAGTCATGCGGGCCACTTGCTCTATGTGTGGAGGAATGTCCCCATTACACCCCGTCCTTAAGTTTAATATAATAACGGGTTACCGATGACCTGATGGAAAGCTTGTTGATTGGTCAGAATCTGGAGGTCAAGACGCAGTCTTGTTTTGCATAATTAATCGTTGAATCTGAATCCATTGAATCATAGACGCTTGTTACAATAAAGGAATGGTAGGGGTTAAGTGTACTGAGGAAAAATCCACTGCCCCTCATTTTCTATAGAAGCCCTCTTTATACATCGGGGTCATTTTTAGCTTAAAGTGGGGTAAACATTTTCAGTTTGATATCACGAGACAAAGAAATGTGTATATCATTACTTAATTGTATGCTTTTTATTCATTTGATAAAATAAAAATGCAGGTGCTGAAATACACATTCATTCTGCAAATGTTTTCGGTTTTTTTTCGATGTCCTATAAATAGAAACGCACCATTGTTGATTATCAACACAGGCAGGCACATTTATACTCAAACCAACATAAACGTGTGAAAGTCCATGCAATCAAAGATATCACGTGGCATTTACCCAAAAATATTACATTTTCAAAGTTGAAAGCATTAAAGTGCCTCATTTTTATACAACAAATAAAAAAAATGAAGCTAATCACTGGAAATTTGTACGGAATTGTACTTGGTAACGTGAAAAGGAAATGCTATCGGAATTTTCAATTGGGCAAATACTGAAATTATCAAAGATGTGAACATGTACAAATTACTATAATTTGATAATAATTATGCATAAATATGAAAACAGCGCATGTACATTTCATCTAAGTTTTCAGACAGGCTTTTTATGCCTTCAATATTTTAAAATATGACATGCACTTTTTTACTTTATGATTCCAAAGTACTGTATAAATAAATATTGATTTTTAGTTGTACAGCAGATGGCACAGTTCAAATAACATGGCTTTCGCTTGGCCACACAGCAGGACATAAATCAAAAATTAACTTAAAGTCACACCATTTCGGCACAAATATTTTAAATATATAATATACTATATTGATAATTCTTTTTTCATTTGTACATTTAATTTCTCTGAAACCAATACAGCACCTCTGACTATCATTTTAAATTAGAAAAGTATAAAAATGGAAAATGTTTCTGCATAACATGTATAAGAAAAGTGGAATATAAAGATGAAAATGTAACTAAATCAGCTGAATATCAGCCAAAAACTATTAACGAATGATCTTCAAAACAATCAAGGCACACACTACAAAAGAATGCAATCCAAAACACAATCCAACTTCAAGAGATCCCCATGTAAAATACATGCACATAAATACTAGGGAACATTTGAAATGGTACGCGTACGGGATACGTATACGGCTCAGAAAAACTAGCTGATTTATCACCATTTTGTGAGGTTATTTCACTAAAAAAACAATATTTGAAAAATATTTAAAAGAGCTTAAAATGTCACAATTTATTGCATATTTAATTCATTCGATATTATGAAAGCACAACACACATGTGACACTACAGTGAAGATTGTTACAATATTCTCACATGAAACTTTGCCGTCGGGTACTTTTACTAATTAAGCAATTTATCAGCCTGCTATATCTAGTACTTGCACTGCCCTCTTTTGACATTAACAAGAAAATGGCAGGCCTGTTGCATGTCATATCGCTAACCTTGTTTTCAAGCCTGAAGAATTTAAGACTAAAAGTATTAGGACATATTTATCTTTCAAAACCAGAATTTGTCAATAGAGTTGCGTTATGGGGCTGTCAAATCAATTTTGTATTTGGTAGATGATATCAAAAGCTATGTGCCTCAACAGTTTACCATTGATGCCTTCATCTACTGATTTGCTTATAAATTTGACAATTGTGACCTGTTCTGTCAAAAGCAGACGCTTCTGGGCAGAGGTTGAAATTGAGATAGGGCCAAAATACGCTGTGGGGGTGATTTTATCGATTTTCGAATTTTTGCATATTTGTAATCCTGAACATGTCTAAAATATATTATAAAAGTTTGAAACCCTAATTTGAACTCTACATATACTATTTTTGATGATTTTGATAAGGTATATCAGTTAAAGAAATAACTGTTTTGTGTTGTTCGTGGCCATTTTCTCCGTTTTCTACTTTTCGACACAATGAACTTCAAAATAGCATAACTCTGCCCAGGAATGACCGGTTTCAAAAATTAAACCACCTATTAAAAGGAAAAAGAACATATGTTAACAATATGTAAAAATATCATTTTCGACCTTATGCCCAGAAAAGTCTAATTTTGACAGAACAGGTCACAATTTTGAATTTACGATTCCAACGGTAGAAGAAAACATTCAAGGATGACAGATGGCTTTATGTAAATACATGTACTCTTCATATTCATTATGCAAGTACATTAATATAATACATTATGCAAATTAGGCACTGTAATTTATGGGGGGGGGGGGGGGTTCGTGAGATACATCCATCTGACAAATATGTAGGCCTAAATGCTGGTTTTTATGACATTCCCTATGTATGCATGCATAAAGTAAACACATTACAGTACAAGTATGGGAGAATTTTTGCCTGCCACTTCCCAATAAAGCTCAGCAGAGGGCGCTACATATGAAAGCAAGGGTCACACCTATTCAGCCTAAAGATAAGCTCGGTGTATATGAAGTTGGTATTAAAAGTGAAAACAAGTGACGAAAACTACATCATTGCACTGCCTCCAATGCTGCAAGGATCACGTAGCCCAGGACGGCAAATGCTATTTTCTGCGGGCGGTCTCTGTGCACCTCAAACTCGTGGTTGAGAATCTCGAAAAATGTGACAAAGATGAAGATTCCCGCTGCGATGGCTTGCATGACGGCTGAGCAGACAACGGCTCCGAATCCCGGGGAGGCTCGGATCCAGAGACCGAGGGCGATACCGGACGGAATCATTCCTGCGAAGAGAACTCCGTAGATGACAAAGGCGTAGGTGCTGACGGAATTCTTAATGAGGCTGGCACCTAAGGCAAAGGCAGCCAGGCTCTCGTGAGCAAGCATTGCTATCAGGAGGTAGACGATGCGTTTGATGTCCTCCTGAAGACCCAGAGCCATGCCCTCAAAGATGGAATGCGTCGAGAGTGCGAAGAGGAGGATGAGTGACCGCAGCAGCCCTGAGTTGTTGATGTTGCTAAGGTGACTGTGTCCATGCGAACCAGCATTGTGGGAGTGGCTCCCAGCTTCAAGATCGTTTGTTTCATCAAGACGGGAAACATTGTCTCTTCGGTAACCCCCATTTCTTTCCTCTGTAATGCCCTTTGCTGGCCCAAGCATGGGCTGTGTGTCCGAGTCTCTGTTAAACAAATCTTCATCCTCTTCTTCATCCTCGAGATCAGTCGTGTCCACTTTGACCTTTCCATCCTTGGCGTTGAACTTCAGGCTGACCTTTTTCATCTGTATCTCGTCGGCCTTGCCCCTGTTCTGCCACTGCTGTTGCAAAGACAGTGCCAACTGCTCCAAGCTCAAGATCAGGAAAAATCCAAGCACCACGACCGCTTCACAGAACGGATACTCGGTGGTAATGTTCTTCTCTCGAAAAATCTCCTGGAATTTGTCTCGGGCTGCAGGAATCAGCCCCAGGAAGCAAGTGGCTAGAAACACGCCCCCAGCCAGACAGTTGCAGTAGCTCAGGATCTTTTCCGATCGCTGGCGTCGTTTGATTGACTGGCTCGCTTTTGTTCCAATCACCTTCAGAGGTAGGAGGGCTCCGGCGAGGGTGATGAGAAACACGGCAATCATGCACGTCAGCTGCAAGAGAAGGATTGACATACTACTGCCGTAGGTGGGCTCCCCGGACTTTTTAGTCACAAAATTGTCAGTCCGGCTGCTGGGTCCGGTACCTTTGGTGAGAATATCTTCCATGGTTGATTTGTTTTAACTAAAAAGTGTTTCAATTTCCAAACGTTTGTCCTTCAGTGATCTACAAATGTTTCTCCTCCATCTTTGTGTGATGATCTGAGCTGTATGCAATCTAGCTGTTGCTCCTGTTATACAAAAATATGAACATGATTATTAATTAACAGCTTATTCAAATTTATGCATTCTAATGTGTCCTGGTTGGTTGATGTCCAACTTTACCAGTAACAAATAAACTTGACAATGGTTACAAGGCTAAGTTACATGTAGGCTTCAGCTTATCTGTAAAAAAAAAGGGGGGGGGGAGTAGGCCTATTAAATGTTAGAAGAAAAACTGATATTAACTTCTAATTCTAGTTAAACCGAGGTGTTTCCTACCTCCATGGTTAAACATTATAATAAAGCATAAATATTAAATATATACGCCAGTCCCTCTTTAAAATCAATTCTCTTTTACTATCAAACCACGACTGATGTTTATTTTAATTCAATGATAGATGGTAAATGGAATACCTATATTTTCAACGACGAATAATTTTCTGACGATGAACTTCTTGCAATTTGTGTTTTGTTTGGTAAAGTTTGTCGTCTGCGAACCCAGTCAGGTTCCCAGACTTCAGTTCCTGTATTACTTATCAGACGACCGGCAGAGATCCCAACTACGTTTTTATGTCACGTAGGCCCTGCTGGGAAAGGTACATCGCTACGCGATCGGACCAAGTTATCTCATTTATGGAAGGTTGATATAGCTGAAAAAGGTACTGCGGTGTGAATTTTTAATGATTTGTGTTTGCTGACAAGATGTACCTACCTGCACAAAGTGTTTAACGTGTTGCGTCACCACACGAAACGTGGCAAAGTTGTCGATGTGCAGATCAAAGTCCACGTTTGCTCCTTGTGCATGGTGTTTTGTTATAGCGCCCCCTGTTGACATTGGGTGGGCGTGTCATTTCATATGGAAAGAGGGAGGTGCAAACATTAACATATCCTAAGTGCTCCCGGTAGGTCTGTTGTGACCATTCTTGAAAATCACGCATTCTTAAGAATGTGCATGCACATTCTTAAGAATGTGCAACTGGATCCTTGCGCAATCTTCGCAAAAAATAACTCTTCCAGATTGAGCGCACATTCTTAAGAATGCGCGACAAGATAACGGTCTTGTCGATGCCGAGCACCGGCTGCGCTTGGAAAGTCTAGCTGCATCCTCGTTCACTGATTCTCAATAATTATACTGTTGCAACGCAAGGCGCTGAAAAGTAGAGTGGATATGATAATTATCTCGTATTGATATGGGGAGGGGGGGGGGACCGGGAAAAAATAAGAGACATAATAATACTAGTGGAAAGAATTCTGATTTTTGGGATAATAAAAGCGGGGGGGGGGGGGGGGGGGGGGGAGGGGGGGGGAAAGTAAGAATGAAGAATGTGAAGAATGAGAATGAATACTGCGACATCCCGTAGTGCTAATGCTATTTCCCATTTAAATTGCCACTAATTTATTGTTCACACCCCACCATTACGTCACAGAGCTGGATTCTATATAGTCAAAAAAGCAATTTTGGCAGCTTCTGGACATCGTTTTGTTTTCGTGGCATGCATATGATACATACAGGGACTTGTAACTTGTCTAGCCTAAACAAAGCACTTCCCAGACTAGTTCCCAGTCCTCCGTTATTACAAAACTTCCCATAGTGGGCAGAAAAAAGCAATAATAACAGGTTTAATTTGATTCAAATTATCGTAGTTATACGAGTACAGAAGCATAGAACATTTTCTTTCCTCTTTATATAAATTGTTTCCCTTTTAACCGCTATACATTTCATTTAACATAATTATGTCGTGCAATGTTTGTTAAGATTGGGCAAAATTCATAAATTGTGCACGTGATATTCCCACCCAATCTTAAGAATGAGCGCTCATTCTTAAGAACGCGTGCTCGTTCTTAAGAATGGGCGCTCATTCTTAAGAATGCGCGCACATTCTTAAGAATGCGTGATTTTCAAGAATGGGCACAACAGGCCTATTACAAGTGAAACTCTTTTTAATTTTAACAGGTAAGATCTCGCAAACTAAATGGACTGAACTGATTGCTGAAATACGGTAAATCCTGTTGATCGAGAGGAACTAAAAAATGGTGGTAAGTAAAGTGCTTGGAATATTCATATAATTTTTTTATAATAATTAATATATAATTCATATAATAACATAAGTCCCTGCAGGGAAAAACCATTAATGTCCATGTATGGAATTCTTTGTTGATTCCCCAGTTGTATGATATGGTTTGAAATATCTATAGACAAATTGAGAAAGTGCCAACTCACAGTTTGGTAAAGCACCAGATTTTTATTTTACTGGTTACAGGTTCAAATCTGACTGAAGTCATATTTTTCATAATTCAGCTGATTTTTTAATTTTATTTTTTTTTTGGTAGCGCATCGGCTTGCAGATAAGGGCCCAAGTGGAAAATGTGACGAACATTCGTCCTGATGGAGACGATTTCCGTTGGTATGTCAAGGTGATGGACAAAACATTTTTGACATTTTCTTTACAAATAAATGTCTTGACAAAAACCTGAGAACCATAACCTGCATTAATTGTATCGGTATCAGACATGTTTGTTTATTTCAAACATTCCTACAAACCATCATGACCATGCAAACTGGACAACCAAAGTACTGTTTTTAATTTAGCTTCACTCATGAAAAAAATATGTGCATTGTTTTTCCTTTTGTCATCAGATCAAGTGTTCCAACTGTGGAACAATAACCGGATCATGGCAGTACCTAACTCTCACTGTAAGTTGGTTGCACCACTCATTTATGTTCTTTTAGCCACGCCCCCTTTTGGGTGCCAGTTTCTGTTAGTTGGACAGAATTTTGTATTATACAATTTTTTTATTCCAGAATGAATTGTTTAAATTATCCCAGATTGGCATAGTTATAATCATCCCCGATTTATGTCATTTTCAATTTGTTTTGTGTGTGGTTTTCATTTTTTACTTGAAGGAGAGCACACCAACAAAAGGAGGTCGTGGGTCAGCCAGCATGGTGTCAAAGTGCAAAATGTGCGGTCGAGAAAATCACATAGGTTTGTGACACTACAATGTTCGAGAATTTTGTATAATTAAAACCTTTAAAAAAATAAGTTTTTCAAGTTTGAATTAAAAAAAGTCTCCATTTAGTTCAAAGTTGTTTTTAAGGAAAAATACAACATTTGCAAACATCAAAAAAACAAAATTATCAAATTATCACGAAATACCTTACTGGATTGTTAGGGAATGCCAGTCTAAAGAATCCAGTAAAATTGTGGCTCCTGGTGTGCTGACATTTTCAAGAAAAGTTTTATTTTTCCAACGCTGGCCAGCCGACCAGCGCTGGAGACAACTGGCTTTGTTTTCAAAAAATCCTCCAAATCCATTTATTTCTGAATATTGCAGCAAAAGCAAATGTTGTACATTCCCTTTAATGTGAAGAAATTAATATAGTGGTTTAATTTAGAGATTTTGATTTAATTAATTTATAAATGAGGCTTTTGTCATTATCTCTTATTCACCAGCTTGTATCTGAAACTTTATTACTGACTTTATGTGTCGCAACTTGTCTCTTGCAGACATACTCAAAGATTCCTACAAAGCCTACAATGTAGAAGACAGCGGCTCATTCAAGACAATCGTCGGCTTTGAGTGCAGAGGAATGGAGCCAGTTGAATTCTCACCAAGGGTAAAAACAATTCTGATAGTTTGAAATATCAAACGTTTTTGCAATTTCAAACAAAAATTGTTTGTAAAAGTCATTTCTTTGGTCAGCAACAACATCAATTTAAAGTTCCTTTCACTGTCATATCTGATAAATTTTTGAGGGATTAGTTTACACATTTCCTTCCCAAACCAAGGATATCCCAAACAATTATATGGTGCACTGAGATAATGGAACAGTTGACCCATTTTTTTTTTTTAAGTTTCCTCATAGGTGGTAGGGCCTGTGGTCTAAGAACTTAATAAAATGTCTCTTCATAAAAATATTTGCCTGATTTTAAATTTATTTCAGATTGGTTTTGCAGCCAAAGGGGCCGAATCCACAACCCAGTTTGAAGTTGACTTAACAGAAAAGGTCGGTTCACATTATTCATCTTGAGATTATAAAACACGGAAACAAATTATTAGGTATTAATTATGACACCCCAAGGATTTTCTAACGGAACCTCCCAGAGTCTCAAATAATCTAATTAACTCGATGCAAAAACACAACACGGTTAAGGGAATCATTTGCATTTATCCCAAAAGTAACCTATGGAATTTTCAAAAAACTTACCTGTATTAAAGATCCTACTGGTACTGAACACCCCATGAAATTAGAGGAAATCAAGAAATGTAGGTGATTTCCGACGATCAATTAATTAAAATAAAGAGTGCTGTTGATGAAGTTGTGTTTTGTGATCAAAAGTTGTGCATGGTTTTTCACTGTTTTCTTGAAAAGTGTACTATCCACTAAGCTGAAACTTCAACAGGTTAGGTTTAGAAAATTCTTCTTTGGATTTGGAGTGGTGTTATTATTGGAAACAAACAAAATGCATGAAAAGCAAATGATCCTAATTATGGTATATGCCTTTAAGAATTTTGATTTGTTTCTTGGTGTTTATTTATTATTATTATTTTTTGGCAGGAATGGGCGGATTATGACGAAAAGACCAACCTGCCTGTGAGCATCGAAGAGTTTGAAAGTCGCTTCATCACCATGAAATGAGCAATCCTACTGACAGACAGAGAGAGAAATAGGGAGGGGAACCGGGAGACAGATGGAGACAAAATTAAGTCATCTAATGGACAATTAAGAACCTGAAATACCTTTATTTCCAATCAGTTAGCTGCAAACTTTTAGTTCAGTTTTTCAAAACAAACAAAGTAGGGGGTAGTAGAGCCAAAAGACTATCTGCACGTAATTTCTGAAAAGTTACAGAATTCATAGTCAAAAAAGATTCATTTGGTTATAGGTTTTCTTCATTTGTTGTGCCGCTTCTTTATTTTAAGAAATAATCAGCCACAGCTTATTTATTGCCTGGAATATAAGTTTTAAATTTGCCAAAGAAGAATATTACACATCTCTTTATAATAAAAATCATTAATAATGTTTTCTAAGAGGTGGCGGTGGTATTTTTTTTTGGGGGGGGGGGGAGGGCCTTTGTTTCGGTTTCTTATTCGTTGCTTAATTAGCTTGAAAAAAAATAGAATTTTATGAATTTCTAATGAAAGAGATACTTTTCTTCCTTTTTTTATTGATGTATTCAATAAAATCATGGATATAATGAAGTAATTAGTGCCATTGTAAAAGTTTCAGTTGTATTTTACGAACCAGAATAATTTAATCAACACTGCACGTGCCATTCTTCGACCTCCATATTCGCGTTATTATTTTGGGATTTGTTGCAAAGCTAAATTTATTTGTCTAAAATATCCTCCACTTAAAAACAGATTTCTCGGATTTCGTAATCACGTGAACTTGACGTTCAACAGCAAGTAAGACACCCCCCCCCCCCAACCTCCCAGCTCCCCCCCCCCCCCCCCCCCCCCATGTAGTTTTAACTGGTACCTGTTATTAATTTCGCTAATACATTTTGTACTTATCATATATAAAACAGTCGTCGGATAAAAGGCGAAGCGAATACGACGTCAGAATCCCAGACGTCCTTACATTGAGAGCACGTGCTTCGTGCTACAAGGTAACTGGGTCAGTACGGTTGTTGACATGACAACGCGGTATCAATAGATCGGATCCGTGCGAAAAGAATCGACACGGAATGACAACGAACTGAAAGTAAATCACGTTTTCAGTAACAAATAGCGTCTTTTGTCTATCTGTTTTTAAATAAGAAGGTAAGAAATGTATATTTTTTACAGGAAATGTCATTATAAGAAATGTGTAATAATGGCTATTTCAAACATTTTGGACGAAACGGAAGATGCAAATTTCTGTCGATTGTGTGCCAATCCAGACGCCGCTTTTGTGTGCAAAGTCTATGGAGAGTGGAGTGCACTTGTGAAGTATTTTCTAAAGAAATTGGAAATGTTTCGCATTCTTAGATTCATGGCTTTTCAACATTTTTAGAATGACTGACCTCCATTGAGAAAATATATGATGAAAAAAGTGGCGACAGCATGTTACATAATAACTTTAAGATAGTGGATATTTTGCCGGAGGTAATGACGGCAAACTAACGATTACTAAAGGTTTGCCGGCGGCAATCCATATCAACAGAGGGCGCTGTACTCTTTAAAATAGGGCTGAATTATAGCATGTATTAAATTCCCACCAAAAGTTGTGTAGCACGTTTGGTGTAGTGGTTAAGCAAAGGCTCTAGTAAGCGGGATGACTCGCGTTCGATTCCTACCGCACCACATTTTTTTTAAATTTTTTTTTTTTCATCCCCAAATAAATAAGAATATTCTTCTTTTATTATTTTAACATGTCTCAAACATTTTTTTGCAGAGTATTACATTTTCTTTTTCAGATTTGTGGCTCTGAAGGATTTTTTTTAAAAGGGAAATAGGCCTATAATCCGAAATTATAAAATGGTCTGAATCCCATCTTGTGAATACGAGGTAACAACTATAATTTTGGCATGGAGCCAGACTAAAACTTGTCACCGGAAAATGTTGAAGTACAAAAAAACAGTAACTGCGCATGTTCAGTGCCTATCCGGCAAACTAACGTTTACTAAAGGTTTGCCGTCTCCGGCAAAATATACACTGCCTAACTTTAACGCAACATTTTAATATTCTTTACGTTTAATATGTTTTTAATCAAAATTTTTTTTTATTTGAGTAGGCCTACATTTCATTTTCTTCTTGTAATCATTGGCTTCGGCTGATCGCCAAGAAGTTTTCTAATTCATATTTTTCTCGTTCGCCTAGAGTCCTGACCCCAAAACTTTTAGGTTGCGTAACTAGTAAGACTTGTAAGTTGTATATAAGTGAACTTGTAGTTTTAAAGTAAGACTTGTCGTTTTTACATTTTGTTGTACATTGGATGATTTTTAATTTAAAGAGTGAGGCCTTTTTCTAATATTTTACTGTATAAATTATCATTCCAATCCTTGACGTTGAGTTGAATTTTACTTCTTCCACTAACAAAACTGTTTACTTTTCAGGTCAATATGGCTATTGCCATAGCTCAAGTTAAGCACGTATTCGGTCTGAAGGGGGAGATCACAGGAAATATCAATTATGTCGATGAACAGACCATCGTCTACCCCTCCGGGGCCAACACCATCCTCTACAACATTGACCAGAAGTCCCAGAAATTCATCCCGGGCTCGGACAAGACGCTCGGCACAACCTCCATGTGTGTCAGCCCTAACCGACGCTACGTGGCCGTCGCCGAAAAGGGGGCGGAGAAAGCCACAGTCACCATATACGACCTGCACTCACTGAGGAGGCGGAAGATCCTCAGCTCCACCGACATTCAGTCCAATGAGATCGTCAGTATGGCCTTCTCTCCAGACTCCAAGTACCTGATCGCACAGGGCGGAAGGCCTGATTGGACGCTGGTGTACTGGACATGGGAGAAGTCCAAAATCATGGCCGTCACCAAGACCACAAATGCAACGAATAATGATATCTACCAGGTAATATTCAAATGCATCTCAAACGATGTAAATTATTTTTACCACTTAACATTAATTTGATACATTTAGCATCACTGGTTTTAAACTGTTCAGGTGGTCAGGATTGTGTACTGATTTCGTTTGAAATTGTGTCGTTCATTTTTACAGGTGTCATTCAACCCTCAAGACAACACTCAGCTCTGCGTTGTGGGTAACGGCATCTTCAAGCTGTACCGCTACAGCGAGGGCAACCTGAAGCAGTTTGCCTTCCAGAAGATGGAGCCTCAGAACTTCCTGTCTCATGCCTGGGTGTCGGACGAGAGGGTCATTGTCGGGACAGACAACGCCAAGCTGCTGCTGTTCGAATCCGGGGAGCTGAAAAATGAGCTGGCTGTCGTGGTGTCTCCACAGAGCAAAGATGCTGACAGGTGAGATCCAAGAAGAAAAATGACAGGAAATGTTTTTTGTGTTTCGTTTTCTGTGAACTTTCCATAAACTGTTGGAAAAATGTGCCGTGTTTTACAAAAGGGTTCCTGTTGCTTTCAGCGCATCTGGTTGCCTCAATGGTTTTGTGAAAAATGGCCTGTGTAAAAACTTACTTTGTTTAAAGATAGTAGTGACACTAAACTCCCTGTGAAATTATTCCATCTGGCATGCTGTCATTTTTGAGAAAAAAACCCATAAAAGGTCTTTTCTAGAGATGTGTCAAGTGACACTTTTTTGGAAAGTTCCGTTGGAAGTTGGTTTGTAATTGGGTGAATCCTAATGGGTGCTTGCAAGCATTGACACGATACACACGTGCGTGGTTGCTAGAATTAGCAAGAATTGTCAGTTCACGGTGGGATATCACAAAGCTGCAATCGGCTGAATGAGAATCATGTCCTGAATGCTGATTTCGGGATTGTGTCACTCACAATTCAAAATATGACTTGGCAAATTTTTAATTGAATTGAAATCCAGAATATTGTGTTTTCTCAAAACATACAGCATTCACAGAGCTAAAACTTCATCGGGTTAGTTGTTGAGCACCCATCTTTAGATTTTGAGAATGTTGTTGCTTAAAATGAAAAAAATACATGAAGTCCAGTCTCAAATAACAAAATGAACAACAAAAAAATGAATTTGTCACGGTTGATATAAGTAGCTTGTGAGTTGACTAGGGACTTAATTATCCATCACAAACTACCTTTGCTTCAACACTGAATTCTGACTAAAATGTCAAGAGATGCACTCATCATTTTTGTTTTGCTCCTAGGAGTGGGATGGGCAGTATCGCAGAGACAGAATTCGCTAGCTCAGGCCCACCCACCGTGACTGCCATCGTAGCTTACTCCAAAGGCTTTGCCTGCTCAGGAGGCAAAGGCATCGTCCATCTGTATGAGAAAACGGAGGACAAAGACTTCTACAAGAAGACTAGAGAGATAAAGGTTAGTACCCCATGAGAAATTGCTTAAGAGGATCTTGTTTTGGAGATTAAAAAGTTATTCTAAAACTGAAAAAAAGGCACCCTAGACATGAGCTGAAATTTAATTTTTGTATGCATTTTTGTAAACTTAAATTTCAACTTTCAATATTGTGAAGTCCAACTTTCATACCTTTGAAACAAAGCAAAACCTGGGAATTGCCAGCACACGTTTGATGTTTAGAATACTTTACAGCATTTTTGGAGAACACCAATAAAATGTTTTGTTGATTGTAAATTCAAGTTCCCTTTCAATCTGTTGAGCACTGGTGGGGTAATTTAGAGTACCAGAAACTGTGAAGTGACCACAGTCAGTGTTTTCCTCATGGTTATATGATAAGTTCAAATATTTTTTGGATATTTTACGTGAATTTCAGATTCCTCACGATGTCCTTGGCGGTGACCCATCCAGAGCAGAGGCCCATGAGATCAAGATGTTGACAGTCAGTCCGTCCGAGGAAACGCTGGTAGCCAGTACGACAACCAACCAGTTATATTGCATGACGCTGTCTAGTGCTGACCTGGGCAAGGTATGGTTCCATAGCTAATAGTGACTGTGCATAATAGCGTCGCTCCCATTTTTTCAGCGAAACAGTTTACCTGCCGGCAAAATCCTGTGTCTGTTGGCTTACAGGCCTCCAAGAATAGCACCACATATTGTCCACGTCAATCTGGTTTCGTCAGCATTTAACAGCGACCCCCATTGGTCAGATTGCATCCCTCCTCTTCCCACTCCCCCCCCCCCCTCCCTCCCCTAAACCCCTTCCAAAAACTGAGTTCATTGGGGATCCTTGCTACGTACCGTCCAGCACAGAAGTGAAATAAAAGTTTAACAGTCAAAATTCACCAAGAGAATTCATGTCATGGAATGGATTTTTTTTTCTTTGGGGTCGTTACAGCAAGGAGACCTAGCGACCTTTGAACTCCTGGCCCAACCTTTCCACTACAACATGATCACTGGTTTAGACGTATGCGGCAGGAAACCACTCATCGCTACGTGCTCAGTGGATCGAACGGTGCGCATCTGGAACTACGAAACTACGTAAGTAACAGGAGATTTGTCTAAGAAAATTAGTTAAATAACAACGTAACAGGTAGCAGGGGATGAACAATGAGAAAGAAATGTGTCAATGTGATGAACTTGTAATTGACTTGTGATGACTTGTGATGAAGTTGCCTTATCTTACAATTGACTTATGATTGACTTGTGATGGACATGTGAGTGCTTGTAATGACTTGTGATGACTTCCAGTTGACTTATGATGACTTTTGATGAAATGCGATGACTTGTGATGAGCTATGTCAGTCTGCATTTCATTTCTTGACCTTTTTTATGTCTGTTTTTATCCAGAGCTCTTGAGTTGTACAAGGAGTTCCAGGAGGAGGCATACAGCATCGCGCTGCATCCCTCCGGTCTCTATGTCCTGGTGGGCTTCAGTGATAAGCTACGTCTTATGAATCTACTTATTGATGACATTCGTACATTCAAGGAGTTCACTATCCGTGGCTGTAGGGAGGTAAGTCCATTAGTTTCTTGTCCTGAGATCCTAAATTTCGATCCCAAAAACTTAAAACAGTGACGTGTTTTTCACTCGTCTTGTTTGCACAAATTTTTAATTGAACTGGACTCCATGTTGATATTGGCTACCTTTTGTTTTGTTCTAATGTCTTAGCACATATCAGAGTCTCCTTTCTAGGAATAGTGTCTAGATCTTCACCCATTACACAGTGGGAACAGGCTGACAATAGACGCAGCCGTAGCTCTAAAAACCTGTTTTGGTCTAGGCTTGAAACTGTGATGGGCAGAACTGGATACTTCTAATAAGTCAAACAAATACAAACTTGTGATGATGGATAATTATTTTTGTCGTTTGCAGTGTTCGTTCAGCAATGGAGGGCATGTGTTTGCAGCGGTCCATGGCAACGTCATTCAGATTTACTCCTCAACTACCTTTGAGAATGTCAGCAACCTGAAAGGACACAATGGCAAGGTTAGTGGTTGATTCGTAAAATAGTTTACGGAGAGCTCTCTTAAAAAGAAGAAACTAGAAGATACTGTTCTAAGATAACGGTTCATGTAAGGAAACCACACACATAATCTTTGATGACTTGAGCAAATTCCACAAAAATTTCAGTTATGCCATATGTTTTTCTAACGTGATTAATATCAAATTTGCTTAAACGAGTCAATACTTTTTAATATTGAGGGAATTTTGTGATTTTGTTTTAGGTCCGATCGGTGGTATGGAGTGCCGATGACAGTAAGATCATCTCTTGTGGCATGGACGGCGCGGTGTATGAGTGGAACGCTTACTCAGGCAAACGTGAGGGAGAAAGCGTCCTGAAGTCCTGCAGCTACACGTGTGTCACATCGACGCCGGACGGCAAGACTACGTTTGCTGTCGGCTCTGATCGGACTCTCAAGGAGATTTCAGACTCACAGGTTCGTATAATATCCAATAATTATAATTATACACAAGTTTACTTTAAATATTTTTCATCAATGAAGTATTCAACTGGAAAGTTATGCATTTTAAAAGTTAAAAAAAATCATGAAAAAAAAATTCCATTCAAGATCTTTCTGAGAAAAATGTGCTTTAAGATTTTTATGATTGAGTCTAGTAAATTTTTTTGTGCCAGTTTGCAAAGCATTTAGTCAAAATTGTAATTTTTTTTATGTCCATTTATCCAAATCCTCCAGATTTTCCATGTTTTGTATTTGTTGTAATAACTGCCGCTTCCGTGTTTCTAAGAAGCTTTAAAATGATCAAACATAACTCTTGTATCTACTTCATCAAGTCTTAAAGTCTCACCTGATATTTGTCTATTCTTTTGCAAATGTCTACAGATCCTACGTGACGTAGATGCACAGGACATCACACTCACTCAGGTCGCTATGTCTCACAGCGGCCGCATGCTGTTTGCCGGTACTAACACCGGTACCCTGCGCTCCCTCAAGTTTCCGCTTACCGTGCCTGGAGAATGGCAGGAACATATGGGCCATGGCTCCTCGGTCACCAAGGTAATGAACAGATAAGAACATTTTGTCTTTTTTCCCTTGCAACCTTTGTCTTTAAGGTGCAATGTTTTCAAATCAGACAAAAAAAAGGAAATGGAACAGCAGAATTTTAACCTCAGAACCGAAGAGAACAAAAAGATTAAAAGAATGGTGATTTTTTGTACAATCCGTTAGAGTGCAGATATTTTAGCATCTTGACTTTATTTTAAAATGTTAAGCGTTTTTGCCTTTGCAAGGTACCACCACAATTCAATTTCTTCCTTGAATTCCTGATAGATGCGAATCACCTATGATGACCAATACCTGATCACCGTGTCGGAGGACGCTGGTCTCATGATCTGGAAGATCAGCGATAAGGAGGGGCGTGGCTTGAAGCGTGACAAGGAGGTGGGATACGCCGAAGAGATCCTGATCACCAAGTCAGATTTGGAAGAAAAGGTGAGTTACCATGGTTACTGTCGTCAGTTGCAAACAAGTTTCTCTGTCTTAAATAAGGATTTTGCTGTCTTCCTTATGTATGTAATGCACTGTGTAATTTATAGAAAATATGTTTCTGACATTGTAGACACTAAGGTGTCAACTATTTGATTAACTCAATATTACTCTTTATTCCCCGCAGAACACTGTCATGGCAGAGCTGAAGCAGCGAGTGGAAGAGCTCAAGATGGAGAACGAGTATCAACTTCGTCTGAAGGACATGAATTACAACGAACGCATCAAGGAACTGACAGAGAAGTTCATCCAGGAGATGGAGTCTCTCAAGACCAAGAACCAGGTCCTCAAGACGGAGAAGGACAAAGAGGAGGCTAAACATGAGGAGGAGCTAGCTGAGCAGATCGAGAAACAGAATAAGGAGCAGCAAGATCTTGGTCAGTACACATTCTTATTTCATTCTTCATCCCATTCTCATGAAAACTTCTGATACAAATGAGATAATTTGGCATAATGTCCATATTTGTAAAATTTTATGATGGGTTTCATAAATAAGAACCTAGTCTGCTTGTGACTTGCAGAATTTTTGAAAATAAATTGATATCCCCTGTTTTCTTGCTTTCTAATCTCAGAATCGGCCAATAACCAGAAGTTGATGATTGAGTATGAGAAGTACCAAGAGCTGCAGTCTAAGAGTCAAAAGATGCAGGAAGACTATGAACGTCAGCTGGCTGAGACGGAGGAGTCTAAGGAACAGGCTCTGGAGGAACTGACTGAGTACTATGAAACCAAGCTTCAGGAGAAGACCACTCTGCTTGATCAGGTAGGTCTTGACAGCTGTGACAACAGAGAAATCCCGGCATTTCAGTGTAAAGACTGGTTCATACTTCACGTGATTCGACATCTCTAAACATTCACAACAAAGTCTTCAAGGGTTAAAAATATGTTGAAATTTTGTGAATAAGCAGTGCGAATAGTTGTAAATAAACAAGTTGGTGTTTTCATGTGCTTTTGCACTAAGCATGAGCTAGCCTTAAGAACGGCCTCTGCCACAAGTTGGTGCATTTCAGGAATTAAAACATGCCTCAGCTTGAAAAAATGCCGTAGCATCTTCGAAAATTCCACAATGATTGTCATTTATACTTACTGTGATTATCAGGACACAATTCTTCAATATTTTTTTGTTGAGGAAATGATACTGCAACATGTCATTTTAATAAACTAAATGTAAAATTGTATTTCTTCTAGTGATTTGAGAAAATCTTAATGCTTTCTCGCTTGTTCCCTGTTAGGCCCATGATGAGTCCAGACAGCAGATGCGCGAGTATGAAGAGACCAAGAAACAGATTGAAGAGGATGCAGACAGGGAGATCTTAGACATCAAGAACAAATACGAGAGACGATTGAGAGATGAGAAGGAGGCTAATATGAGGCTGAAGGGAGAGACGGGAATCATGAGGAAAAAGGTATGGAAAAACAAGGAAAAAAGTAGGGAAAAAAATAAGAACAAGTATGAGAGACGATTGAGAGATGAGAAGGAGGCTAATATGAGGCTGAAGGGAGAGACGGGAATCATGAGGAAAAAGGTACAGAAAAACAAGGAAAATTTGGGGGAAAAAGAACACGTATGAGATATGATTTGGCACATTTGGCAAATTTTCAGGTCAAGTTCTTGGCACTGCATGCTAGGGGTCCCAGGTTCGAATCCTGCTCCAGTCAGTTTTCATTTGAGAATTGCTTTTCATGGTCACGTCTTCTGTTGTTTCAACCCACAGTTCACCAGCCTACAGAAGGAGATTGAGGACCACAAGGATGAGATTAAGAAGCTACAGAATGAGCAGACCAAACTACAAGGAGTCATCAAGTCGCTGGAGAAGGACATCTATGGGTTGAAGAAAGAGATCCAGGAACGAGATGAGACCATCCAAGATAAGGTTAGATGAAAGAAAAGTATTTCATCATCGTCCAATTTCTTTAAGGACTAAAATGTGTAACTGAAGTTGTGTTGAGTTATGTATCTCACTTTTATGAGGCTCCTTGTTTTATGCCTTGCCTTTAAAGACCAGCATGAAACAGAAGAAAAAAATAAAATAGACCAACTACAACCGGCAACAAAGAGGCAGATTCAAAGTACTTCTTCATTTCTTACAGGAAAAGAGAATCTACGACTTGAAGAAGAAGAACCAGGAGTTGGAGAAGTTCAAGTTTGTCCTGGACTACAAGATCAAGGAACTCAAGAAACAGATTGAGCCTAGAGAGAATGACATCAAAGCCATGAAAGAACAGATACAAGAGGTACGTAACGCTGGGAGGGGTGTATGGGATTTAGACAAGATTGAGCAGTGAGACGGAGTAAAAGACAACTAGATTTCAGTGGTTTACACACGCTAGCATTTGAGAATATAAGGGACATAGTTTGGCCAATCAACAATCAGAGCGATATAGGGTAGTTTCATGTCCCTTAACCCTAACTCCCTAGGGGGTGTGCAAAATCATATTGAAATTGGAGAATTCAGGACTGTTAGGGTTAATTGATTCATAGTTGTAAAATCAAGTCCATTGCAAGTCAGTCAGGAGGCAAATGACAAGTCAGGTCACAAGTACAAGGGGCTAAACATTGACTTTGGTCTTTATATTGTCACAGTTCATATGATCAGTTGTCTGACTGTCATGATCATTTCAGTATAAAATTGTTTTTCATTGCTAAGTAATCATCTTATTTCCCCACCTCAGATGGAGAGTGAATTGGAGCGATTCCACAAACAGAACACGCAGCTGGAGTTGAATATCACTGAACTGAGACAGAAACTCAAAGCTACAGAGAAGGAGATGTACATGGAGAGACAAAAGGTAAAGTATTTTATAATTATTCTTTTAGGTTTACTGCTTCATATACCTGGGGCAGTAAATCCAAATTTGGTTAGGCTTACTGGCTTTAGTCTTTGGTTTGGGTGAGCATTTATTGGCAATGGTATGGTAGCCTGTTTGGAATGATGGCTCCCGATTTCTCCCAAGTTTCACAGTTCCAGATAAATAGATAGTTATCTTACATTTTGGCAGACAGCCATGAAAAATTAGTCGGCAACTTCATAAAAAATCATCAAATTAGATGAGAATCCATCATCACAGAATAAATGTAAAACAATCTTGAAATTAAAGACGTCTTCTCTGTGTTAACACTAGGTGCGAGACACTGAAGCAATCTGCCGCCGTTTCAAGACTGATCTTCACAACTGTGTTGCATACATCCAGGAGCCGAAGAAGTTGAAAGAGAGCATCAAACAGTTGTATGCTAAACACGTGCAGGACGACACAGTGAGTGTGTTTTATACTGTAACAAAATCCCAATCTTATGATATCTTCAGTTTGTAAACACAGAGTGGGCCCTCGTAGTCGAGCGGCTAGAGCGTGGAGCTACGGAGTGGAAGGTTGGCGGTTCAAATCCCATTTGGACCAAAAACTCTCTCTGACGACCCAACAGTAAAATGGGTACCTGATTCGTTCAGGGAAGGTGGACAGCGAGAGGAGAGGACTGGGCACCGCCACTCGTATGCCGCGCCCAAGACACAGTGGACCTCTAACATCCCACTGCCCCAGTAATGGCTATGGGACCTTCACCTTTTCTTAAACACGGCTTATAATTTCATAGCTTGGAGAGTCCACACTCGGAATCCTGTACCTAAAATCTGATATGATTGGCCTACTTGTCTGCAACTTATCCGTGATATCTTGTATGAGATAACTCCAAAGTGGGAGCCACTTGGCTCTGCTAGGTTTTACTAGTCTCCGTCGGGCCCCTCTTTATTTCCCTGGGTATCATACACTTTACTCACCCGAATCATCTATCTTTACAGATTGAGTCTGCGAGCGTCGACGCAGACATACAGCGGGAGTACAGCCGACAGCGCAAGCACCTGGAGCAGAGCGTGGCGTCGCTACGCAAGAAACTTACCAAGGATACCGAGATCCACCGAGCTGACAATGTCCGAATCATGCAGGTAAATAACGTGGTGTGGACATAGCAGGTAGAAATTGGCATCAAGTTGATCGCATAAAAACTTGATAGGTAGAATGCAGGGAAATTTTTTAAATAATTGTTATGCTTGGTTCTTGCTGATCTGCTTCCAAAGATTGTACTGTAAGCCATGCCAAAAATAATTGGCAATATTTGTCTATGGCTATGCTATTCACTACAATAGTGCTAATAGCAAAACCAAAGCTGTAGCCACAATTATACCTGCTTTAGACGTCTGTTTGTCATAAGTTTCTTTTACTTTCTTGGCTGAATTGAAGCGTCGGGCTCATGTGATCCATCGAGTCCATGACAAACATTCATGTTGAGCATTACTACAATATGCTTCTTCATAATATTGAATGAATTCATGGACACATCAAGATCTCAAAACATTTTTTCTTTGTCTCCAACAGGAAAACGTTTCCCTGATCAAAGAAATCAACGACCTGCGACGGGAGCTGAAGATCGCCCGCACCCAGGTCCACGATCTGGAAGCCGCCCTGGGCATCAACAAGAAGAACAAGAACCAACAGGCAGAGCAGCAGCAAGCAGACTCCTCATTCTCCATGAACGGTGTCAGCAACGGGATGGCAGGCGGTATGACCAGCCGGGAGGGCAAGCATGATGAGAACATACGCATCATCGACATGCAGCGCAGCGAGATACGCAAGTTACGCATGCAGCTCATGGAGGCTGAGCAGATGGCTGCGCAGAGACCGCCCTCTGGAGGCCGGCTACCGCCAGTCCTGGCTCAGTAGTCGCAGCGGGAAAATAAAATCCTTACAAAATTGGGAGATTCATGTTTTTGAAGTGGTATCAGAAAATTGCAACTTTTGCTTTTTAGGGAGCCATCTCCAAGTCCATACAAGTATTAAGCAACATTGCTCTTTTCAGAACTGAGCTGATTGTGTGTTGGGTTTTAGGTTTTTATTTTTGTAAAGTTATCAGCAGTATATGCACCGTCATTTAAAAACTAAACGTTCACAGACAGAAGCTTGTGAGAAGATTAACGCTGCTTTGGTTTTCAAGGCCCCATAAATTTATAGACTAACACAAGATCGCATCTTTAAAGAAGACAAGAGCATGCCCAGAAAATGCTTATAGAAGAAATCCCGATGCACAAGCAGGGTTCCGAGACAACTTGCTACATTTGTGATCGTTTTCAAATCTCAGCAAGCCACTGGGGATTTTATGAACATCCTCAGACCACTCCATTAAACCCTTCCCTTAATTTTGTACTCTTCCATCAAAACTATAGCACATGAACAGAATTAAACAGCATGTCGTTATCCGTATGTTTTCTTCTAAACCTGTCAAAAAGTGCCTGCCAATTCATTTTATTTTTTTTGCAAGTTACCAAGAATTGAAAAGTTGCCTTCTTACAGATGTACAAATTGTAAAACTAATGTAAATAAATTTGTTATGTACTTTTGTGTGGTTGATGTGGTTGCTATAGAAGTGCCTGTTTCAACAATAATTTAAGAGATTTTTTGATTTTCTTTTTCCAAATCTGATAGAAAATGTATTTATTGTCTTCCTAGATTCGTTAGTTTAGTATAATTATTTACTTTTGTACATATGACTGCAAACACTTATGCTTTTTAAACCGTCCAAAATGAAGACTTCCTTTTTTCCACCGAAAAATTCTCATTGCCTTATAATTAAACCGTCCATACTGTAATTTTTAAGCAAGAATTTTGCCTTATGGTCAATATTAAATGAAATTCCGAAGCAAAGAAAAAAATAGAAATTGAATAGTACAGATTTTTTAAAAATTGTCTCTTATAATTAACAAGTAAAACAGCATTCCATTCTCAACTTGAATACAACTGTATTTTGCTGGTTTCAATGATTTGATTGTAAAATATGCAACTTTGTGATATGTAAATATAAATCCAATAAAGATATTCCGTCCTAACCATTTGCGTACACATTCACTGCAGTCTCATGCTCTGGATTTTTTTTACAATTCTTTAAAACTACTCTGGACACATTAAATCATTGAGGAGTAAGGTGGTTTCTGAGAAATTGTTTATATTTGTCTTGTACATGTGATGTGATCAAGCTAAATGAGTTGTTTGTCGGGGGGGGGGGAGGGTGGAGATTCAGGCCAAAATAGGGCCACTTCACCACATCTGTTGGTGTTCAGACTTCCATAATTTTTTAACTACAGATGGTACCAGCATGCGGATTTCACAGCAGTAATGCTGAGATTGTGGTCTTTTCAAATCTGTAATACTTTTTTTTTTACATGTTCGACAAATGACTATTTAGCTTGATCGCATCACATATTACAAAGTGGTTTTTCACTTTATTCACAAAATATAAATTTTTAGAACTGGATGGATTCGAAATTTTTATCAAAAATAATCATATAAAATTTCGGCAAAGTAAAATAAAAAATTAGAACACACTAATATGGGATACAAAGTTTGCCTTTCAATTATTAATATTTTACTTTTAGAAATACAAAGACTTGCAAACATTTTGTGACATTGCAAATTTGTCGTACATGCACTACGCTGCAACCAATCACGTCAATACAGATGCTATTTTGAGTTCATTAGTTTTAAATTTAGACATTCTCAAGACCAAATCTTCCAAATTTACACAAAAATCCAAACACTAGTTTCAACACACATTTTGAAAGACATATGACTGCATGTATAGAAAACTATATTTGTATTTAACAAAAACAATATCTACATCTATGTTACCAAATATTTACAAATCAAGACGGATAATTATCTGGATGGAATCATTGTCAAAATATTTAAATCATATGTATATACATCTCTAAAAGAACAAAGGAGAACATTTCAATTAGAATTTAAAGGACGGATTTATTTTAAAAAACATGAATGAAGGCATAAGAGAAATATTTTAAAAGCTCATACATGGGACTAACTTTTTCAAAGAAGTAGGCCAAAGCTGTAAATAAATTACAGTTGAAATATCAAGTGGTGGGTATGACCAAGTGCCTTTTTCTTAGCCAAATTCTACTTCCAAAGCTAATACCAATGCTCCGTTCCTAAGGCCAAAAAAAAAAAGTCTCCAGTTTCTGGTATGGAGCTTGCCCAAAAAGTGGTGTGGCGACGCGGCTTTTTTTTTTTTTTTAACCTGATTTTTTTGGCCTCAAATGTCGGCTGATGACTGCAAATGGTGCCCGACTAAACTTAGTGCAAATATATGGGAGTCCAGAGAGGCCACATAAAGCTTTTTCTCGATCATAACCCCATCCAAAAACACGTTAAAATTGTGCAGCAGCAGGATTCCAGTCAAACCAGTGAGTTTGGCGGTTTTGAGACATCATCTTTCATTGAAAAAAAAAACTTTTTCATTTTGCCGACGCGCATGGCTACGGCGACGCGCATGGCTACGGCGACGCGCGCGCATACCAGAAACCGGAGACTTTTTTTTTGGCCTAAGTACAGTGTAGTTAGCTCTTTACAGTTTACATTAGCATACACATGTATGTGGCTTCTGACTACAATGTACATGTAGTACCCTTGAAAAAGACATTGACTAATTGGGAGACCGCTAACATAGGGCTAGATAGCTCATGCAGTTGGTGGAGCACCGAAACTGGCAATCCTGAGGTCACAGGTTCAAACCCCGCTCCAGTCAAATTCTTTGTTCAACCTTATAACTCTATAAGTACCTGTTTCCCTTTGAAGTTTTATTGAAGATTTGGATGAAAAGTGTTTTGGAGGACTTGCAAAGAATTGCTTCACACTGCATCTTCAGCGTCATGCACACTTTCCTCCTTAATATTCCTTTCTGGCGGCGTCTTGTTTCTTTGGCCCTGTTTCCCCCCACTGCCCATCTGAGATCGAACGGACCTCCTTGACATCGATGAAGCACTGCGCACTTTGTTGCTGTTGGGATTAGAATGAAAACATGTTACTTTATTAAGTTGAGCATGAAAGAAGTTTGTCAAAATGTACTCACTGCACTTTTTTCGCTTGTACCCATGTGCTACGCAGGAGTGCTTGTGAAGGCAGTTTTCAAATTTGTTTTAATTGGTAACAATCGTTTAAATGTGTGATAGTGAATTCTTTTCATTTGTGCATGTGAATCGTTTTAAATTGTGCATTTGATGTTTGACGGTGCAAATGGGCATAAAAACACTGCAGTTTCAATGTTTTGCTTGGAAACAACATAGTGGCAATGTACAAATTGTGTAGTAAGGTGGCCCTGAAAGGACGTACGTCACAGAGGTGCTTTTTCTCACAAAATCACAATTGCTTTCACATCACTTCACACTCCGTTTGTGACATTGCAAGTTTCTTTTTAGACATGGTGAACAACATTCATGGCTGATGAGCAACAAATTACCTTAAATAATTCACAATTATTCTGGAATTATTTGTCTGGGAGTGTGGACAGACCTGGGCAAACTACGCATTGGAAAGAAATACAATATGCTTCTTACGCTCAAGTTTGTAATGTTTGTGGAATCATAATAAAGCTTACACATTCTGCATGATTGTTTTACTCCCAACTTTTCTCTTAAGACATGTCCCAAGTTACTATGAACCAAGCGCTACAATGCCAGTCGAATGCAGCTTATTTCCCGGCTAATGCTGGTACCCACTTGTTTTCTTCGGAGGACAGAAGCAAGTTGGGGTGAATGGCTTGGGCAAGGACACAACCAATGGCCAGCAGTAGGATTGAAACCCCTGACCCTCTGATCATGAGTCACAAACCCTGACCATTGGGCCACCCCCCCCCCCCCCCCCCATAGTTTGACAGTTGGATGAATTCCACTATTGAGTATAAAGATACAATGAATAGAGCTGTGCATGGATATTTTTCCTCAGCCTCGACTCCAGGGGCGCGTGCTCGTTCCTTACACTAACCCCTGGCTGTGATGATGACGTAAATGACGCTGAATGGCTATTCACAGCGTACTGCACGGGCATTTCGAAGACTGCACGCCGGGCGCGCCCATAATGCGATGGCGCTCGCGTGCTTAGCTTTGCACGTAAACGTCACGTACGAAAAAAATTATGATTCAAAAGTCGCGATCCTGTACGATATGGATTATGTCAGCCGCGTTTTTCGCTAAAAAAAACCTGTATCTGTGGTTGTAAAGGCACGAAAGGGGTACGTACATTTAATACAAATCTTTGCTAATTAACACAACGTCCAAACATTGTGTTTGAAAGGATTTATTTTTCAAAATCACAACTTTTAATATTTTTAAGATGGCGTCAGCACGTAAAACGGATAAACTGCAGCCCTAATTATAATATACCGTATTTTGGTACATTTAAATTACACAATTCCAGGGGTTACGATCGCGCAAGGCATGATGGGAAACAACATGGCGCTGCAAGATCGTACCCACGGGGCACGAGGTTGATTTGTCCTTACCTGGACATGCTACCGGGCCTGCTGGGAATGCCTGCCATCATGTCCGACAAGTCATCTGCGTCACGATCATTGATTGAAGACACCAAATCACTCTGAAACATAATCATCAATCGATCAGTTAGTCATGATAAAGAGAAGTCAATACCTTACATGCATATTTTCAAGTATTAAACATTCATGTCTTAAACATTGGATATAGCATATATCATGCCAAATTTCATTTCATTTTTTTCTTAAATCTGTAAGAATAATTTTCTTGTTTTCCATTTAGCTGTATGTAGGAAAACACACTCAATCACAAATGGAAGTGTGAAAAAATAGCAACTATAAGTACCAAACGCTTTGTCAGACTGACCTAAAACTTTGCATATTTAATAAGCTTAAATGTCTCTACTAACATAATTAATTTCATAAAAATATTTTATTGCATTTCTTCGAGATCAAAAGGGAGGCAAAATCCAACTCAGAACATCTCAGGAAATACCATTCAAATAAATTTCTTTTTTGAGAAAAATTAACTCAACTTTATCCAATTGTTAAAGCTTTGCTACTTAACTGAGCAAGAATGTCTCTACAAGCAAACCAAATTACATAAAAATCAGTCAATCTATTTCTGAAATCAGGAGGGGATCCCCATCTCAGAATATCTCAGGAAATGCTGCCAAAGCATTCCAAATTTCTGAGATGTTCTCTTACCTCTGCTCGTGAGGGTCCGCGCATCCATCCCATCTCGTCCTCTGCATCCTCATCATCATCATCGCTCATCTCCTCCAAGATGGGTCGTCTCATCATCCGCTCCTGATACTGCTGCTGCTGCTTCTGCCTGAGACTGCTGGGACCCATATCGTGCGGTGAATCGTACATGTCTTCGTAAAATCCATCATCACCTGTTGGTTTTGAACAAACAGAACACATGATTCAAAGTGTAATAAAGACATGTGTAAATTGTTCTTGGCAACATCGGAACTTTCTTCAGCAAGTACCTGATTCCAAAATTTTCATTTTCTGAACCCACATTAAAATGTGAGTGGTGTTACATCAGCTGATGAATGCATTCATTTGCATGCTGGTTTTCATTGGTTGATTCGTGTACGTATTACCATGTAGTACTCTGAAGTCATGAATCGCGCAGTTTCAAAAAGCACAGCTGGGGACGAGATGACGAAATGTAAATATTCCTGGATGACTTTGCCTACCGGTTGGTGGTTCCTACTTCCAACTACAGTATAAGGTGTCAAAATACTGAGACCTTAAATTTGGACTTAATATACTAAGATACTTTTCTCTGCCATACAGGAATTTTGCAGCATTTTGTTGGATGATATAGAAAGAACAAAGTTGGCCTAATTTTGTTTTTGCAGGTTTTTTAGCCCTTAGGTTTTAGTTTTTTTTTCCACAGACCAGTCAAACTTTCCTCGACCAACAACCTACCTTCCACTCTTCTTTGCTGCAGTACCAGAGATTCCTTCGGGTTGTACAACTTCTGTACGGTGTCCGTTTGGTCCACTGGTCGAGACTTGTTCATTTTACCATTCGCTAAAACACCTTTAAAATAAAAACAAAAAAATCAAAAGTTTTGTCAACTAATACTCTCCACAGTAACTGTAACTGTCATTGGAAATGACTCTTGACTTAACTTAAAGGAATTTTCGTAAACAATGTTTTTAAAAAGTCTCCATCACAACTCTAAAGAGTTTCATGCGAAACCAGGGTAAAGTTCTTTCCAATGTTGGATAATCAACATTTGCTTTTTGACATGGATTCTCATGTAACATCCTTTATTCTTGGTTTTTTTTTTCAAATTATTCTGTTTCTTACCCAGTGTGAACATCTTCAGCAGCATCCTCCTCTTCAATGGCGTCATCAGTATGAAGTCATACTCCCTCTGGGCCAGACGCTTCTTAAAAGCCGGCATCAGCTTCATGAACTCGTGAGCCGTCTCTCGAATCGACGACTTGACAGACTCAGAGAAGAGAGAGACAGCCGAGAGACGAGTGTGTGCCTCGATCAGCTCATCCAAGAGATCCCATAAGGTGTCGTGGATTGGGTCATGGATGTACTCTGCCTCCCGGCAATAGGCATTGATGATCTGGATCTGTCGAGAAAGCTCATGGACTGGACTGAAAAGCGGGAAGGTGGATAGAGCATGTTCCAAGACAATGCGACCCTTCAAGAGAGCTTTCATGTACTTCTGCGTCTCATCACTCAACTTGTTCAGATCTCGACTGGTCATCTCCGGCCAGAGGGGGACGCCTCGGCACAGGATACCAAAGTAGCGCAATAGGACGTACACGAACCAGATGATGGTGAATGCTGACCAGAAAGCGCCAATCGCCAAGAGCTCAGAAAAGAGATACTCAATCTGGAAGAATACAGAGTTTGTGTCGAAGAGGTTCTGCATCAGGCCCATGATGGAGAAAATGAGCATACAGAGAAAGTTGATCATGATGTAGACGTTGAAGGACGTGATGCGGAAGGGACGACGGATAAAGATGACTAGGAAGAGGGGACAAATCGCCACAAGGAACACGACCATCTGCCACATGGGAAGCCAGAGCAGTGCTGCGTAGGCTGCCAAGAGAACAAGCTTGAAGAAGAACATGACAGGACGGTAGTAAGACCAGACCAGGCGGAATGAGGAGAAGAGATGGTAGAGCTTGATGGCCCAGATGAAATCCAGGCCGTGGGCGAATTCAGTTTCTTTGAGTTGAAGGAACCCCTCATGGCGCTCTGATCGGTTGCTGAAGATCTGCGTGCGAATCTTCATGATCATCCAGATGGGTAGTATGATGAAGAGGCCCACGTAAATAACCAGAGGAACAATGATGTAGGCTAGGTGTTCGCCGCCTGCGCATGGAGTTGCGTTGTGTACATCCATGTTGTCGTCAGTGTTGCAGTGAAACAGCTTGGCCATCATGACACCGATGGGCATCGCTAGGATCTGACAAACGATGATATAAGCTCTTTGGAGCTGAGCAAGCAGTAACAATAGGTTGTATCGCTTCTGATAGTTCATAGCAATGTACAGAATGATGTACAAAGTAATCGCCACAAAGATGAAGATGGCCCAGCCCAGGGCGTACCAGCGGTAGTCAAAACCGATCAATGTGCTGTCAATGAAACCATCCCTGGCCGAGTTGTACACATCCGGGTCATTCATCTTCATGAACTCCCAAATGTCCAAGTTGAAGAGGAACACAAACCGAGTTGAGTAGAGCCAGTTGAAGGGCCAGGGCCATCGCAGCGAGATGGCTGCAATGAGTGCGTAGAACTGGAGGAAGTCCAGGATGAGGAAGAAGGCATCATGGAGGACAAGCATCGTCTTGCGTTTCTGCTTCCGGGAGAAGTTTGCCATGTACTCAGCCTCCAGATCATCATAATATCCTTGTTCCTCCATCATGATGTCTGCTTCATTCACGCCGATGTTGACCCTACGTGCCCTTTGTTTCTGACGGAGCCGGCCAAAGGATTCTCGGGCTTCTGACCTCCTCTGAAGTGGAAGCAGAGGAAGCGCATCCTCTCCATCTTCAGCTTGCGACAAATTATCTGCCGACATTGTTGCTCTTGGTTACCTCTCAAGTCATGAGAAAATTGTTTTGGTGATCAGCATCTGCGAAGATAAAAATGAAAATAAATACAAACTGCTGCAAACTGATTACGTACTGAATTGACCTGAATATTCAAACAAAAAAATTAGACGGTCTTACGTGAGAAAGGTCCTAGCTGCTAGGACCAAAACATTAGACCACCTAACTTGTTTTTATTAAGATACAAATGAAACACAATCATGACAGCAGAAAATACATACATACATTCATGTATGAACTTTCATCATATTTTAAAAAATGAAAGAACACCAAGATACAAAACCTGGACCTGAAAAGTACATACGTCTACTTGAAAAGTTTAGTTTATTTGGTAAATTGGTAAAATTTATGAGAAAATACCTCAATTTTTTCCCTTTCCACTACGAAGTTGCGTCTTTAATTTGTTATACCTTTATTTACAAATTCAAATATGGTCTCTAAATAGTACAAAATGTAGGTGCCATTTGCAGTGCTGGATGTACTACCAGTGCATTCCCTATCTCCAGCATGTAGTTTCCTGTTTCCACCTGTCACAATGGCGAATCAATCAATTATGTAAATTTGCACAGTTATCAATGGCATTGTTGACCAATGAGCGTCATGGATTGCCATGGACACTTCGGCTTTCCAAGTCATAAAACAATTCTATGAACTAACAAAAATATTATTTCGGTAATTATACCAAAACTGTTACAAAAAAAATACATTTTCTCCCAAAAAAATTAAACTTTTCGAAAATGTCTAATAAAAAAAATAATCATGTTTGTAACAGATTTATAGTAAGATAATATTAGTCCGAGGATTTGTTCTTGATCCAGACGGCTGTTTTATATTTAAATTACCAAATGTGTCCGCGACATGAAATAGTCTCCGAATGACAGCAAAACATTCAAGATGGCGGACGTTTTGGGCGAGACTATCCTCCAACGTGTGGAGAAAGACGGACAGATTTCGACAGATTTGTTGGCTAACTATCTACAGAAAGACCACCAGCAGATTGTCGGAGCCGTGAAAAGCTTACAGGCGCTAGGAAATGTAATGAAATGTTGTAAAATTCATAAAAACTACTTGCAGTTGCACTTGTCTCGGCCTCGGATGCGTACACGTGAACTTGTGTGATCGTTGTGTGTGACAGCTGATTGCATCAGCCATTGATTTCACTAGTTCACATTGGCTATGGGGCGCGCGTACGGGCCGCGAATTTTTTTATTTCCTAAATGACATAAGTAAATGGGGTGAACGCTATGAAGTTTTGGACTTTACTTCCCTAAATGTAAAACATGAGAAAAATTAATAAAGAAATGAATTCGAACCTAATGAAATTAAACCTATTTTCCTTTTAAAAAAAATCCAAAGCCACAATTAGAAAAGGGGTAAAAAAAAGAGGAAAAATCAGGTTTCGAACTCACACCCTCTGTTCTCAAAGCCATTGCATTTTCCAGCTGAGCCATCGAAGAGCTCGACAGCAAACCAAATCATCATTATACATGCGTACGTGTAATAAAGTATCGTAGAGGGCGCTCAACAACAATCTGTTTTTAGAAATAGGCAGTTACTATTAGTCACAAAACTAAGTAATGCTGTTTTTGTCCTTCTGCCCTTGTTTGGGTTGATATTCTCCTTGTTACAGGTCATCGAAACAAAGCAACAAACCAGTAAATACTGGGAGTTGACCCTGGAAGGCAAGGACATGGTGAAATCGGGAAGCTACGAGGCCTTAGTCTTCCAGGCCGTGCCACAAGAGGGCGGTATACTACAGGCTGAACTCATGGTAATCAATTTCTGCTTGGAAGGTGGTATCCGAGTTACATGGCTACGGCTAGCGGTAACACACATGGCTATGGGAAGTGGCTTCTGCTGTTTCCATAGGCGCATGTGTTAATGCAAGCCGTTATTGCAAGCCGTTTTTTTTAGGCCTATTTCATGAAATTTGTTTTACTAACTGACAGAAATTTCCACTAGTATTTGTATGCTTGACAAGTTAAAAACAAAAACCTGTTCCTGTCTGGATATTGTTTCAATTGACTTTCTCTCTTTCTTTGTTTTTATAGAAATCCGTTCCAAATGGCAAGATTGGTTTCAGCAAAGCCATGTCGGCAGGATGGTTAGAGGTCAACAAATCGGCGGCAGGAGGCCCAAGAATTATGAGAAAGGTCAGACGAACTGGGATTCTCGAAACCTCAATCATTGGAGACTTTAATTCAATATGGGTCTGTGTACTGTTTCAGAAACATCAAATTCTGTAATTAAAAACAAAGTACAAAGGGAAACTGACTAGGTGCATTATAATAATTTTTGTAAGTTGAACAAAAAATTGACCGGAATGGGGTTTGAACCTGTTACCTCTGGTTTGCTGTCCGGTGCTCTTCCAACTGAGCTTAGCCGTCCCTATGTTGGCAGTTCCCCATTTTGTCAATATCAAACTGGGTAACCATTGTCAAAATGGGGAATGATATATTTCAAGGCATTCAAAAAAGGACAAAGTTAAGACCAAAATTTGGCAAAATAATTTGAATTATTTTGTTTCCTAAGTAGCAATGGGTTCTAAACCATCCCCAGAGTTAATTGAATTGTGAAATGTTGATTGATTGTAGGTGTCCAGCATTGTTGATAAGGTCCAAGATCAACTGCAGAAAGTCCAAGCTGGGAACATTGGGTCGCTGACAGACAAGGAAAGGGCAGAACTGAAGAAGAGGAAACTCATCCAAGAAGTGTGAGTCATTTCATTCAAACTATTAACCCTGACACACCTAGATCCTCTAATGCACCATTCCAGATTTGGCCACAAGCCCCGCCCAAGAGGTCTTGTGACCAAGTTTGATTGGCCTACCATGGTCACCTGACAAAAAGCTGTGATCTGATTGGTCTGTGCGCACTATTTGATTGACATGCAGGAAGGGTCCATTCCACCAGAAGGTTATGGAGGAATATTCAGGGTAAAGAAAAGTAGAGCGCTTTCACGATTACTTTACGTGGGGCTGGATGTACATTGCAAGTCAGAAAGTACAGAGGATGGGTCATTGGGTTCCTGCACATGGGAAGGTTTTTAGAGGATTCAGGCAGATTTCTTGCAAAAAATGCCCAAAGAGTTAGGGTGAGCATTTGCTGGCCAGACCCTCCCAATGAACGTCAAGTTGTGCTTTCTGGAAAGATGCATGTTAATGTCAGCCACATTACACTGGGATTCAAATGCCACACTTATACCATTAGAATGCAGAATAAACTTTCCAACCTTAATGCACCACTACGTAAGAGATGGGTTAAATGAAGACCACAAATTCGTAGCCTTGTGGAGACTCACACACAATAGTGAACAAAACATTGTAAAGGTCTCCACAGGGCAATTTCTATAGATGAATAGGTCTCCACAAGGTTTTCACGAAATAGATATATGGGTTTTACTCAAAAACTAGGAATTTCCAAGGTGGGTTTATTTGTCGCAAATGGAAGAGTTTTAGAAAAGGGATATTAATTCCAAATTTCAGCCAAGGAAACTCATTCTTGTTAAAATAAGAGCATTTTGAAAATTCACTTTCAAAATTGAACACTTTACTACACGGGAACAAAGAAATGTCTCCACAAGGATACAAATTTTGGAATGTGTGAACACAAGTTGTGAAAATGGTTTTCAGACAAATTTGACAATAATTTCTTCTGTTCCAGGACAATGAACACTTTCTTGGTCATGAAGGGCAGTGAGTTCAGCACGTCAGTCAGCAAGCCCGAGACAGACCTTACACCAGAGATGCTTGCCAGGTGAGAAGATTGGTTCCCATGGTTACAGTCTCTATGGTAACTTCACAAATTAAAAAAAGAATTCAGTTCAGCAGAAATTGGCCTTTGTGAAAGTTTGTTTCATTCAGTATGTTAAGAATTAAAGAACACATCCACACAAAAACCTCTTTTAGTGGTTTATTTTACATTTCTTAACAAATCAAGTAGATTCAGAACTATTTCCTCTTTAATATAAAGGGGAAAAAAGGTCAGGCTTTGTTAACAAAGTCAATTTTGGAGAAAGTAAAGACATGAGAAGAACAAAATAGTTGGGCATACTAGTCCAACCATCACTGACTAGTGCACCTTCAAACGAAGTACGTTGATGTTGACATATGGTTAACCATAACCATAGTTCTCTTGATTAAAATTGTCTCGGTCTTAGTTTTGACAGTTTTGCTATTCTTAATGTCATTGGCAGTGGATCCTGGAAGGATCATAAGTTCAAGGAGTATAACTTGGATGCCCTTGGTGTCATGCCGGCCAGCGGTCACCTGCACCCATTGCTGAAAGTCAGGGCTCAGTTCCGGCAGATCTTCTTGGAGATGGGGTAAGTAGCGGCTTGGGTGACAATCCATTCAGCATTCAATGATTCTGCGTAATCTTCCAGCCTCTAAATTTTGTTTGTTTTCAGCAAAGTAGAGTTCAACTCTTAAAGATATTCACAAATATGCACCTGCAAAAAAAATAATTTTTGGAAATATTTTTGAAAAAAAGAGGATTTTTCTTCTTTTTTTCATTTCTGACGTATGCTGTTAGAAATGAAAAAGTTAATCATTACCTGGCCAGGAAGGGGAGAATTTTTTTGACCCTACTCCCCACCTCCATTCCTCCTTGAACAACTTGGGGTATTATGATGTTGCAAAGATCCTTATAGCAATATGTGAAGTTCATTTTTTTTTTCCAGTTTGACAAGTCACTTTCATTGTTTGATTAGTGATATTTATAATTCCCTTTCAGCTTCACTGAAATGCCGACCAACAATTACATTGAGAGTTCCTTCTGGAATTTTGACGCCTTGTTCCAGCCCCAGCAGCATCCTGCTAGGGATTCACATGACACTTTCTTCATTAAAGGTAAAACCCTAACCCTCCAAAACCCTTCAAAATCCATCAAGCGCTTTTTTGAGGATTTTGTTGGATATGAGGAAGGTAGATCCAATCGTTATTCAATGTTATTTATAGCTTTTAGTAGATTTGTTTTGTTTGGATTTCAATTTGGTTTGTATTTGTTTAATCTGCAGATCCCCAATACGCACATGAATTCCCCATGGATTACTTAGAAAGAGTCAAAACGGTTCACTCCGTCGGTGGCTATGGATCGCAAGGGTAAGTATTTATTCCTGCTCAAGTTTATGTTATAATTTCCCACCCTCATCTCTCGTATGATACTGATGTTCCATCTGTGCAAACTCATCAACAGGTATAAGGCAGATTGGAAGATAGAAGAAGCCAAGAAGAACGTCTTGAGGACGCACACGACGGCCGTCAGTACCAGAATGCTGTACCAATTGGCACAGGAGGTGAGAACTCTCAACAAAGACTTGCAGTTTTCTTGTCAAGTCTTTTTCTGAGTCCCCGAGTATTGACTCAGCGGTCGAAGGGAGCGTTTGTGAGACCACAGGGAGCGATTCTTGAATGCATTGTCAGTGGCTGCTGACGCATGTGCGAAGACGTTATGGGTTGGACCACATCCAGAATAGACCTTTATCATGCTGCCGCAACATGATATTGTTATAGACTTAGTCTATATATTGATATAGACTTAGTCATGCGTACTTTGGGCCATTAGAGTGCCAACCAGTGTGGTTATACGTTTAGTGCCTTATGGGATACCGGGAACAAAGGGCAACAATAGGGACAATGGTACCCTACAAGTCGGTCTTTAGAAATCTCAGTACCCCATATGTAAAACACTATGGAGTTTGAGATTTCAATAGGAACAAAGGAAAATAAAATGAGGAAAGTCAAGTGGACAATAGTGGTACCCCATAACTACCCATAAACACGGTTGTGTGCACACACTGGGGTTCTCAAAAATGGTCGTCTATTCTTGCAAGCAGTCCATACAGAATACGAATGCGGTACAGTAAGAATTTAGCCTTGCCATGAATTAGTAGGAATATGGGTGGATAGTCACATAGCCTGACAAAGTTTTGCAAAACGGGACAAACGTTTGCAACAGGAGCCTGGCTTGGGTCTAAATTTGTTGGTTTCGGCGGGTTTTTTCGGAAATGTATACTACCAACATTTGAATGGCTGGATTCTGGCACTTTTGATGCACAACCTAAAGGAGTTGCTTCTGTTTCTTTTAGGAAAAGTTCAGGCCGGTGAAGTACTTCTCCATCGACCGAGTGTTCCGCAACGAATCGCTAGATGCCACGCATCTGGCTGAATTCCATCAGATAGAGGGCGTCATTGCTGACTACAATCTGACCTTGGCTGACCTCATTGGGGTCCTGCATGCATTCTTCAAGAAACTTGGTGAGTTGGGACTTCGGACAGACCACCGAACATTTGTACATTTGCAATAAATTTTGTCTTTCCATTTGTTTCCAACAACATTGTATAAACTACATATGCAAGTTCAAAATCTAGCTGAAAGGGTATTAACAGAATCCATCCGTCATCTTGAAAAATCCACCATCCCGGGAAAAAAAGGGGTAAAAGCACCCGCCTCCTTCATTTAAAAAAAAAACCAAGACGAGACATTTTTTTTTCTTTTCTTGTCTTATTCAAACTGATGAATGTAACCAAGTAACTGTCATAATGACAAATGGATTGAACAACATTGATGTGGACTTAGTCGTAATGTCACAGTGTTTATGACAGAGCATTTCAGCACCACAGTTTTCTACAACTGTTGCAGTTTCTTGCTTATATTTATAAGTATTCCATGCGTCCTGTCAATTTAGGAATTGAGAAGTTGCGTTTCAAGCCGGCCTACAACCCCTACACTGAGCCCAGCATGGAGGTCTTTAGTTACCACGAGGGTCTCAAGAAGTGGGTGGAGGTGGGTAACTCGGGAGTCTTCCGTCCCGAGATGCTGCTACCGATGGGTTTACCTGAAGACGTGGTGATCATTGCGTGGGGTCTGTCGCTAGAAAGGTAAGCAATAGGTTTGCTCATCCGGCAATGACAATTAAGTCATTACATTGTACTGAGGTGATGCCGTACATAGTTATCATATTCATGGTGTTTTTTTTTCAGAAGTCCAACAAAAACTAAAATTTGAAGAGGGGACAGTTAATCTTATGATTTGGCTTTCGTCAAATTTTTTAATAAAAGCCCTTTTTTCACGATTGAATTTAATATGACAATTTGTAAGGGGTAGACATTATGAATGTTATCAAAATTTTCCTGTTTGTTTTTATTTTCACCCAACACAAAATTTGCAAAGGGTCAACTTTATAATATGTATCCAAACTGCTTTCCGAAAAAAAATATTGCAATTGGTTTAACTCTTTGTGATTTAAATTAGAATTAAACGTTTTTTCAATTTTTCATTAAAAGTATCATTTGCAAGGGGTTAATCTTATTTTTTTCCAAAAAAAAATAATATATGTCAATGTTACTGACAAGTTTTTCTTGTTTTTTTGTTTTGTTTTCTTTTGACTAGGCCCACAATGATCAAGTACGGCATAGACAACATCCGTGATCTGTTTGGCCCACGAGTCAACCTTCAAATGGTCTACGACAATCCTATATGTCGTCTGGACAAGTGAACGGCATGTGGCAATTCTCTAGAGCAACTTATCCTCAATATCTTGTAGTGTATTTACTTCGTAAGCTATTCCATTATGTGAGCAGCAAGGCAGAGTAGAATCACGCATAATGCTGGCCCCACTTTGAGAAATGGAAAGATGTTTTAAATTTAAATTAAAATCCTAGGATCTCAGTGCCATTTTGTGGCAAGGATTTAAAGGAAAAGGTTGTACATTGTCATGCAAGAGATTACCACTAATAGTAAATAGTGTGCTAGTAGACCTAAAAAACCCCGAGATTTTTCAAGAATACAGCACCTCTGGACACTGTGTATAGGATCTATGACGTGTGTAACATCCTATTTCTCATTTTTGTGTCTCGACTATACTTTGTGCCCCGTTTATTTTGTGCCCGTCCAATCAAGGGCAATAAATGGGTATTCGAAAGGAAAGAAAGCACTACAATTTACAACTCATTGAAAATATTGCGAATTGATGAGTATTATGTAATTAAAATTGTTGACCTCAACCGCCGTTCAATAGATCATGCGGTATCAATTGGGTAAATTCAAACACGGGGGGGGTCTTTGACTAGACTAGTCAGTGTTTGGTACCAAGACGTTCACAGAAAAAGTGAACTTGGACTGGCAAGACTTGCATATCCTGAACTTGGTTGCTAATTTTAATTTTGTATATTGGTTTTGGTTCAAAAGGTGAAAGGTCAGGGTCAATTTGTTTGAAACTTTTTCAAGAAGACAGCTGATGGACTTGACAGGCTTTTATTGTATTCGCGCTTGCTAAATTCCAGTGCATTTTTTTTTTTTTTTTATTATGGACAGGCAAAGTAACAAAAAAGAATAAAAGAAAAGTTAGTATACATATGTTGCATGTTTACTTGAATAAAAGTTTAATTGCACATTTATTCCCCAAATTGACACTTGAACCAAAAGATGAATTAAAAAAAGGTGTTTTTATACATTTATTTCACAATGAAACACATTCACGGGAGTGAATTTATGTACAACCTCTTGAGGAATGATCATGATTAAGTAAATAAATTGTACTGACAAGGAGTTTGGGCCTGTGAAATCTTCGTTCCAGTTTCGTGGAGTTTCTTTGGAATTATGTTCTGTCCTCACCAAATAAGATATTCGTGTTAGAAGTCAATGTAATTGGTCAGTGTTAAAGATTCAAGGCTTGAAGAGCCAGAGTTTTTACTCATAGGACTGTATATCTGATGCAGATTGTGAAACAAACAAATATTAACCCATACAATTATTTACAGCAGGATTAATGGCACACGGGATTAATTGAGTCATGTGACCTTATATGGCCATGTGACCTTATATGGCCTCATTGAAACCACACCAGAAATATATGCCTGAATTAGCCTTTAAAAAGTAATTTTTAAGTCAATTTTGATGACAATTTAAATATACAGTGTACATGTATACAACAGCACAGCATCAAATTTCCAGCTGAAAAATAGCTTGCATGGTCACTGCATGACCTTTTACAGTGAATTACATAAACAGGGTTTTTTTAATCTCCGTGAAGCATCATTAAATAATTATTGTCCAGAAAAAAAAGAAATTAAATAAAACAAATTTACATAGGCAAAAAACGTATTGAGATGTTCCATTTATTGTTTTTGTAGCGATAAATAAGACCATTTTGGTGAAAAAGAGTTTAGACATCTTGATAGACGAAACAATCTACAAAAAGTACCTTTTGATTTGGTTATGCAAAATCTGCACATAAATCCAAAGTTAACAGCCTACCACATTTTGCTTAATTTAGCCTCAACACAACAGTCCAAACGATGGAAGACTTAAAAAATAGGAGAACAGACTAAATGCCTCAATAGCAAGTACCGAAATTCCAAATAGAAAAGATTCCTTCACCAAAGCGCCGACCTTGTACATAGCTACAGCAATAAATACTCTTAAAACATGAGAGTAAGAAATAATTTACAAAAGCAAGACGCAATTATAATAATGAGCTGAAAAAACGAGTTCGAATTTGTACATTATGAACATGCATGACAATTATGACAAAACATTACGGTTCAACCTAGCGCCATAAAAAGTGGAGCAGTAAACAAAGCGTGACGTCGTTTCATCTTGGGTTTCACTTCCGTGTAGATTTTCTGATACCTTGATACTTCACTACTCAAGCAGGCGTCGGTGGGATGTGGGTTGGCATCAGCGATGGACCATGTGCCACTGATGTGTCGTGAACGGCTGCTGTGGTGACGGGCAATGCGGAGGTCGTCGGTTCCGGAACGTGGGAGGCAAACTCAAAGAAATACAACTGCAAAGACAGGAACAGGAAATCATGATTGTAATGAATTAGAAAAACATTTTAAAATACTTGTTGAGAGATGATTCCACAAAGACAGTTAAAACTTTCCAGTTGGGCATTATTAAGTGGACCACAGTTTTGGCCATATGTACAAAGCAACCAATCACATTGCAAGCTTTTTGTAACTTTGCTTTTAAACTTCTACCCAAACAAAATTTAGTATTCTCAACAAAAAACACCCTCCCAATTTTCAAAATTTTGAATTCTAAAATAATGACACATTTTCACAAAGAGCAAGCTTGAAGACATATAGGGACAGTATCGTAAGAAATCAATGTGTGAACACATCCTTAAATTGATTTCAGTGAAAAGAACTGACAAAGATGACATCCAGGATCCATAGTTTGTAAAGAAAAGAAAAAATCAAAAGTGAGGTATGACCTTAAAAACCATTGAAAAAGTTCAGGGGACTTTGCTATTTTCTTTTGGTCGTTTTTGGTCAAATATACAGTGGAACGCCGCTATACCGAACATTGTGATTGGCTCCCAACCTTTGTGTACAAAACGTACTGAACATTGTTGTTGAAAAATGTCAACAGAAGAGCAACAAGTGGCTATTATTTTCCCAAGGAATAGAAGGGGAAAGCCGGTCATTGCTGTAGGTAGTAAGCTCAAAAACTGTTTAATTACTTGATTCAATAGTCGGCACGTGTTCAAAGTCATCTTCCAGTAACTACAAGGGTATGTATACAGGGTGAAGTTCTGAAGGGTGCTATTTATTAAAAAGTGAATACTAGAGCACTGGAAGCTTAAAATCACTATACCGAATGATCACTATTGCAAACAATATCTGTGGATCCCACAATGTTTGTTATAGCAACATTCCACTGAAGCTACCTTGAATCCTACTGCTAAAGCAGCGTGGAGCAGGAACACTACAATCATGGCAGGGATGCCCATCTTAACATCTTCTCCCTTGACTGACGGCCAGAGAGACATCAATAAGACGGTGCTGGACAGGGCTAAGGCCACGCCCACTAAGACCCAGCGTAGCCAATCATAGTTGATCGTCCACAAGAGCTACCAAGAAAATAAAATGAGACAAACCTAGTAAAGCTGATCCCAACGAGCACTAAAATCTCTTTTTAATAAACCTCTGTACTGATGACGTCACACTTTGTTTACACGTGCGCTTTTCTATGGAACTACGAACCGTCCCACCCTCCACTAGGCTCCAATAGAAAAGCGCACATGTAAACAAAGTGTGATGTCATCAGTGCAGAGGCTTATTGATTTAGAATGCATGTTCACTGGAAGTCTTTGCATGCATGTGGTATACACAATGGGCCGGATTGAGCCCATTCATTGGTGTTACAGGGTTATCCTATACAATAGCACTGCCCGGCTCACAAGAGACAGTCAGTCAATGAGTCAGTCAGTCTGTCAGTCAGTGAGATAGGTACAAAGTGGACACTATGCTCTCCCTCAGACCAGCAAATACCTAATATACAAAAAAGTTATATATGGACCATTTCTACCTGTAAACAAACAGTATGCATTGACCAATCAGATCATGACTTATGGTCAGGTGACAACGCTGGCTCCATCAAACTTGCTCACAAGCACTGTGAGAAATGTAGGAATATAAGTTATTGCCCAGATATCTTTCACAGTTACATAACATGGGTTTCGAACCTGGAACCTTCGGCAAAGCGTACTGGTGTTCTACCAACTGAGCTCTCCAGTATCCGGTCATTTGGTTTCCAGGTGTGTAGCAAACTAAATACAGCATCACTCCTACTTTAATAAAAGTAAATTCTGCACAAATTTTTTCCAAAAGCCTGAGGACCTACCGATATTGGAATGTAGATTGTGAAGGAGTAACCATAGAGACAGGCCAACTCGAGAAACGTGTACCCTGCATGGTTCCCACGCCAATGTAGGAATGCATAGAAACCAGCGGGAACCAGCCAAGCGTACAGGAAGATCACCACGCCAGCTGTAGTCACTGTGATGATGGGAAAACCAAACAAGTAAACTCAATTATTAATAAGTTCATGAATATACAGGGGTATTCTGCTGTCCAAAGATAAGTGTAAGATTAATCCCTGAGACTTTTCAGCATTTGAGGATGTTGTTACGACAAAAATGTTGGGGAACAAGCAATAGAAATTTGTACTTCCAAATGGTGTATCTACAATGCCATCATTTGTTCAAAACTATAGCCTTTTTAAAAATAACCTTCACGCTGACTACCCTTCATCCTTCAAACAAATCCAGCACAGCCGAGCACTATTACTAAACATAGGGCTTGATATTCCAATTTTGTTCAAATAGAAGGCAAGTTGCATGGCACCATGTTTTGATTTTTAGTCCAGAATTTCAAAGGTTTCCTAGTTTTTGGAAGCTAATTTCCAAAACAATTCTCAAAAATTTACCATTAGAGAAATGTGCATGCCAGGGATAGTTGATGTCATTGCGATAAGCGATGTAGTCGGCGATGTCTCCACTGATAGCGATGGTGAAGACTAGCGTGGCACACACCCAGAAAGGACCTGGAAGAGTTATTAGAAATTAAAAATAACCACAATGAATGTTTCATTTTTACCTTCACTGTATTATGTCTAACCCTCCTGCTGTTTGAACAGTCGCAGTCAAAAAATAAATCGTCTTCCCTGCCATGCCTTATACATAGGCTAGTAACCAAAAAGTCAGCTCATATTTCAAGCAAGCACTGTGACTAGTCAAACTCAGTCAACAGACAAAAACAGGCAAGTGGTAGGCACAGCTGGCTTAGCAATCGCCTACAGTCAAAGCAAAGCTGTATCAAGTTTACATAAACAGTCTCAGCCAGTCAATCCTGCTTTATGTAGGCTGGGAGCTCTTAACTGTTGTATGGCCGCATGAAACATTCGTTTTATGGGATATATACCATACTAAAGTTAATTACCTCAAGTTAAACAGTGTTGGAAGGGGATTTTACAAAATTCAACGGTAAAAAGATAAGAAATCAAGGATTTTGAACTAACCATAGAGGTCTGGGTTGGGTCTAATCTGGGTCTGTAGATAGTTTGTCGTAGGTTTGGGCAAGAAAGAACCCAGGAGTCTCCAGAGAACCTGCGACGTGTCGACGTCGAAGAACTGTTGGTAGTACTCAAAGGTCCAGAAAGAATGTTGTTTCTTCTGTCCAGAAAGAAGCTGTGGAAAAAGGAGCAATATTGCCGTCAATGGTCAGTCAAATCTAAAAGATTCCATTGAAAAAAATTCTATCATTATTCAACTTTTCCATAATTCTAAAAATTACTGAAGATTTAAGTAAAATAAATAAATAAACCAACAATCAACCAATTCAATCTTATAATAAATAAACCAACAGCTTACATTTCAAGTCTTTTTGATAGCAAATCTGGCCTAAATAAAATTCCACAAAATTAGAAAAAAAACAATTGAGGTGAATTTCAATTGACTAGTTCAAGCACCAAATGTAATCAATCAATTCACATCAATAGGTGTTGAGTGTGCTACCACAAAATAATCTCGCAAAATAATGTTCAGTTCAGCAGACAATGTGACAATGTTATGCCTAAACTATGACATCAGTTGGGACAATCCGAACAACAGTTAAAGATCGTCTCAACTAATTACCCAATTTTGGGGGAAAATCTGACCAACTTTACTTAGGACCACAGCCATAGTTGGGGTGTAGCAAAGATGCTCATGTCCCTTTGCTCCGCATGTCAGTTGACAAAACAAATGATACAAATTTGCATATGACCCCATGCATCCCCCTTGACCCTGAGTTGCCCTCTGACCTCTGTGTCATCGCCATCTTCCTCATTGTCACTTGGATGGTTGGTGAACGTGATGGTTTGTCCCTCCTCATCGTCCCCAACATCATCCAGTAACTGTGAATCGGTGAAGTCTGGGATAAAACATTAAAAAATACAGTAAGGTTGAAAAACTGAACACAATTTTAGGGAAAGAAGCTAGTCTCCATATTGCCCATATGTGTAGCTCAAATACTGGACTTCTTCTGTATTGTGAGCCACACACATGCATTGGTGTGTGGAGAAGCTGTGTTGAGGATTTGAAATCGGGGCCGTTTTTTTTCCACATGATATTCACTATGGATGATACTCACCTGGTTAATATTACCAGGAAAAATGAATACTGCTACCCCTAGATGTCTATTTATCTTGTAATTTTAGAGGCAAAAGGTAGTCTACATACAGAAATGTCCAATGTGTCACAGTCACTTTTAGGGGTGAAGTAACATTTAACAAATATCAATTAAAAAAATTAAATAAAAATTCAAATTACCCTGGAATTTCAATTCATCTGTTGTGTCTTGTGCTTTCTGAAAGAAAACAGACATTTCTTAGCCCAGTTTAACTTGAAATGCTCAACTGTACATTGCCCAAATCATGTGTTGAATTAAACCCATTTATTGGGGCACTAGAACTACTTCTTCTTTTTTTAATTTTGACTTTGGTCAGTCGTACTAGCATGACTAGCTAGTAACCAAAGTCAAAATTCGAGAAGAAAAAAAAAGAGTTCTAGTGCCCCAGTTGCTGGGACTAGCGTTGAATAAATTATTAAATATGTACATCTACTGTGTACTACTACTAGTTTTATATTGTATTATGATGTATACAAAAATAGCTTTAATAATACAATTTTATTACAATTTACAGCCCAAAAAATAAAACAATAGACCTCATGCGTAGCGGCCATCTTAGAGGGTATCTTTTGTTATTTTTCTTCAATAGCACTGAATGCACAAAGGGGTTCACTCGTGCATATCCAAGCAACACAAATCAAAGGCACTCCCCCCCCCCCCCCCCCAAAAAAAAAATGCTGCTAAAGAAGTCTAGGGAGAGTCGAGTGCATTTTTAAATTAAACGTTTTTTTAACAAAATAGAAAAAAAAATTATGTCCCAGATTCATGTTTTATGTCTTTTTCCAACATTTTTCCAATAAGCCTAACTGACCTTCATTGAAATAATATAAAAGTGGCGTCACGATGCAACATCAAGTAAAGTGAAGTACATGTATAATGTGTGCACACACCATGCAGTGTGTCCGCATTCATTGGCCCGTATGAAAACTAGGCCTACACACAATTGAATGAGGCCCCTACCTTCCGTACGCTATCCGTATCGAGAATAAGATTTTCGTCCGCCATGGCTTAAATTCAGAATGTATGGGGATGTTTAAAATACTATAAATACTTCACGTTTAATAACAGTATTCTAGTGTTGGAAAATCTGATAAATTGGAGAACATTTAAATGCTAAAAAATGAAAATCTGTGATAATTATCGACTGTCGCGTTGGAAGTTTTCGCATCAGAAAATCAGCGCCATGTTTATCCTTTCTCAATACAATAAAATTTTTACTCCAATAGTTTGTTATAAAAATATGTTAGAATGAATGTTAAACCCATATCAAAATAACAAATTATCAAAATATTTTTTTATAATTCAAATAAAGTTTAAAATATTAGATTACAAAACAGTCTTTGAAAATTTTAACTAACAATACGAAAATAACTTATGAATATTCATTTTCCTATAATTGATTGTTCACTTGTGACAAAAATAGCAGGTGCCGGAATATGGCGTGTCAAACGTTGCAAAATTCAATATTTTGCAATATATATGTTGGATGTTCATTATGTGTTTGTTATCTTTTACATTTATGTGCGATGTTCAATATAAGTGTGCGATGTTTTTCATTATTTGCGCGATGTTTAATATATTTGTGCGATGTTTTACAATATATGTGCGATGTTCAATATATGCGTGCGATATTTTCAATTTATATGTGCGATGTTTTTGACGATATATATGTGCGATGTTTTCAATATTATGTTCGATTTTTTTGCATTAAATGTGCGATGTTTTTCGATACAATCGTGTGTGTTGTTTTACAATATATTTGCGATATTCTCAAATATGTGAGCAATGTTTTACCATGGAGGTAGAATTCTACCTCCATGGTTTTACACATATGTTTGACATTTCGAGCTATTTGTATTCGATGTTTCATCGGTATGTTTGCATTCGATCTTTTGCAATATGCATTTGATGTTTTCCTTTTCATTCGATGTTTCGTTAAGAGTCAAAGTCTGGTTACTAGACCGCAAAAGTCTGACTATTTAGCCGAAAGTCAGTGTATGAGACGTCAGGGGATCGCGTGAAGTAATTAGAGCCAGACCTAAACGGTAAAAACCGGAATTGTGGTAATTCTTTAAGCCTACGCAATGCGTTCATCATATATTGTTTGGGCAGTTTCCCAGCTGTGCCTGTACTACCCATAGTGTTGTGTGCATCATCTATGCATCGAGGAGTGCATGACACATGGTCTGAGCTCCAAGGCCGATGTGCACCTGTCCCAGTTACCTGATAATTTGTTAGCATAAGCTGATGTAAAATTGGGCAAAATTAGATGTTTATGAAAAAAAATCAAATTGTAAGGGGTTAACCTTGCATTTTTTTTTAGCAAAATCGGGAAAAATCAGATGTTTCTGGAAAATTGCAGATTGTATGGGGTTAGATTTTTATGAAACCTTTCAAATTGTAAGGGATTAACCTTGTTTTTTTAGTGAAATTTTGCAAGGTTAGATGTTGCGAAAACTTTTAAATTGAAAGGGGTTAACCTCGCATTTTTTTAAAAATGTTTTTGGACAATTGCAGATTGTAAGGGGTTAATCTTGCTTTTTGAATAAGATTGGGAAAAATTAGATGTTCAATTCAAATTGTAAGGGGTTAACCTTGCATTTTTTTAAAGCAAAATAGGACACAATCAGATGATTCTTGAAAATTGCAGATTGTTAGGGCTTAACCTTGTATTTCTAGCAAAAGTGGGCAAAAAGAAATGTTTATGAAAAATTTTAAATTGAAAGAGGTGTACCTTGTATATTTAGTGAAATGTGGCAAAATCAGATTTGTATGAAAAATCTAAAATGGTAAGGGGTTAACCTTGCTTTTTTAGCAAAATTTGGAGCATATTTTACTAAAATTGGGCAAAATCAGATGCTTCTAAAAAATCCAGATGTAAAAGTTTCCGCAAAAACAGCTGTTGAAAAAGAGCCCAATGTTGAACTTTACTGAGTCTGAGGTCTATCGAGGGGACGATCCTTATTTCAACTCCCGGATATTCGCTGACAGTCTCTATTTTTCTTTTTAAGAAAGTCGAAATAGCTGAAGAGGGAGGTGACGGAATCTATATGTGCCCAGATACAAAGAGTAGAAATCTACGCGTCTGGCTTTTGAAAATACACAATTGCGGTGTTCATTGTTGCGTAATGATCCGCCTAGTAGCACACGACTGTTTTGCACATTAGGCTGTGTTATGCAGCTTCTTAACAAACCAAACACACTGGGCTCATTATATCGACTTGTTTTTACCCATTAAGGTAAAGCAAATGGACCCAGTAATCTTCCTGGCGCGTTTGCTCACCTATAAAGACAAGTTTTCTTAGTTTAAGGAAAATTCTAAGGTAACGAAATGGCCGAGTGGTTACGATTCGTCGTCCACGATTAGCGGGGTCCCGGGTTCGAATCCCGCTGGTGTCTTTTTGGTTTTTAACGTATGAGTTCAATAATTTACTATAAGAGATTTAATTTCCCGTCGTAAAGTACCAACAGTACCTTAGCTTAATCGGTAAGCACTGCTGCTGGTACTGTCCGCGAGTTCCAGGTTGGCGCCTTCGTACAGGTTCAGGGCATGTGGTCCACTCGGAGGATCAGGGCTTAGGGGCCGCCCTGTTCCTCCCTTAGCTCTTTGCTTTTACATGGTGCCTGGCCCTCCGGGGTTATATGGATGGATAGGGAAGGAAGTGTGTATTGGTCGGGGACGCCGAGACCCCGGAAGAGAACTAAGGGATCGGCTGGGGCATTGTTATGGCTCAGACCGATCCCTGAAAGCTTGACTAGCACATAACTTTTTGATTTTTTTTACCCTCTATCTTTTATACTTTGGTTTAGTTTGATATCTACAGCTGCTCGGCAGGTCTACGGGTAGTATCAAAATTGAAACAAAGGTGTATGTCGTAAATCAATGAATATTTCATTATTGACTATAATCAAAACGGAGTTTCGTTTGATCAATTTGACTATCATTATATAATGACGCGATTGCCAATTGACGTAAGAAACGCCATAAATTATACCGGGAAAGAATAAAGATGTACATTGTAATATAAATATTATTGATACATCTTTCAAATAACGTGTCTTTAATTGTGAGCATTCCAAACAATACAGTAAATCGCAATAGTAATAGAATTGTATATGATAGCACGATCATTTCGTCTCTATTAAATTAAAAAAATATAATTTAGGCCCCTATTTGTGAAATATTCTTTGATTGACTATGATCTTCCATACGAATGAGTTAATTCGCAATATAGCAACAACAAAAGAGAAAGGAAAAAGAGAACATTCCTTTACCCTAAAAACTGGAAATATAATTTGTGTTAAAAGAGTCAAATGGGACATTTCATGTATTGATTTAACAGTTTGCAAGGAGTTAGCCTTACATTTTTACCAAAATTGGGAAAAAATCAGATGTTTCTGGAAAATTGCAGATTGTATGGGGTTAGATGTTTATGAAACATTTCAAATTGTAAGGGGTGAACCTTGCATATTTTAGCGAAATTGGGCAAAATCAGATCTTTCTGGAAAATTTCAGATTGTAAGGGGTTAACTTTGCTTTTTTAGTGAAATTTGGCAAAGTTGGATGTTTATGAAAAATTTCAAATTGTAAGGGGTTAACCCTGCATTGTTGTAAACGAAATTGGGAAAAATCAGATGTTTTCGGAAAATTGCAGAATTGTATGGGGTTAACTTGGCATTTTTAGCAAATCTGGGCAGTATCAGAAAATCTCGAATCGTAAGGGGTTAACCTTGCATTTTTAACAAATTGGGCACAATGAGATGTTTCTGAAAATTTTCAGATGTAAGGGGTTAACCTTGCTTTTCAAATTGTTAGGGGTTAACCTTGCATTTTTTAGCAAAATAGGGCAAAATCAGGTGTTTATGAAAAAAAATCAGATTGTAATGGGTTAACCTTGCATTTTTAGCAAAATTGGGCTAAATCAGATTTGTATGAAAAATCAAAAATTGTAAGGGGTTACCTTTGCCAAATTAGGGCAAAATCAGAAGTTTCTAGAAAATTGCAGATTGAAAGGGGTAAACCTTGCATTTTTAGCAAAATTGGGCAAGTAGAGATGTTTCTGAAAAAAAATTCAGATGTAAGGGGTTAACCTTGCTTTTGAAATTGTTAGGGGTTAACCTTGCATTTTTTAGCGAAATAGGGAAAAATCAGATGTTTATGAAAAAAAATTCAGATTGAAAGGGGTTAACCTTGCATTTTTAGCAAAATAGGGCTAAATCAGATTTGTATGAAAAATCGAAAATTGTAAGGGGTTAACCATTACCAAATTAGGGCAAAATCAGAAGTTTCTAGAAAATTGCAGATTGAAAGGGGTTCACCTTGCATTTTTAGCAAATTGGGCAAAATCAGATGTTTCTGAAAAAAATCCGATGTAAGGAATTAACCTTAGTAAGGGGTTAAGATTGCATTTTTTTAGCAAATTCGGGAAAAATTGTAATGTTGATGAAAAAATTCAAATTGTAAGGGATTAACAATTGATTTTTTAGCAAAGTAGAGCAAAATTAGGTGTTTATGGAAAATTTCAGTTTGTTAGGGGTTAACTTTGCATTTTTGTTAGCAAAATAGGGCAAATTCACAGGTTTCTGGAAAAGTTCAGATTGTAAGAAAAAAATGGGCAAAATCAAATTTAAAAGAAAAATCAAAAATTGTAATGGATTAACCTTGCCGAACTAGGGCAAAATCAGATGTTTCTCAAAAATTGCAGATTGTAAGGGCTTAACCTCACATTTTTAGCAAAATTGGGCAAAAAGAAATCTTTATGAAAAATTTCAAATTTTAAGGGGTGAACCTTGCATATTTTAGCCAAATTGGGCAAAATTAGACGTTTATGTAAAGATACAAGCTGTAAGGGGTTAACCTTGCTTTTTTTGGAAAATAGGACACCATCAGATGTTTCTGGAAAATTGCAGATCTTAATGGCTTAACCTTGTATCTTTAGCAAAATAGGGCAAAATCAGATTTGTATGAAAATTGAAAATTGTAAGGGGTAAACCTTGCTTTTAAACAAAATTTGGTGCATATTTTACTAAAATTGGGCAAAATCAGATGTTTCTGAAAAATTCCAGATGTAGCGGATTAACCTTGCTTTTTTTGTAAAATTGGGCAAAATTAGATGTTTATGAAAAATTTAAATTGTAAGGCGTTAACCTTGCATTTTTAGCAAAATCGGGAAAAATCAGATGTTTCGGTAAATTGCAGATCGTATGGGG